CGGATTATTGGAGGACCAGGGCAATTGCGATGGGTTGTCGGAAGCCACTGATTTTGAACTGGTTAGCAGCATGTTCTACTGAATATGGTAAATACATTATCCTGCGATTGCTTTCGGTTGCAGAGCGGCATGGTAGTCCTTCTCTTAGCAGAATCCACACGCTTCATAGAGTAATCACTTTTTCCCCGTCAATACTACCAAATTTGGGTAACGAAGGACAGCCAGCATTCCCTGACTTGGTGATGGAATTGCTCCAGAACTAAGTCTACAATAGGAAGTCACAGGGAACGTCGACTCGGTTACCAATGGTGGCGCCGGTGGATACTACTACTACCTCAAGAATTTGATCGTAATTTGTCAGGAACACCATCTGCTAGCAGGCGAAGGAACGTCGCAGAATAGGTAAGAGATACGAAGATTTCGATATACTCGGTACGAGTTGTAGGCGTTGGCTGTTTAATTCCCGGGTCGATATACAGAGTATCGGTAGTAGGAGCCCTAGCTCGTACCGAGAGTTTAAGACGGTGGTCCGTCTTGTTTGGCATAATGTCCTTGTGCTCGTAATTGGGAGATGAAGTTCTCAGCCGAGACCCTTGGAAACAGCGTTACTTGCGAACGAGCCGCGATTTAGCAGACCTTTCCACCTTGCCTAACCTGCACGATCGATTACTAGCGCGTCCTCGATCATTAATCGGGAAAATGCTGGTGTCGGCTTGCTTGGTAGAACTCCATCGCGGTTACCAGTAGGATTCTAGTTACTCCAGAACCCAGACTTACGCACGAGGTGGGCCGAGGGGGCCGCAACGAGTAGGCGTCCCTACCTCGAGCGTTAGAGCCGCCAGTTGAACGATGAACCCTTTAAAACAACGTCTAAAGTTGTACTCGGTACGATCACTGCGCTCTGTGCTCCCTTGTTGGCAAGCGGTGTGGCTGGTTTCAACTGGTCAAACGTGTGCCCGGCCCCAACTCAAACTTGATGTTCCGCCAGCGCAACCACCGCCTTACCGTGGGCCACAGGTGAGAATGGCAAGAGGGATTTCTCGGGTTCGGCCCCTGCTAGAATTCTTGCGCAGTGGTACTAACTAGTCCTTCCCATCTCTACTCGAATTGCTGCGTGACAAATGTTTTGGACTTAGCATGGAATGCTAATTGCCAGGACAGGTCAATGGGTACTTAGTACAATTGTGACCGAGAAATGAAATTCGTCCGTTCATACGTGTTGCTCCCCGAAGCCAGACGAGGCCGGGCGTGGCTGACACGGTGGATGTCCCGCAGGGCAAAACTGTGTTAACTCCAGCTTGAGCGTGTCAAAAACTTATGCTAGGCGACTAGCTTCGGCATCCAGCAATGACGTCGACAGGGCGCCTTGGCACGACGTAGTGAACGAGGTCGCGAGATTCTCGGATGGACGTCTGGTGAAATTCGTTCTACGCACAATAGCAGATAGTTTTATTTGTTAATTTAGTCTCTCGTTCGTGTGGAAAATGCGCTTCCTCGTACATGACTGCTCTATACCACACAAGGGAGTTCGTGGCACTAGACTTTGGCCCGCTTGGCTCATGGGTTCCCGGTTCTCGTTGGAAGTGTAATAATTTTTCTTTTAAGAGAACTCAAATGATTTGGTGATCAGGAATTCTCAATACGACGGTGCGTTTAGTATTGATTGAATGACTATCAAGCATAAATTTGCACAAAACATGATCGAGGCGATCTAAATGCTAGCTGCTCTACCTATCTCCTAGTGAACAAACCTCGATACGCAGCATAATTCAACAATACGTAAGTGCTCATGATGCTCATGAGTACATCGATAGGTAGGGCTGACCAAGCGCACGAGACTAAACCTCCGAGGCTCGATCTTGAGCTTTCTAGGCAATGTAAAAGCCGTTTGACCAAGACTGGTAATGACCATCAGTTGGTGACCCACTGTGTACAAATATCCCTGTCACATTGTTTGGTACTGTAAGGTATTTCCATACTAGCGGTTCTACAACCGTTAGCCCATGTACTTCGATTACCTAACTCAACGTACTTTGGTATATCCCCTATATCGCCTGCACAAATTCCGACCCGTGTGCATGGACAAGTTTCCCTAGTACCAAGAAACAGGTTTAAAGGCTATGCCATTTTGTCCAAGGCTGCAACGTCAAGATTGTTACGCTTGCCTAGAAGGTTATATGCTCGACTTGTGAATTCTACCAAGGTACACTAGTATCTTGGGTAGGAGTACCAGCGGATGGCCACCGCTCCGTGGGTCCAGCTAAAATCCGAGGATAGCGTTGTTGAGCTATTTGCCATGGCCATCTCTGCTCGTGGTTTGCCACCGGTGTTAGATTGAAATTCCGATTTATGAAGCCAGGCCAAGGCTTCTCCAGTTTCGGACTTAGGAGTTGGGGATGATGCAGCCTCGCCGCTTGGTTTTACGAAGTACGTCCACCACACCAGACATGGATATTGTTCGAATGGGCAGTAGGTATAACCCTGTTATTCATTTGACCTCGCTTGAATTCTGCCTCTATAAGAAAATGACTCATCTTACCATTACTGAGCGATACCAAACGGTCGTATGGCGACAAAAGGACTTGGGAACCGCCGCACGGTATGCACGTTGAATCCAAGTCCTCGGAACTGTTTGTGAATCCTCTCAGGCAGGTGGCAGACATCTGCGGGGATGTCCTCAAAGCCCTAAGCCCACGAAAGTTGAAGATGATGAGCCTTCACTGTCAGCCGTGGTTGGACGATTGTGAGGTAGTGGCAATACGGCGTTCATTGGTGTAGAAGCTCCAAAAGCTACAGTCATCTTTCCGCACACACAAACACAGCGTAGCCCTTCGTACCTCGCGGGTCGATTTCAGACGACCAATAGGTAGTATCAAAACTTGCGTGCGTGGCCAGTATGTCAGATGGTGGGAGGAAGTGCCACTGTTCGAATCGAGTCCCTTTCGGGGAAAGGTTCGAGCTCGAGGTTTGAGGAATACTTCTGGCATGCAAATTACTCAACGCGGGCCCAATCTTGCTACAAAACGCTGGAGCTATGTTTTTTCTGGTTGGTCACCGTATTCGCAGACGATGTGGCGGAAGAGGCGTTTGAGATTCCTTTCGTTGGAGGGGTAGCATTCTGAGCATTCGAGGGCGATGTATACGCACTAAGGGATAGGAGGCTCAGCCTAAAATGACCTTCCTGCTTGCCGAAGAAACTACTCAAGTGTCAGTGTTGACGAATATTTAGGCGGACCAACCAACAAACCTCCTGATCATAATACCAAATCTGAGAATATTGCTCAAGTCCAGTTCTTTGGTATCATTAGTCGGCTTGCCTCGGTAGGTGGGTTGAAAGCTTTCCCAAGGAACGAGTAAGTTTACATTGGACAACCCAGGGGATTGATTTGGTCGGTAGTCTTTGGCCGAAAATTCGTATTCCCATGATGTGGTTGCTTGCTCGCGCCCACTGCGTGGATCTGGGGGGAGGATAGTATCTTTCAGAATGAGGGTGTAGACTTTGTAGTCAGACTCTGAGGCATCGAGAGAGATTTCGATGCCCTGATAGGAGGACAAATCCCAGTGTGGTGATCGCCGATCATCTCCCAGTGTTCGTTGGGACGCAAAACCTGCCCCACCCAGGGCTTCAATGTCGAGCAAGCCATGGAATTGAGCCCCATGAGCGCTGCAGTCAAGAAAGGACTTCGGAACGCAGCCAGTCAGCTCTCATGGCATGCTTTCGAAACGGAAGTTTCGGGTACTTTGAAAAAGGGTACTTCTAATTGTAGGCAGGGCATTCAGATGGACAACAGCGCCTCGTACCTGTGACTGACCACCTCGTACTCTATCGTCACTTGCAGTCCATTGATTTGAGTCCCAACCCCTTGGTTAAGGAAATTCCCCCATTAGTAAGATTGCGCCACAATCATATGGCTGCGGAGGGTGAAACCGGCCCACGTTTTCCAAAATAAACACAGCTTACATATTCAAGCCAAATAGCTCTCGACACTGGCCAATCTCCGCCATCGTTGGAGAGCACACAACCAGACAGCTAGTAGTCGGTGCTAGACGTTGGGTGGTCAATCGAATTTGAGGCTTAGGGGTGGTGGTTCCTATCCAAGGGGCGTCCACTAAGTCCCGGGTAATCAAATCATGAACATCAAAGAGACATCCTCGTCTGCAGGAGATGGGACACGGAGAGGCTGACAGTCTTGGAAAGGACTCGTCGAATGATGATTCGTTGTCAAGGAAAAGGTGTGAAGAGATGGCAACTGCAGCTGTCCTGGGTAGAAAATCGCCAGAGTCCAAGGCTAAACTCAATGGGGGATGGAGGTTAGCCACCCGATGCCACTGGTTCGTTCACTGGAGTTTCAACGGCTGCCTTGTTTGTTCCACACATCCTTCTCTTCAGCCCTAGAGCTGACCCTGCGTAGAATGATGGATTCCATCACAAGGTGCCTATCAAATGTCGACTCGGGATGGATTCATTCATTACCGACGAGTCCAGACGTTTACTATCCCCTGCTCTTTCCACCCCAATTCCAACATGCTGCACAGGCATACTATGCGCCCAAGAGGGGGCCATAGTCCCATCTACGACAAACTACCAATGACATGTATGGATGATTGATCGTCAATAGCGTTGTATTGATTCTCGAGTCCATTCCAAATGAATGGACTCTACCAGGTCATATCTTCTACAACTGCTGCTAGTCGCCCTACCAGCGCTAGTCATTACATGCAGGAAAGTGCAAGATTGTTCCTAGTGTTTTGAGGAGTAGACTCCCAACCACTCTGCCGTGCCCAGTGAGGGAATTCCCCATCTATCCTATTCCGCTCGACTGAGGTCGTCCCATTCAAATTCGTACAGAAAAATCAAAATTCGCTTCAGAATGCCCACTAATGCCCCTGCCAAATCCAAGAGGATTTCGCTAAAAGATGCGTAATGTCTCATGTGTGAAATTCACGTTCGAGACCGATGTGAAAGTCCCTCTCGTCGTTGGAAAGACGTAGTATCGTCCTCAGTTACAGCTGATGTCGTAGAGATGAAAATTCGGGCTCGCCGTTCTCGAAACGGGTGTGAGCGGGACGTCGAAGTAGTTGGGCGAGTTGTGTGCCGAGTCCAATGAATATGGATCTGTGAGCGGTGGTGTCTAGCCAGAGGATGTCAGCATATGAGCTGGTAGTTTTGACCCGTATAGCTGGGGACAATTGTATAGTAGCTGAGCGGCGAGATTTATCTTGCAGCTCAGAAGTGTGGGCTTGAATATGAACGAGAGAAGAAAGCGGTGTGATTTACATGAGAGTTGGCCCCCGAATATGTTTGATTCGAAGGCAATTCTAGACCAGCCAATGAAGCATAATTCATACTGAACGGGCTCATCAAGTCTTCATCTGCGAACAGATGCTCTTGCTTGCCGTACGTCGACGGAAGCATGGTCGGTAATGTTGGGGGTAACGTCGAGGCCGTGAGTTCCGCGGGATAAGAATAAGTTGAATAGTATGGATGAGAGTCATAGGTGACTGGCTGTTGTTGCTCATACTGTAGATAGGCGGTGGTAGGGGGATATGAAGAGAAACTGAACGCTGGAGTTGAGTTCATCGATAGATGGCGTGTTGCTGGAGTGTCGAAAAGAGATGAATGGTCGTCTAGGGGGAGTAACTCTGGCGAACCTCTTTGGACGTCCTGAGATACACTTGATCTTGACGTTTGGCGGCCCATAGCCTGAGACTTGATCTGAGTCGACTCCCGGGGAGGTGGAGTTGCGAGCTCAGAATGTGATTGTTCAGGAGAGGCAGATGAAGATCCAGCGCGGCGTTCCAGATCTTCCAATCTTCTCTTCAGCTTCTTGCGATAGTTTCGCTGGATACTGTTAGCACCTCAAACTGTACGTCACTGAGGAGTAGAGGCTCACCTGTGCAATGCGATTCTGGATTCGCCGTCTTTCAGCAAGGTCGGAGATCTTGGTCCAGTCCTCATTGGGGTTCGCAGAGGCACTGAAGGCAGAACTGCTGGCATGTGTCGAGGCATATCTGGTACTGGTCGCCACATTGGAAGGGTATGAGTAACTCGTAATCCGTTGCATGTTGGCGGTAGATGAATGGGATGGTGGTAGCAGGAGTATATTGGAAGCAACTCTGAAGAATTCGGTTATCTTCGGAATGATTGTGGAATGTGAGAAGATCAAGATTGGGGCGGGTGGGCAAGTCAAATACTTAATAGTTGCGTGTCGAGTAACTGATCAATCATCTGGATAGACAGTGGGAGGCCTATGTTTGGGCCCTGGTATATACGGGCGAGGGAATGATAAATACCGCCAGGCCGAAAAGGGCATGGCTTTGATACAAGGGGTGCCGGGGACTCTAACAAAAGTTCAACCGGGGGTTTAGGTTTGAGGTGCTGGAGGGATGCGGCCACATGTGCTGCGTGCATATTTCGCTCTTGTCGGTGACCCATGCATTGCCCTGCGAGGAGCCAGCGGCCGGAGAGGCAGGGGTGGATAGAGAACTGGAAGTTACAGGGGACAAGTAGACCGCCCCCAGGGATGGATCCATAGTTGTGCTGTGTTGGTAGCGCTGTCCCACGGAGGCGGGCGAGCGAGCAGTAACTCCAAAGCCCAGGAGCGAGGTGGAGGAATCAGTGAGGCTTGTGGGCGAACGATGCCATCGGGATTGACGGAAATAGGCCTGGGAGGGTTATCTTTGGGAACAGACCATTGGTGGATGATGCAGTTTTGGGATGGAAGAAGAGATCGAGGACGAAGGTGGTGACTCGAGCGAGTTGGTTGCAACGTCGTAAGGCAGAAGTAGTGCTGCTGCGCCCCAGCCGGGACTAGTCCTCTTTGGGCGGTGGGTGCTGCCGCTTTTCCAAAACATTGCGGTGTGCTTTCGTTCCTCGACTCCTCCAAGCTGCCCAGGGCCTCTGGACTCTCAGGCTGTTCCGCCTTTGCTGCGGTCCCCTCCAAACTGCACGGTCTGCACGGTGCCGGCCAAATTGCACCCACTGGCTGGCACCTACCACTTACTTTTCAAAGCTTAGCCTGTCGCCGTTAAATGGGACCGCCTGGTGTGACTCGATCACTCCTACTCGTACTCTTAGGCTTTGTATCTCCTGGCTCCTCCAGAGCGAGAGAGATAGACACTTGTCTCCCTGTGATTCCAGGTCACTCCCCTGGCGTCCGCTCATTTGCCGCCTGCCGCTCAGTGCTCGTTGACTCTTGCTCCAAGCAGGACCATCGGTACCCAGATTCGAGGTGGACCCCGATACAGTTGATGAAACCGCGGGCACTTGATAGAGGTACCTAACTAGATACCGTTCAACTCTTACTGTTTTCGTACCTTTACAACGAGCCATACAGGAACAGGAACTACAGTCGCCACTGCAGGCACTTGCTGATTGTGTCCATCCCTCGGCTTGGTACTTTAGTTCAACTTGTTGCCACTCTCCTTCGTAATCAACAGTGCTTGGATACTCCGTACTCCGCAAATCTCATGACAGAATGTGCCGGGCTCAATAATGCAGCATCCTATGCGCAATATGCTGGATACCTTCGTCATCACTACTAACACGCCTTAGCCGCGGTGCTCCAGAGTTTGGAGGCTTAGGAACCCGATTTGAATTACCAACCGTGGATTCGTATTCTTCGGGGTTTCTCACCTGGCAGCGACGTCGACCGGCTCATGCCGCCCTCAATTATATCACACTAACAGCTGTGCGGCAGGTCACCGCTTCGCGCCATTGCTTAATCCCCTGCGTATTCTCCCAAGCGGCCTACGGAGTCTACATCTTTTCCGTACGTTGGCCGTCGGGGGACTACTTTGCTGGAAACCGGGAAACACCGTTCCCATGTCTTATGACCTAATTCCCTCCGCCAAAGTTGATTAATGGATGAGTAATTGCAGGTGCTCCTTCATCCTCACTCTCGATATTCCCGCATACATTCACTATGCAATTCATGAATTCAAATCACTAACAAACCCTGAGCTCCATAGACATCGACCGTTGCCTACACTGGATATTTCCAGGCTATGACCGTCAACGTCGATCACTGGGTTGCTGGTGAGCACGAGTGGGATGGGTTCTGACCAACTTCTCCTTTCGTTCTATCCTGGCACGTGGCTCATCAACAAGCTATTCAAGAGTTGCAATCCAAGCCTCGTCGCTTCGACAGGAATAACGGCCATCGATAGCCACACTAGGTTCCTAAAGCAGCACGCTGCCGGTCTAGCACTATGTTGAGGAAGCTGGTGATCCTGATAGTCTCCCCTGTGATGTCCTAATTTTCGACTAAAGACGAATGCGAATTGTCAGGAACATTAGCTTCTGGGTGGATCCCACCGGGGCAGCCACACGCGACAGCCTGGGGGATGTTGTCTAAATTTGCAAATCAATTGAGTACTCGGTATGTACCGTCGAGGCGGCCAAACACCTATCGCCAGCCACCACCGTTTCATCCCTCGATCACTATATTCGGGATTCCTTGGGCCCCAAAAATCCTGAGCCACACTGGATTGAGTGCAGTTGTTTTGAGGATATCCATTCGTCAAGGATCTTGCAGATTGGGATCTCAAATTATTGACCTCTGGTCACTAAAAACAGATATTCGTCGCTCTCTCGCGTCTTGTACTGCCGCCATGAAAACAACAAAGTGGTTGGGGTCTTCAACGTCTTCGACTTGTTCGACTTGTTTCGCGTGTCATCATACAGAGGACATTTTGTTGGATCAACGCCTAGGAATAGGGAGATTACTGAATTACTATTCTTGTTTAGTCAGTCTGACAGGGACTTGGGGGATTCGTTACTATTACAACTATGAACAAGTCGATTCGACCTGTAGGGAGCTGAAGGCACAACAAATGTGTGTGACTTCGGCTGGTCTGCGGCAGGTTCTCTGTCCCAGCACACTGGTACTGCCCCCTGTCGTGTGGCTTACATGTCGACAAAAGGACGATCTTTGAAGGTGAGTTTTATCCATATTCCGTACTGGGCGCGGCTGTAGCGCTCGAAATGTGTTATCAGTGATGACCATTGTCATCTCATTGCTGTTATCGTACTCCGTAAACCTCGTACTCAAAGGGACCGTCGTTTGGGTTATCCTCCACCAAAGTCATACCTTTATGAACCTGGGTTCCACATTTGCTGCATGGTTACGAAGTACGATCTGTCATCACAATGCGTGGATCAGGATCATTGGAAATTGGCGGTCATGGATATCAAGCGTGATGGGTTACGATGCAATCATTTGATCTAGCGCTGGTATAGCCAACCTCCAAAGTTGAAGATGACGCCTTCCCAAAACCTAATCCCCGAGACGGTATCCTCTTCGAAATTAATGCTGTATGGAGCACTTATTTGAAATATGAACTTTGGGATGGAGGCTTTCATTCGAATCTTCATATCCCATAGTGTCTGATTCCTGGCAATCGACCAGAAAGCTGGGCTTGATTGGCATCGTGTCCAGGGTGGTTTGTCACTTCACAGGAGAACATTATTCGCTTAGACCCCATTATCCAATTGTGGTAAGCGATTCCTCCTCAAACCTCCAATGACCAAGCGAGTTCACCGAGCGTTCAGCCCTAGGAGAAATGCCGTCCTGGCGTGTAGGATCATTAAACAATGGGCTGCCTCCTTGCGTAGGCTAGCATGGATTAGGTATTTCGCGAGCGACCGGAGGCTGCCAGTAACGCCGCAAGCGTGGCAGCCCATTTCTAGAAGCTAGCACCACGCGGCGCCCAAACAAGTCTTGGTATGCGGCTAGGTTCTTTAGATTGGCACCAACTAATGCAACGATCGACTTGCATCGCCCTCTCCGGACAGATGACAAAGATCCCACCCAAAATAAATCCTTCACCAAACGAGGCCACGGTGGTCGTGGTGCTAATTTGTGCAACGTCAACACTGCATCCTGTTCGGGTTTCACATCCCACCACCTTCCGCATTAATTTGGTTTCTGCTCCTGTTAGGCAAGCGTACGGATCGTCGGTTGTGCCTAGAAGCGCCTTCTTCAGTACTGGGCACCTGACGTTTTGGGCTTCCTTGGGCTTCACTAGGCTTACTTGTCCTCGATAATGTCCAGTGCCTTATGAAAGGATTCCTGCCAAGGTCCAGGCGTTCGCATCATCACTTCGCAGCTCCAAGCTATCCCAAATCCGACAGGCTATTGCCAAATAGAGCTATAGACCTTGGATTTAGAAGCCATTGCTACAGCCTCCAGAGCTGTAACATGCCCAGAATCCCCGATGCACCGTATCTATTCCGGACTCGTACCAGATGACTACGGAGTATGGTAATTCTGAATCAGGTTCGAACCTTGAGAACCTCGCTGGAGCCACCTGGACGACTAGTGCGTGGCATCGAACGTCTAGGGAACATTCCGGTCCATGGCAATCATGATTTCCTGTTCACCAGGTAAAATCCCAGTAACACCGTTGGCAGGGTTGAGTTGTCATGGTGCCAGAAGAGCCGCTAAAGGCTGAACAGCAACTATGATTACACGAACTAAGCGATCGGGGCTCTGATCACACCCAGACTCACGCTTCTCAGGGCTGAAAGTGGTCCCAGGACACTCCATAAAACTATCCTGCTTTGGTAGTGGGCAAACGATCTGCTATTGGATCGTTCACTAGCGCGTGTCAATTCATCAGTGTGCCTCAAGGCCCACTGTACCCGCCCACACGACTTGTACCAAGACTTCATACAAAGTACAGACTTCAATCTTGGACGACTGTGACCCCTGTCTGTCATTTGGCCCGTTCATTGCCTAAAACGGCGTCCTGAGATGATACCCGAGTTTGGTTCTGCCCTAGAACATCAGATACCCTTCTTTCAACGTACTCCGTACCTGGAGGCTTGGATGCTGCCCGATGCAGACTCATCCACCACTCAGCAACAGGAATAGGATACCTAACGGCTGATTCACGGCTGCAGGTCAAGAAACATGGTCGCTATTGATCCTAGATACAAGGCCATGCGCTGTCATTGTCTTTTCCTCCAGTCAGCTCGCTTCATTCCCGTCTTCCTTGAGGTGGTGGTGGGCTCAGTCTCGAAGGAGTCGTTCACAGAACCGACAGCCCCATAGCTGGAGGTGGAGTGCTCCTGGTCTCGGACATGCTCAAGAATCCGCTTCTAACAGACCAACGAGCAGTACCTGCCGCTGTACCTGCCGATGTACCTGTTCCCTTGGGCCAGGATATCGTTGCAGGTCTGGATCACTTCTCTACTTGGAGGATCTTGTAACAGAGTACCTTGACACCACTGTCGGTTTCGAATATCTCTATAGTCGGCTTGCCTGGGGTTGAGGATTCAACCTCCTCCAAGCCACAATTGCTACATCCGTGGACTTGATGCGGTGGAGGTCGCCGAATCGTGCCCTTGTCTACGCTGTCTGCACGGCGTCCACCCACTTCGTATCGTGAAATTGGATCTTTTGGTGATCTCCAAACCCATTAAGCCTTGCAACTTCACCTCGAGCAACGACTCATGACAATCGACGTACGAGTCGCAGGGGCGTCTATTACCCGATCCGAGACCTGTTCAGATAATTGAATACTCATTCCAAAAAGGTGTGTGGGTCATTGCAGACTCGTCCATAGAGCGATCGTCGAACGGCGAGGGATATTTGCCCAAGCGAAGGCGAGACGCGAACGACGAAGTGTATCACAGAAAAGGACACGCATTCTGTCTCATCCCTGCCAAATTGAGGATCATACAGCTCTCCGGAGACCGTGTTCTTTACCCCCATAGGATGGTTACGAACTGAGCGTGAACCACTGGAAACCCCTTGTCAGGGGGATCGCTCTTTCAACCCATTAAGGTTGTACTCCGTTCTATACGTGTGGAACTTGTCCTCGCTCTCGTGCGTAGTAAGTAGGTACTTGCTTACTGGTAATCTGCACAGTGTGTCCCCATCGTCTTATCAGTACCTAGTCACGGGCTTTCGCCATGTGGTCACCACCAGCCGTGAGTAACCGCGAGCTGGATAACATCCACGCAACATCAAGACCCGGAAGAAAGGTCTCATCGTACAGCTCTCAGTCATCTCTGACATAATATCATCCCGGATCAGCAGAAGTGGGTGGGAACAAAAGGACAAGATGAGGTTTCTGAGCATTATCTCGGATGTGTCATGCTGTTTACGAACGGGGCATCCATTCGCATTCCAGCTCACTGGTTCGTGAACGGTAATCATCATTCAACGGTTTTGCAGGACCCTTAGGGGACCTACCGCATGCCTCGGCCTCGGGAGCATGTGCGTTCGGGATGTCTCCTTGCCGGCTTATAGGTAATCATTTCGGAACGAGATATAGAGTCCTTACCACCCAAATGAGTCTCCACTCATTTATTGTCTCTTTTGCGAGATTCCCTATCGGTGTGAAAAGTCTTTACTCTTTAGGGAGTGGAAACGTACCGTGGCCAGTTCCTTTGCTGTCCGAGTTAATCATCAATCAAAGGGCTGAAGTACGACCAGAAAATGCTTGATAGCGGTCAAGCACTGAGATGTCAGAACTCTGATCAATTCAGCCCCGTCACGGTGGCGAAATTGATGACCCCAAGTGTGTCCCCTTTCCTCCTCGCTCCCCACTCTCAACTCCAGCGAAGAAATACATGCAATTTGTGATCGGATTCTTGGTTGTGTGATCCTACTCGTGGCCACAATTGTTATCGAGGGGTTTTGATGGAGCCATTATGGATGGGGAGGGTGGGACCCTGGGAAACCACATATCGACAGTCGATCTGTTTGGGAAATCATTTTTCCAAACCTGCCTTGTATTTCGGGACATCATGGATTGTCTCATCTTTGTAATTGATACATGTGGACCGAAACGCGACTCCTCGGGAGTCGAGAATGATTGATCGGCGGCGCTCATGTCCTTCTATCCGAAAAATATTGACCGAGGAGGGTGGGTGGGTAATACGAATGGATAATCGCAAGGTTGGTACTGATGCAAGATAACGAAACAAGAACGGCCCACGGGGAGTGCATGTATGAAGTCGAGTAAACGGACAGGGACAGCGTATGCAGGTAGCGGGGAGTGAAGCAGCCACGCCTTTTTGCTTTGGGACTGATCTCGCACCGTGGCGATACGCTTTAACATGTCAACTCATTGGTAGCCCATGTCTAACAGGATTCGATGCTGCAGTGGTCAATGTTGGCCCCAACGCTACTGAGCAGCACTTATAACGGAAGAGGGCGCCTTGAGGAAGAGATCTCTTTTTCCTCATTCGCTCAAATTTAGGGCATTTCTCAACTCCGCATCACAGTCTGCAATTTGAAAGTGAAGTCTGGAACCCACCTATCAGTATCCTCTGCCTCCCCCTTCGCTTGTTGCCGGACTAGTTGCGTGTGGCTTCCAATGAGAAATGTGTTTCAGATGGGAACTTGCAGATCGAGATGTGATTCTGAACGAACATTTCTGCAATCAATGTTCGTTGACGCCAGGATGTGCTTGTCACCCCCGAGATCCCAGAAGTCGGGTTCATCCTTGGTTCCTTTCTGGCGCTGCAATGCTGAAACTCTGGCTGCATAACGTTCAGCATTCGGAATACTCATGTGCGCCTCCGCGGCGGTAGGAGTTCTTGTCTAGCTGCCACTTGAAATTGGTGATAGTGTTCTGGGTATTGAGTGTGTACCGGCAGTTGTTTGCTTCGATGTGTCCCTGGCGGCAGCACTCCGGTATTGGGAATGTTTCAGAAGTCGAGATTCTTTTGGCCCTCCGCCTCCACGGGGTTATACTCTTCAGGGATGAGTCCTCTGAAATTGTATTTAAACGAATATCGTATTGCCCTTCTTGGCCAGACTTGCGATGCTGGTGACCTCGGGCTCCAAAGCCGCCAGGAAATGGCTCCGATTGCAGGATTTTGATGGAAGTCCTTGCAGCAAGACCAAAGTGAATTATCATTCTCTTCTTGAGTCCAATCACTAGGCCTTTCTCCTTGTTGGTAGATTTGATCATCCAAAATCCGGGATGCAAAGTAAAATGCCATCCGGATCCTTTCACAAGAAGGAGAGTTTCAGGCCAGAGTGAAGCATGCGTGCATGAACCTTTGCATCTCTGTTTGTTCCTACAGTTTTCCCCCTTACACCATGCAGGTACACGAAGGCTTCCGCATTCAACCCCACAAAGTCACTCACCTTGAGATGGATCTTAGTTTCCCTTCTGCTAGGATCTTAACCATAGACTTGGAGCCGCCCTTCGAGATTCTAGACTGACGAGACCGCCGCTATTCGGGCACCGAGTGCCCCTTGACCCAGCGTTGATGATTACCTGTCTGCATTGCTCCTGCACCTAACAATCATCCAGTGGGAAGTTTGATTCAATAGTGTTGCCAGAGAAACAAGTTGGTAGGTCTCAAGTAGGCAGAGCAGATGATCCGTTGAATCCCTTCGGTCTCATTCTGATCCAGAGCCTCTGGCCAAGTTCTCGAAACGCATTTTCCAATTTCGGAGATGGAAGGATTGAAGGTCACTGACCTCGTCACGACACATGAGCATAAAATGGTCAAGGAGGATTCATGTTGGATCTTTATTGCCACCAAAGACAATCTCATAGAAGCTTTGCAACCCCCAGGCGTTGCCAGCCACGATTTTTAGGCGGTGTAGGTATGCCTAGCCTGGCTCAGGGGCGCTATGTCAAGCATGCAATAAGCCTCGGATAACTTGCGGTATTAGGCGCTGGTTAAGTGTCTACACGGGGTCGAGACTCAGGAGGTCGGTTTAGGCTACGAGCCTCTACATTCGAAGCCCCAAGCGGCTGCCTCCGGGTATGATTTTGTGTCAACCCCTCAAATTGTTGTGCCCAGAGTTGGCGAGCCAGTCAGTTGCTGGCATTTGCTCAGCGAAAACGCACGGCTCTGATCCCACATTTCCCACCTCCAGTTCCCCAACTTTATCCACGTTCGTCTCAGTTCCTCCCATAATTCCGCCTTCTTGACCTCCTCTCAGCACTCCATCCAACTGCGGAAATATTCCTCCACTTGCCAATATCAGTCCACCGCGAGAGTCACTGGCGTGATCTGGACCGTGATCAGGCAACATGACCTCCAGTACTGTCGCATCTGACAATTCGCCACAGCCAAATGGTCACGGTGAGAAGAGGAAGGCCGACGATGATGCGAGCAACGCTGGACAAGCACATACCCGCTCCAAAAGGAACAGATACATTTCCATCGCGTGGTAAGGAATGCTTGACCGTGATATCCAACTGCGGCTGTTATACAATATACAATATACTCTCATACTGACATCTTTTGTACACAGCAATGAGTGCAAACGCCGCAAGATCAAGTGCAATGGGCAAACGCCATGTCAGCGGTGTGGGAATCTCTCGCTCGAGTGCGTTTATGCACCAAATTGCTGCACCAATTCACTCAAGGACTCGGCGTATGTTGCTCTCACTACTCGTTTATCATTCATTGACCATGCAATACAGGGAATTCCGCCAGATGCGCGATCATATAACCTCGCTGCAAGAACAGGTCAACGATTTATATGCTAGTTTGAACGAGCTGCGAAATCGACCAGATACAAGCTATGTCGGTGCCCTTGACCCTCAATTCTCGCAAGAAGGCTCTACTCGCAGCATGTCCATATCTGTTCCCCGTACACTGCCTCCTCTCATCTCGCCCAAAAGACCTTCCAAAGGGCTACCGCAGTTTCACGGCCCGACCAGTACATTATATGGTTTGGATGTGGCCAAATCCTCCTTGCAAACCATGGGCATCACGCACAATATGGTGGATGAAGGCCTAGGGTCTGCAGACAGAAGTCGTGCAGCTTCACCAATTCCAACGTCGCTGCCACCTCATCCATCCAAGGATCCGCTGTGGCTGATCGATTACAATGAAGTGGCTCGAATTCTACGCGTTTACGAGGAAGAGATAGGTATCATGTACCCCGTGATAGATGCGGAGAAGGTCTTACAACATGCACAATCTCTGTACAAGTTTATCGGTGCTTCCCTTCGGACAGGCCTTGGTCAGCCAGGACTCCCAGGTGCTGATACATTTGATGATGAAGAAACCACCATTCTCAAGATGCTTCTTGGGATCACACTCACAGTCGAAGGCCATGGTCGCAGTGAACTTGGCCAAAGGTTCTTCGATGCAGCAAAGCCTGCCACTGATTTGAAGCTTGTCACCTCGATCGACTTGAAATCAGTGATTTTGGTTGTTCTTACAGCAACCTATTACTTCCAGAGGGATGAAGAGGCTCAAGCCTGGCGTTTCATTGGGATTGCAGCTCGCATGTGCATTGAGATGGGGCTGCATCGCAAAGAAACATTGCTCAAATTATTCAACAATGAGGCTGAGTATCAACATGCTATTAGAATATTCTGGACAGTTTATGCTTTAGACCGCCGTTGGAGTTTCGGAACAGGCATGCCTTTTGCTTTACAGGATGCGGATATTGATCCCGGCTTGCCAGAACCTGTAAGTACCATTCGCAATAAATTTGAGCTGATTCCTGACAAATTAATCGTAGGATGAGAGTCGCCCATACCTCAAACATATTACGAAATACAACCAGATCGCTACAAAGGTATGGTACCATAACCTTGCATATGATGGAGGACAGCAGACAAAGAAGGACGAAATTGGATTCTTGGATTATCAAATCTTGCAGTGGTACGATCAACTTCCGGATGCCTTGCAGTTCAACAGTCGAGATATTATTCGTGAGAATGAAATACCTGGACGGGGCGCTCGACGCTTGAGGTTGTTGATGTACATGCGTAGAAATCAGGCACGCATTTCAATATACCGGCCCATACTCCACTCGGCAACGAGTATTATGGAACATCGACATTACGCACAGAACGTCGTCGATGTGGCGAAAGATACAATCAACACCTTGACGGGAGTGAATCAGATTTCGGATATTTACAAGACGCAACAGCAGCTCTACAATTACTTTTTGGTGCAAGCTTTGGCTGTACTTTTCCTATCGGTCGCGCATGCGCCAGCAGTCTTCTGTACCCAAACCAGAACAGAATTCTATGCTGCCATTGAGCTCATCAAAGGATTCAGCACCAAATCACATGTATCAAAAAGGCTGTGGCGTACGATCCGAGGACTCAAAGACATTGGTGACAAACTCGCACTCATAGCACGAGGAGGAGGCGCTGGGATGAACGATCCTGATCAGGATGCCCAATCCGACGCGGCTGTTGCAATGGCTGGTCTGGCTGGTCACAAGGTGGACTACCATGGCTACAATGGCAATGGGCATAGACTCAATGGTGGTGAAGAACTCGGGGTCAGCCCGGATGATGCCTTACAAATGACCAATGAGTTGTCTAGCTTATTTGAACTGGCTGGTGGATACGGCGCGAATACTCCTGGCCCCGACGCGTTCAACTACGTCGGTTCTAACGCAGACCTTGGAGAGGGATTTAATGTATTCGGCAACGAGCCGGCATTGACACGGATCATGAACGAACTGTTTTAGTTTGGGTTGGAGCCGGAGGGGTTTCTTTTGCACTAGCGCCGACGTTGGGTATTGTTTTTCTGATGACTCTGTGAGACGACGCGCAACGAGAATACAAAGGATAGCAAAGTACCTAGGTATTTGGTAGTTTACCAATTCAGCTTTTCCAGGCGTTGCTTGCTGCTATTTTCCCATACCTCCCTGAACAATTTCCGTCACGTGATTGAAGCCATGCCAAGACCAGACCGAACCTCAACCGGCCAGATTCGTCTACCAGATTCAAGTTGGAGGGCATGATATGCCTTCCTCGACCCGCAAGGCGCATTCTATGTCATGAAGTGACGCCAAACACGGTCTAATTTCTCAATACCATAATCATTCAGTAGTCTTCCGTACCACAGACTTTCGATCCTCTATGATTCCATACTCGACAAGCCGTTCACCCCAGTCATTCACCCACACTCAGTCTATCCTCACTCAATATCGCCAGTCCCTCCGCCTGCCTTGTACAGCCTCCCTCACGCTTCACCCACTCCAGCATTGCTAATCTCGAGTGTTGTTTCTCGTATCGGGCCAGAGTGACCTACGAGAGGCGTCAATGTCTTTGTAGTCGCCATTAACCTCACAATCCTCTGCGAGCCAACCCCTCCACCCCACCCACTGTTCCTCACGGCCTGATTCCATCTCTTATCTCCAGCGCGAGACTCGACTCTCACAACCAACCACTTCCCAAATAAACACTCGTGTCGCACAAAATCAACACCAATCTGTCTGCAGAGCAGGCCTCCGTTCTGGCCACGGGCCTGGACAGGCTTCAATTTGAATCCGACTTCTCCGAGTCCCTCTATTACCAACATTTCACCAGCTCGTCCGCTACAATCTCCGAGATGTCGCAGTCATCCTCTCAAAGTCCAGATAGTTGGATCGGCACCTTCTGCAATTTGGTGGGCCACGAGTACTTTGCCGAAGTCAGCGAAGATTTTATCGAAGATGATTTCAATTTGACGGGTCTACAAGCACAAGTACCCATGTATAAGGATGCATTAGAAATGATTCTCGATGTTGAGCCGTCAGAGACGAATTCCTCAGCCTTGTCGGATGAAGAAGAGGAAGAGGAGGAAGAAGAGGAAGACGATGGCCTGTTGGGGGATGAATTGGACGACCCTCTGAACAACGGAAATGGTGAACCCAGAAGACAGTCAGGTGTATCTGCCGGTACTGGTGGTGTTGCCGGTGGAAGACGACATGGGCGCTCCTCGTCCGATACTAGTGTCATCGAGTCATCCGCTGAACTTCTCTATGGTCTGATTCATGCTCGATACATCACATCAAGGCCTGGAATTCAACAGATGATGGAAAAGTACGAATTGTCCCATTTCGGGTTCTGTCCGCGGGTGTATTGCGCCGGGACAAAAGTCCTACCAGTTGGACTCACCGACAGCCCAGGCCAACAAACGGTCAAGCTGTTCTGCCCGAGTTGCCTGGACGCTTACACGCCTCCTAATTCTAGGTTTCAGGCTGTCGATGGCGCTTTCTTCGGCACGACTTTCCCATGCTTGTTCTTCATGTCATATCCTGATCTCGATGTCGCTCCGCTTAAGAGACGTTCCGCTAGAGACTCTACTGTTCAGGGTACCGATGACGCAGAGAGCATTCTGAGTCCTAATGATACGACCAATGCTCGTGGCAGTACAGGTATTAGTGCAAGTCGAAGCTCTAGCCTCACATTACCCCAACCACCAGCGATTCCCGGAGTGACACAATCTAAGGACGAAAAGACGGCGTTAGCCAACGCATTGGCGTCTCTCCCACCTCAGCCTCTGACTATCAACGGCTCGGCCACACATAATCTTGCACCAGGGCTAGGGAAGGGGAAAATCTACGAGCCCAAGATCTACGGTTTCAGAGTATCTGAACGAGCAAAGAGTGGGCCGAGGATGAAATGGCTTCGATCCAAACCTATGGACATCAACTACCTAGACGAGGCACAGAAATACCACGACAGGTACGGTGGAACTGTTGATGGCGATCCCGACGAAGAGCCTCACGCATTGCCCGGCGAAAAGGAGGATGACGAAGCTGAAGAAGAAGCTGCAGCCGATCAGGATGGTGACGCAATCATGATGAGCCAGGGTCAGGGACAGACTGGAACACGGTCAAGAACGAAACGAGAAGCTGATGCAGATGGCGATGCACTACTGGGAGGTCAGAATCAGAATCAGGCGAAGTCTAAAGCTTCAAGGAGGAAATCAGGGCCCCCAAAAGTGACGACGGAGACGACGGCAGCTGGCCAAACCAATCAACAAGATGGAAGTAATTGGATATGAAAAGCTGGCATGCGACTCCCTACAGTGTGGGATGAAGTGATGCTTTGCCTGTGTGACTCAATGAGTATGATGAGGATGAGGACGAAGATGAAGATGCAAGAAACATAATAACAACCAAGCAGGCGAACTGCAAGACGACTTTCCGAAAAAGTCGAAGGGACGCAGCAAGCAGGAACCAATCAACCCAACAACCCCTTTTACATACCTTATGCAACCATTAGAGAACCCCCCAAGAAGACCACCTGTTTAGCATTTTCTCTCTTTTCCCCGAAAGACAAAACGAGAATGGTACAGAGCCGCGAAGAGAACAAACAAACCCAGCTTTTTCTTCTTCATCTTCAGGCTTGTTTCTCTTTCCTTCTTCTTCGTCTTCAAGACCATCAAATTGATCGCTCGATGTATACGTCCAGTGAATGAGTGAGTGAGTAAGTGCACAATGAATGTCCCAATTAGACTCCAGCCACAGTGAGGCACCAAGGCAAGAAGAAGGACCAAAACGGGAAAGAGCCCAAGCATCGAGAAAAGAAGAATCAATGATACATTTCATCCACATACATATCTATCCTGTCCTATCCTGTCCTATCCTATCCTATCCTGTCCTGTCCTGTCCTGTCCTGTCCTGTCCTGGCCGATTCTATCCTATGCTATTCTCGATACCTTCCTATGACCCAAGACCCTGATACGTCGCTGGCAGAAGGTCCAGCTTGCTCTCCGGGTGTGGGCTTGACTCTTGGTGAGTGAGGGTGTTGTTGGCCGGTGGTCTACTTGACGAAACGTTTTACGTCTGTAGATATTGAGATTCATGTTGGGATTTGCTCGAATGGAGTGTGAAGTTCTTTTACCGTGGTTTTTCCGTGATACATGTGGATTTAATCTCAGGATGTTCATGACGTATGAAGTTGGAATTATGTATATTCTCGCTCATATCTTGATCTAGTTATGTGCGGTCTACTGTACTATGGTAAAACGCAAACAATACCGAGCTTGAACAACTCCTTGCTTCAGCACCGCTCGAAGTTCGGAGCGTCCATCTACCACAGCTGGGGATAGCTGCTCACAAAATCAGCGCATGGGTCGGCCAGACTCATCTCACTCTCGCTGCCAATGCCAGTGCGCCTTCCCTAACCCGCGACAGTATACCCTTGAGCACGTCCTTTGTCCGCGCCTTTCCATTCTTAAATGCAAAATAGGCACCGTACAGAGTACTGACAAGGGCGAAGAGCTTCAACAACCTTGCCAATGTAAGCTTAACCAGACCTTTACGCGTATACGTTGCTTCCCAGTGGCTCCAGCGAGGGAACATGCACCTCAGGGTGAAGTCAATTTGAGTGCGTGGGTAGACGGTTGAATTCCAGCCATTCTTGTCGAAATACCAACTGTTACAGCCGCCCGACATAAAGACCGAGTTCTTCAATGCATCCTGAATGCCCTTGGTCCATTCTCGCTCTGCAGACTCCTTAACCTCGTATTTTGTAACATCACCACGAAGGACTGGTTTGATGAAGTTGAGACTGTAATTCACCATGTTCTCGCTAGCGAGGATTACACTTGAGTGGCCCGTTGCGGTGTTTGGCCCGAAGATCATGAAGAAGTTGGGGAAGCCATCCATGGCAGTACCTAAGTATGCTTGAGCACCACCGCGCTCCTCCCAAGTCTTGTAAAGGGATCTGCCGTTGCGGCCGGTCACGTCAAGTGGGTGTAACCAAATGTTGGTCTCATATCCATTGGCCATGACAATAACATCTGTAGGGATGGTTTTCTCCTCTGTAGGAACCTTAGAATCAGTCTGAGACATTGGTGGGTAATAACGACCCGGACCAAGTGTCACTGATTGAGGCTGAACCGAAGTCAGAGGTAGGGTGGTGATTTCAATGTCAGGGTGTTGGAGCGATTTGAACCAGCCTTCATCAATCACTCGTCGTTTACAAAAGACTTCGTAGTCCGGCGTCAAGATCTCCTGGTATTCCTTTGGTACGTGCTTGCGCATGTGAGCCAGCAGTTCGTCCTTTTTAGCCTCTCTATGTTTTCTTGCAGCTTCGGTAGCCGAGAACAGACTGATAAACTCGGCTTCGATAAAGGAGAAAAGCAATTTCCGGAAAGCATTCTGGAAACCGGGAATGCGCCGGGAGAGTTTTGGAACGGTTTGCGAAAGAAAGCGAACTTGTTCATCAGGAATAGTCGGTGCAACCCAAGGAGGCGACCGCATGAGCTGAGTGACGTGCTTCGCGCCATATTCCGGTTTGACGAGCTGTGGAACTACTTGAGCTGCGGAGCAGCCTGTACCTACCACCACAACATTCTTGCCTCGGAAGTCGACGTTTTTGTCCCAACGGCCGGTGTGAACGATTTCCCCTTCAAAGGTATCGATACCTGGGAAGTCGATAGGTCTCTTGGGTTCAACCAGGCCCCCAACAGCGGAAGCGACGACTTTGGCGCGTATGATCTCGGTGCGCAGAACTGCAGCACCTTTGCCTTTCTCTTTCTCCAATGTCACTCGTTGATGAGTTGCAAGATCTCCGACTCCAGGAGCCAAATGTTCTAGAACGATTTCCCATTCTTCCTGCTGATCGAGCCATCGCATAGACTTGACAGATGTGTCGAGCTGGATTTTATCAAGGATCTCGTATTTCTCGCAAACATCAGCCAGATACCGGACGATCTCCTTGCCAGAGGGAAAGACGCTGGTCCAGGAGGGATTTTGTGCGAATGAGTAGGAGTAGAGAATGGCAGGTCTATTTGAATTGAAAGGTATTAGCAAATACTATGGACTCTCTAGGATCCGGAGAGGGGAAACCATTACACATCACAAGCAATGCCAGGATAAGTGTTGGCATACCAAGTGCCTCCCAGACCGGACATGCGTTCAAATATACGAAATTGGTCAAAACCTAGCTCAGAGCGTAATCGACAGCCCATGGCGATGCCAGACTCTCCCCCGCCAATGATAGCAACTGGGTAGTAGAGGTAGGATGTGCCATCAGGCTCTGAGATGTATTGGATCTTGTCAACCTTTTTTGCCATTTTGAAGACCTAAGTCTGGAGATCTGGAGGTAGTGTGGGAGATGCTGGGGAAAGGAGAGGGGTAAAGGATGGGAAGATATGGAGGTGATTAGCGAAAAGAACGACTCGAGAAGGGAAAGAAGGAAGGAGGAGACCACGACGTGGTGGCCTGATAAGTGTATGAGTCCAACTAGGAACAGAAGATACCTAGGTACTGGTCTTTCTGTCAACCTTGAAGTGATTGCGAATTTAGAAATGCCTTATGGGAAGACAAGGCCCGATCGGGCCATCCATGATTTCCCAGGGTCTCAGGACTCATGCATCATGTTGATCAATCACGTTTTCGCACGGAGTCTTGGGGATTGGGGAAACAAACAGTGGAGTGATTACACCCCCCATCGTTTTCATTAATTAATGCAATATCACATGTGTCTGTGCCCGTAGCGATTCGCGCCTCCGAAGGTTCTCCTCTGTTTGACTTGGAAAGGAAGGGACCGAGGCAAGTGCGTCAACAGAGTCAGTTCAATTTGCCAGTGCCAGACGCGGTTCCAATTAGTAGCCATACTTTAGCTCAGGTTCTTCGGCAGGTAGTTTCGCCGAATTCTCCAACGCTCGTATTTCGTATCCATCCAAAATCGATTCCAGGCTTCTTTTGGGCTCAAACGGTCTCATGATTCGCAAGTATAGCCGCAAGCCTGTTTACGACATCAATGTCCGAAGCACCTATACATTGAATGGGTAGCAGCTCGCAACAGTCTTCAGATCGAGTCAAGGTAGGCCCGTCCGAGCCTCGGGAGTCGAGAGATATCTCGATCACTATCCACGCCCTGGTTTAGCAGCTGGGCTACCGAGACAGCCAGGGCTCTTTCCTTTCTGATGCAATGCATTCCTCCACGCCCACTATCATGCCTTCAGGCTCTTAGGTGTCAAAACTTTGGCATTAGACACTTCAACTCGATTACCTCGACTGGTGCGCTAAGCTTGAATCAAGTTCCGGTCCTCCCTTCATGGGATCCAGAACCATTCCATGTCCTGGCCTATATTCCAGCCCTGCCTTACCAATTCCCTCGATCGGCATCAGATCTCCCATCAGCCTGTTCTAGATGGTTCACCCATCAGAGCTGGGTCCCCAGTGACGGCAAAGTCAATCCTGATCATGCCATTTGGGAGATTACCAAGAGCTCTGAGTTAAACCCTTCATTCTGGACCAAGTATCAAGACACCTTGGTGCCACTGGAGCTCACCTCGACTAGCGATGACATCTCTGAGTCGTCCGAAGAGGAGACCTTTGAGCGTGTCGAAGAGGCACCGCTAGAGATTCTGTTAACCTATCTCTCGCCCAAGTCCAACCAGCCAACTGTACCACCTGGACACCAAAGATCTCAGCGCAATCACTCCATATACTTGGCTCAATGCTCATTGGCCGCCCTGCCACCAGCTCTCCAGCAGGACCTGCCCACTCCAAGTCTCATCACTCACAAGAGCTCTTCCAGCCCAATCAAAGGCGACATCTACGCTTCCAGCCTCTGGTTAGGACGACCCCCAACCTACACACCTCTCCATCGGGATCCAAATCCCAATATTTTCATCCAACTTGCTGGTCAGAAAGTGGTGCGACTTCTGCCTCCTGAGATTGGCGCTGCGGTCTTCGCCGACGTTCAAGCACGTCTGAACCATCGTCAAGATACCTCTGCCAACATCCGAGGTGATGAAATGATGATTGGCCCAGAAAAAGCTGTCCTCCACAACGCCATCTGGCCCATAAAGGATGGGGCTTCCCCCTACGAAGACTTCATGACCACATATGGGCAAGAGACAACGCTTGGAATGGGCGATGCTCTATTCATACCTAAAGGATGGTGGCATAGTGTCAAAGGCGTGGGTACTGGGGTTACTGCCAGCGTGAACTGGTGGTTCCGATGATTCCTTTTCAGGTATTTCCCACTATTACGATTCCCGAGATCGACATGAAGCTTGAGAGTATCCAGACTGATTTCTTTGTATGTATATATGTACAATAAACTTCTCAATGACTGGAGCGCCATTAAACCAACTTGAAGGTGAGAACATCTTCATCAGACATTAGTGCGTACCATACCACTAGTGAGCCACTAAATGTATAGTTGTAACTAGTGCAAAAGCTAGCAAAAACCGATAGAAGAAGTAATTTAGCCGAACGAATTTCAGTTTTACTCTCCGCTGGTGACCTGATTTCTTTATTGAAAGCACCCAGCTCAATCATCTTTCATTTATTCACGGCGTCTCTCCCTCCACATTCCTTTCTGCTTGTGGTGTTTTACCTTCTTATAATAGATAGCATGATTGTGCTGCGCCGCGCACCGATTCATAGTGTCCGTCATTATGTGACTGCCACTGCCTCAGTCGCCTCTTCGCGCGCTGCTCAATATGGCCGCATCACAGCCAACAGACAATTAATCTCCTCCAATACACAATCATCATTTCTCCAACCATCCATATCGTCTATCTCCTTCTCCTCCCGTCTCCTCCCCTCGAATCATATTCTTCTTCGGTCTCTACACACTTCTCAGCCACAACTCAAACAGTCTAAACCCGAAGACGAAGTCCGAGATCCGCCGAGGAGCGAAAAGCCAAAACAAGAAGCCAGTGAGGAGAAGGAAAAAAGCGAAGAATCAACAGGAGAAAAAGACAAAGACGAAAAATCGGAAAAGGATGGCAAGGATTCAAAGGAGGACGCTGCTCCTCCGCCACACGGAGACAAGACGCCCTGGCAGGTCTTTACCCAGACTCTCCGTACCGAATTCAAAGCTTCCAAAGAGTGGAATGAATCTACCAAACAACTTTCTGGATCTGTACAGCAATTTACGGAGTCAGATGCAGTTCGAAAAGCTAGAGAGGCATCCGAGGCCGCAACCAAGGGAACTTCTCAAGCCATCAAATCCACTGGGCGAGTAATCGGACAAGGTGCTGCCTGGACCTGGGATACAAAAGTCGTTCAAGGAATCCGAGAAGGTGTCAATGCGACCGGTCGTGGAATTGAGAAAGCCACTCGACCTGTTCGAGAAACCAAAGCATTCAAGGACGTCTCGGAAGCCATTGACGACGGAAGTAGTTCAAGATACGGTGGCTGGACTGAGAAGGAAGAGAGGCGAAGAAGGAGGGAGGCTAGAGAGGCGAAAGAACGAGCTTCTGGCAAACTCCCGTCAGAACCCATTGTTGAAGATCCAAAGTAAATCCCCCTGTTCCTGCCAAGTGAAACTGTTGCTAATCCATCACAGTGCCGGAACCAACATTACCGTTCATAAAGATGCCGCATGGAAAGAATCCTGGAATAGTTTCAAGGAAAATTCCAAGGTCATGCAAGGACTCTTTAACATGAAAAACACCTACGAAGAATCCGAAAACCCTCTGATTTCAACGGCTCGATCGATCTCCGATCGTGTTGCCGGGTTTTTTGCGGAGAACGAAACCGCTCTGGTCATCAAGAAATTCCGTGAAATCGACCCTTCTTTCCAGATGGAGCCTTTCCTGCGAGACATGCGAGAATACATTTTACCAGAAGTTTTGGATGCCTATGTGAAGGGTGACGTGGAAACGCTGAAGCTCTGGCTCTCCGCTGCTCAATTCCAAGTCTATTCTGCTCTGATGGAGCAATACACAAAGGCAGGATTGAAGTCGGACGGAAAAATCTTGGATATCAGAGCCGTCGACATTCTCAATGCTCGACTCCTGGAGCCTGGTGACATTCCAGTTTTCATCATCACCTGTCGGACGCAAGAAGTCCATGTATACCGAAACAAAAAGACTAATCAACTTGCCGCTGGCATGGAAGATAAGGTCCAGCTTGTAACATATGCCATTGGCGTCACGAGGTTACCAGAAGAAGTCAACAATCCCGAGACACGAGGCTGGAGGATGATTGAGTTGCAGAAGGCTGCCAGAGATTACATATGATCTGTCGATAAAAGGATCACTTCACCAGCATTCTCAATAGGACAAGCTTGCTGGACAATCACCAACCAACCTCGCTGTTCAGTCATATGAAATCCTTCATTGGCGATCGAACGCCTGCCGGTAGGTGGTGTTGGGCACGGCGACACTGCTGCAGATTCGCACCGCTGTTTTGTCATCACTAATGTCTTCTCAATCTCTGGAGAACTGGCTTGGTCAACTCAACTCGATTTGGGAAGGAGAACTTCATGTCTTCTATCACACCACCAATCCCTCTCCAAAAACAAGGAAATGGGCCAGGCATTGAGTCGGAATGCACGTTTACTTTCAAAACAATGTACTTATATGATTTCTTTCTTCTTCCACACTCTCCACTGACTGGCCTGGATTGAGTTTGATCATGTGTGAGAGAATGGAATTGGAGGATGAGGATGTGCCAAAATAATTCTGAGCAGATTTCAAAAAGAGAGATCTGAGACTTAGTATCATGGAAGGGGAAATCTGTTATAATACTATGCATGAAGCATGGAAGGCTGATAACATGTCCAGCCTCGTAGCTCTTCAGAGACGCACTACTGCTGAATGTCTCTTTTTCGATGCATAGCGACGATCGAGAAAAGGAGGGAGAAATTCCGGGGTGATGGGATTGAACATGACACAATACAAATATTTCTTCTCTTGACTTTCAAGTCCTTATTCCCTAATCACATCCTTTTTCTCGAGGGTTCCAAACACTCTGCAACTCGACACGGCTGTCAAATGACCAGCCATGCCCAACCAGTGCCCCAATTTTTCTATGTCTTCCATCCACTGACATCAAGGCTATCAACGGTTGCACTACGTCATTCTCATCTCCAATCCGCCACACCTTGAAGACATCATATCACCAAGATCTGAGGGATGGTGAAGCCAATGAAAGGGTCCCGATTGACTTTCACAACGCCAGGCATCCGTATTCCTCGTTCGAAGAAGTACTTATCATTGTAATGCCAGCAATCCAACTAATCGCTTTCTTTTACTTTCAAACTTCCTTGATAGACATTAAATACATATTGACCAACCCCCAACCTTTCCACCCACAACACCACACTACGTCACCGTAAACCACCACAAGATCCCAACGACCCAATCAACCAAACCAAAAATGCCACTCGTCGTCCCCGGCATCAACTCGAAAGACTCCTCTTCCTCGTCAGGCTCAGGATCAGGCTCCGACTGGCAAAGCAAACTCCTGGGCAAGACGCTCGGCAGCGCGAGCAACGAGACGAGCTTCGCCAAGAAGGACCTGCCGCAGAACCATCGCGTCGTCGAGGAGAACTCGATGCTGACCATGGACCATGTGCCTGATCGGTAATGTTTTTGGACCCCTTTTCACCCCTTTTCAGGGAGCTGGGACAAACCCTGTGCATGTGACACAATACTAATTTGTGCTTTTGGGTAGGTTGAATGTCCATGTCGATAAGGACGGGACGGTCAAGAAGGTGACTCACGGCTAGAGAGAGAGGGAGAGAAATACTACCAATTCAATCCTAGTTAAAGTGGGGCATTAAAAACTTCTGTCATTCCACACCACACTTCACGTTCTAGACGGACCGGAAGTTATAGGTCATGATAAATCTATAACAAAGAGAGCAAGCAAAAGAAAACTTGATGGGGACAACCAACCCTACGTAATCTCACTTTGGATTCTCCTGAGCTTTGAAGAATTCCCCCACCCACGCCTTGGTTCCCATACTCCTATATCCAAATGGGAACATCCCTCGAGACTCCTTCGCTATGAGACTATCTCTCCTTGAACGCAATTATACAATTGTGCGTTATTGCGAGAAGACAATTCGCCCTCCCGCTTCTTTCGGGAAATTCGCAACTGAATCGTTCTGCTGCTCGGGGGGTTCAGCCCTCTCTCAGCACCCTCAACGCGCGCTGCATAGACTTCAACCGCTCCTTCTCCTTGACCACGATATTCTTCGCCAGGCGTCTGATTTCCTCTTTCCCCCATTCCTCACGCCATGTAGTCCATCCCGCCAATTCACCCACTACCACTTCATGTGTATATCTGAGTTGTTTACCCAAGCGCTCGATCTCCGTCTGTCCTTGGAGGATCTTCTTCTCCATGTCCTTCATGGATTTGGCCCGGCTTTCTTCTGAGCCGGGGAAGTTGATGCTCATGATACCCTTCTTGGGAAGTGAGTTGTTATACAGATTTGACTTGGTTTTGTCTAAAGCTTTCTGGCTGGACACGATTTTAGAGATTAAACTGCTTGGGCGCAGGAGTGCTGTCTGCATGGCTGTTATTGTCGAATGGAAAGACGTCACACTCATGATGAAGCTTGTCAATGGTGACGAAGCAATCTCCGAATGTGATAGGCTTGCGAATCGGAGGAACGTGTCAATATGCAGCTTGGACAACGTGTTGGATGGTGATCCCAATGTGGCAAATGAGACTGCACAGAGGCTGAGGGACTCTGCAAGATCGGAATGAGCTTGGGCGTGGATGTGTCCCTTCTTAATAATCATTTTTGTACTGTTGTTCACCCTTCTAACCATATCTCGAGAATGGGATATCAACGAATCAACTGCATTCATGTCGGATTTTGTTGTCAGTGGTTCGTAATCATCCACAATCTTTTCTTGGACCAGCTCAGCCTTCAATTTGGCCCGTTCTGCCATCTGTTCCTGAAGCATATCAGGAACAAGGAAAAATTCCCATAACATCTCATGTGTCGAGAAAGTAGGATGCTTCATGAGAATGCTCAAGAAACGATCCAGATGAGTTTGTGCAGCATGAAGTACAGATCTGGAAGGACGAGAGTGAAGCTGGAATGGACTTCGAAAATTGTTGGCTACCATAGTTGGCATGTAAGAAGCAGGGTGGTCCATAGAGAGCCAAGTTGTCAAATTCTCGAAGTCTTGCAGTGCCCTTCGGCTTGTGGTGATGGTGTATGTTGTGCTCGACACAGAGGGATTTGGTGCACCTGATTTGAGGATATATCTTGTTGAACCATCTTCGACAAAAAAAGATCTTACAATGGCTGTGATTCTTCCCGTCGCATCCGGGCTATTGGTGGGCGAAAAAAGAGTAAGATCGTCAATTCTATTGCGCACTTCATCGTCTTTCGCTAGTTCCACGGCAGTCAAACCTCGAGATTCTCTCAAATATGTGTCTATCCTTGGATCGGCCAGGAAAATCCGAACCATGTCAACCCGACCGTATTTTGAAGCAAGCATCAGCGGCGTGAACTTTCTATCGTTCATCGAGTTAAGATCAACATCGCATGTCTGAAGGATGTGTTGCATAATCGAAGCATCATTCACGATATGGAGCAAAGAATTGCCCTTGTTATCGACATGGTCCTCGACCCGAAGTGGTAGGCCGTCGCCTTGTGAGATTTGTGCAGCCACCAGAGCTTGAGATACCATTGTGCTGTACTCTGTATGATCGTATGTACGACATATAGCGAAGAGGGGTGTATGGCCAATCTTGTCTCTCTGACGCCAGGGAACAATATCCGCAAGCCTCTTGATAAGTTTGGGGGTGTTGAACAAATAGTGGCTTGTACTCCGACCTCGAGAATCCTTAATCGAGAGATATTCTCGAAATTTCTCCTCGGTCGTGTTGTGTTCTGTATATTCAAGGATGATATCAATGAGTTCAGTGTTGGCGAGTTGAACTGCAGCACTCAGAAGTGTTGCTCCTTCTTGAGTTGTGTCTGCTAAAACATCCTCGAGGCTATAGTGCTCAGTCAAGCCTAGGAGGTACCTTAGCGATTGTGGCTTCTGATTTTCAACCGCCATCATAAGAACTGAGTTGCCGATGGAGTCTTGTGTCTGTGCTAGACTAGAGACCGAGGTATCGCCTTCAATACCACTCAATGTAGTGTCGATTGTTGTAGCTCTCGACAATAATGAAAATGCCGAAGATATCGACATGCTTCTCGCAGCCATCTGAACTCGCTTCTTCTGTTTTGGGACTGAGGCCTTTCTCTCGGCTGCCTGAAAAGGAAAGACGTGTGATAATCCACCTTCACTTGATGGGTTCCGGGATAAGGGAGGCCTATCTGCATGGTCGATCGTGTGGACAGAGGAGGTAGTTATTCGAGAAAGAGATATCTCGCAAGGTTCGTCGACAATTTCATCAGAGACGATTGCAGATTCCTCAAAGATGGCTCTGATGTCATCCACTGACCCGTCCTTGACAGCTTTCCAGAGCAGGTTGTTCTGCTTCGACGCTTTGCGTAAACCTCCAGCATCTCGTGCGAGGTATGTCAGGACAGCTTCAAGAGTACTGAGCGAATAACCGATCTCGCCACTTTCGACGTCATCTATGTAGATGAACCTCTGCATATATGATAACCTGGCTTGAAGGTGTCGGACTGAAGAGCGTATGACGACTAAAAGTAAGAGAGACACGAGAACATCAGCATTGATGGTCAAGGCTGCCACTGCCCGCTTTTCCTCGTCAGTCACACCTTGTGGTTCCGAAACGACCTTTTGGGTTTCGAGCAAGACTCCTAGCATTTCTTGCGGACTTCCAGACACTCCCATTTTACGGAAGACTGTTACTCCTCGATTGATCCTTGATATTAGATCCCGCTTCCCTGTCTTGCCATCTTCGATAGCAATGCCGACCTGAGATACGTCTAGGCAATCCATCTGACGGATTCGCTTGTCAAGCTCCTGGTCTGGGGCTTTATGGAACGAGCAAAGTCGAGGGAACAACAGTGTGTCATGAACTGTTTCCGCAACATAACGCTCGATCAGTCTCTCAACATCAGGACCTGTCAAGTCAGTGGTTGCACCCAAGTAAGACAACTGCTGCTTGTCCACCCCCTGAAACAGGTCGATCGCTGCAGTCACAGCCGTTTCAAGGGCTCTTCGCATAAGATCTTCTTCGTCTTCGAAATATGCAGCGGAATTGAACGGTAATTTGACCGACCCATTCGATTTGATGGAAGCGGTGTCCGAAGCCTGGGTAGTTCCATCAAGCGACCCTAATGTGGGACTTCGCGAAGGAGGAGGTGGCAACGGTCTGCCCAACTCCTTGCCAAATTCATTGAAAAGCCGTTCCAACCCGGGCTGCATCTGCCGAGCAATCATGGGAAAGCTATTCAAGAGCTCATTAAACGACTTGATATCTTTTTTCTTTGGGGTCGGAGGCTCGGAAGAGCTGCCTATAGATGCATCGGTTGTTGTCGTAGTTGTCGTTGTGGTATTTCGGTTCTCTCCTATTGCGGCAGGCTTGATGGGCAAGGCTTCGAAGATGCCGGTTAAAGGTTTGGTGATATAGTACACGAGCCATTGCTGCGGTTCTGGACCAGGAGAATAATACAACAGGTCGGTAAGCAAGGAGGCCTGAGTGAGCTGCTTGAAACCTTTGTTACTGTACACGACATTCTCTTTCAGAATGACGGTCCTGCTGTTGACCGTTGAATAAGTCTTGGCCTTCCCCCTGCTCTCACGAACACCCGATTCTTTTACGGCGATGGTATTTGGTAGGATTCGGAGAATGTGGCTCCCGAGGAAGTCTTCATCCTCACACTGTTCGGCATATCGTTTGCCAGTCTCGCGATCTTGTCCGTACAGGAGGGATTCGGTGGTGGGGACCAGGAGGACATAGTTTTGTGAGGGTAAAGCATGTCCTAGCACACTGCTCTGAAAGAGCGCGCGTAGGAATGGGTTCAGGACGGGCATCCAGGCGAGATGCGCCTACGTCTGGCAATCCGATTCATCGAGTCCACATGAGGAGATGGAAAAGGAAAAAGGGTCAGCGGAGTCTGACTGGTGTGGAGAGCGGACTGCGGAGAAGAGGGCGAATAGTCTGCAGAGTAGGGTGGACGTGCCTGATGGAAGTAGGCTGGTGAGCGGGCAAGATGAATGCGATGGGCGGGCACTGTGGAAGGGTCGTTGACTGATAGTGATGAAGGGGTTCCAGGGAGAAAGGAAGAGAGGGAGATATCAGATGTTTCTATCTTGGACGAGAGGCCAGGCTGCGCTAAACGGGTTTCCCCAGCTTTCCACTTCAGGCCAGGGCACCCGCTTGGCATGGATGATAGCATGTGGCGGCCGACCCTCAGCATCACTAACTGAGAATTTGCCAGGGGTTTATCTGCCACTAGAAATCATTTAATGGCGTTAGTGCTGAACTCTAGCATCACTTAACCACGCTAGTCATTATCTCCGGAATAATTCCGGACGCAAAATGAAAATGTTTCGGAGCTTTTTCTCATACATCTAAATGTGCCTACTTAGGATTTCAACCCAACCAACTATACACGACGACCAATGGCTCCAGGGAGGCCCGGACGCCGTCGTCAGACGCTCAGCCAAGGTATCGATAAAGAAGTATATCAAGCAGTTCGGAAAATCATCGATGAGCGGAACCAATACGGCGACAACGAGACGTCACAACGTCTAACATTCAGCATTGTATACGACCAGATCAAGCTTTCCAACTCGTCTCTCAACCGCAAACCAAAGAAAGTCATCGAGGACAGTATTGAGCGAGTCTTGGACACGATACAGCAGGACGCCGAATCGTCCGACTCAGAAGGCGTCTTCGTAGAAGAACAGTCCACGCCGAAACCTGCATCGTCAGCTCTTAACAAGAGCATTGTCGGTCGGTGGGCAAAGTCTGGAAGTTCGACACCCAGGGGCCCGCATCCTGGAAACCCAGACCACGAGGAGGGACCTCCGGAGAAAACGAACACCACCACGACTAACACCACGAACACAACGATGGCGGAACCAGAGCCCTCCACCAAATCAAAGCGTCTCACCAATGGCGAGCCGCTACAGAAGAAGCGCAAGGCAATCGCATCGTCCAGCACCGCGATCGACAAATCCCCTCCAAACCACGTCTCGCTCGCCGACATGGGCGGGATAGACAACGTGATCCAGCAATTCGAAGACCTCCTCGTGATCCCGATGACTCGACCGGAGATCTACACGTCGTCGAAAGTCCAACCGCCACGGGGCGTGCTCATCCACGGGCCACCGGGATGCGGCAAGACGATGGTGGCGAACGCCTTCGCCGCCGAACTCGGCGTGAACTTCATCTCCATCTCCGCGCCGAGCATCGTGTCCGGCATGTCCGGGGAGTCTGAAAAGGCGCTGCGAGACCACTTCGACGAAGCCAAGAAGGCTGCGCCGTGCCTGATCTTCATCGACGAGATCGACGCCATCACGCCGAAGCGCGAGTCGGCGCAGCGCGAGATGGAGAAGAGAATCGTCGCGCAGCTGCTCATCTGCATGGATGATCTGGCGCTGGAGAAGACGGACGGGAAGCCGGTCATTGTGCTGGCTGCGACGAATCGGCCGGACAGTTTGGATCCGGCGCTGAGGAGAGGCGGCCGGTTTGACAAGGAAATCAACATGACGGTGCCGAATGAGATGGTGAGGGAGCAGATCCTACGTGCACTGACGCGGGAATCCAATGTTGCGGCCGATGTCGACCTCGCGCTTCTTGCAAGACGTACACCGGGCTTCGTCGGGGCCGATCTCAGCGATCTGGTCTCGACAGCAAGTACCGCGGCCATCAAGCGCTATGTGGACATGCTCAAGGCCAATTCCGAGCTCACATCGATGGATGTGGACGACATAGATCCAACGACAGCGGTGACGAGCTCGAGTACTCAAATTTCTCCAGTGGTGACGTCTCTGCGGCGCCTCATCAAATATGCTAGGTCGACCACCTACGATCCCAATGAAACGGCCATGTTTTCCATCACCGCGGACGACTTCCTCACTGCCTTGCCGCAAATCCAGCCCTCATCTCTCCGTGAAGGCTTTGCCACTATTCCCACCACTACGTTCGCGTCGATCGGGGCTCTGGATAGCCATATCAGTGACTTGACCGCGACCATCATCTCCCCAATCCTAAATCCTACTCTCTACTCAAATATCGGCATGACACCCTCGTCTGGTGCCCTTCTTTGGGGGCCGCCAGGGTGTGGTAAAACTCTACTGGCGAAGGCGTGCGCGAATTCCAGCCACGCTAATTTCATATCAGTTAAAGGGCCCGAATTACTGAACAAATATGTGGGCGAATCCGAGCGGGCAGTGCGGCAAGTCTTCAATCGCGCGCGACACAGCGTGCCAGTATTGATATTCTTTGATGAGCTTGACGCTTTGGTACCGAGGAGAGATGGTATGGTGTCTGAATCGAGTGCACGGGTTGTGAACACGCTACTCACCGAGCTTGATGGGGTAGGAAATAGTCGCGAGGGCATATATGTGATCGCCGCCACCAATCGACCAGACATAATTGATCCAGCTATGCGCCGACCTGGTCGCCTTGACACTCTACTCTATGTTGGGCTTCCTGACGCGGAGGGACGGGTCGATATCTTACGAACGCTTACAAAGAAATTGAAAAACTTTGAGTTTGATGAGCCTATGGCTGCTATCGCTAGAGACTGCGAAGGGTTCAGTGGTGCAGACCTAGAAGAGTTGCTGCGAAGGGCCGGATATGCTGCTGTAAGCCGTTGTAGCAGGGCTCCAATGCAAAAACTACCCTTCGTAACGACGGCGGACTTTTTGGTGGCACGAGCCGAAGTGCATCCAAGTGTCAGTTCGCAGGAGATGATTCGATATGAGAAGCTCCGCAAGGAATGGGGGAGAGGTTGATATGGACCGCAACCCGGTGATTCTATCAAAAACCCCGGGTGAACAATTCGAGATGAAGTTCTGCTTGCAATGCACGGTTGAACACAGAGTGTTTCCCAAGCCCTTCTCCACGCACATTCCAGTCACGAAGGTCATTTGGTCGGTTTGAACCAGACATGGTCTCTCCATGTATTTGATGTAACTGAGAAAAAAACAATGAACATAACGAACGATACCCATAAAGCTGTGGCCAAGTCTTTCTCTTCTGGTTGTGAGTGATTGATTCGTCGTGGGAAATCACCATGGGCTAGTACACTGTTGACCAGCGAGGGATAAGCTGGCCACTTTCTGCGGCATGTATGCTACGCACAGCCTTCATTCGCTCCAACGGGTCTGTGTATTCGGACATGGTATGCCTTGAATTTGAAGCCATGCTCCGGTTTGGACCTCCTATGATGTATCTTCGTGTTCTTGGGGCTGGAGCTAGAAGTCGGACTTGCAATTTCGGAGATGGTAGTGGAGCTATGGAGACAGATTAGCACTTGAAGATACAGCGGAGAGTTCATGCCAACCATATGGTGAACCATTGTCTATGTCAGCGGCTTCAGGAACTGCCGTGGACGAGACTGAAGAACCTCCTCTCGTGTGAGTAGTCGGGGCAGGGCCGTCAAATGAGACCAAGGTGTGGTCTGGAATGTCATTTGGATTGAGTGGTGTTAGTGGGCGCGAATGCCACACACCCTCGATTTGGGCATCTTCAATCAATGCACGGATGCCGAATGGTATCTTATCACCAGCATGGCTCACAAAGGCCGTTTCCCCTCGTTCTTCCTGCTGGGCGGCTTTCTTCTCAAATCTTCTGTCCTGGAGCCATGATTTGAACTTGACGATGTAGGCGGTCGTGAGGACAATGATCTGACATGTTAGCAAGGAAGGAAGGGAGGGCGTTGTTAGACGAACGAAGCAGCCAGCCAGAATCTTGAATATGTGTCAGTCTAAAGGTCTGGGAAGTGTGTGGTAGGGTGCACATACAAGACTTAAGCGAGCCCATATGGCCCAGTCCAAGAAGAAGGTGCCAGAGAACGGGTTTTGGTACATGTCGCCAAAAGAGTTACGAAGAACACATCAGAAACAGAAAAACAGGAGGAAGACGGTCCAGTGGGCGGTATTGTGAGACAGATAAAGAGGTTGATGATGACTGGCGAGCGACTAATAATTGCTGGGATGGAGGATGGCGGAGACCAAAACGGAGAGTTGTTCATGATGAGGAGGACACCAAGAAGTTGGGAGAAGGAGGAAGGCACATCATTGCGACTCGAAGGTATACAAGGCAAGGACGATTGACGGCCGGCCGTACCTAGGAACCTAGGTAGTAACATCCTCGCTGCCATGGTCACATGTGCATTCGAGCAAGGTGCAGTTCAGTCAAGTTCAGATGTGAAAGTAATATATACGCCGACAAGGTGCCTCTATGTGATTCTGAAGTTAATTGATACGTTTGGACAGCTGAGAAGGACCAAGTATCTAGGTAGCCAGACAGTGCAAGGCTGATATCTCCAACGGTGGACTGAGGGTCTTTCTCAGCCTCAAGCATCTGTTTGCCACAGACACGTCTTCGAATGGGTGAGCCGAAGTGACTTGGTACGTTATTAGTAGTAACTAGTGCTGGTGCTAGCCGGTAGCCGACGATCTGCCAATATAACGTCGTCATCACGAGATTCAGGATGGATATACTCCAAATGCCTCACAATCAGGGTGATCTTCTCGTGATATCGTGAATCTAGAAACCCATCACTCGATTTGGTAGACTGTAACAAATTAGCCCTTCAACCCCTGCACCCAAGCTGGGCCGATGACGGGAGTTGACAAAGCGCGACAGTCAGCATCAGGATATTCATGGCTGATTGGAGTATCCAATAAGGTGATGAAACAAGGCAAGTTCGGGTAGATGTCGTTCCCTGTGTATCCGGCTTCCCGGCTGAATGCTTTCGCAGTGGGAGAAGAGTCGGTGGCACTCTTAACCAGTTCCCAGGCCTTCCCTTCGATAGGCGCTCTGTATCCCTCTGCTACCAGCCTGGAGGTACTCAGAATAGGCATGGAAGGGAAGCACCGGACTGTGTGGATTACCTTGAGGTTGCAATGGCGCCTCAACCTCTAGTTAGTTGGGAATTTAACTCAAGAGTCCCTTGCCTGGGAAAAAATACTCTTGGTCTTCTTGGTCAAGATCCGTTAGACACCGGCCAAATGATGCAATAATCGGCCGCCCCTCTTAACGTTGCTTTGAACCTTCTACTTCGTATGAGTATGAGCTGATCGACCGAGGGTCTCCAGCTTTTGCGGGAGTGCTAACCAGGACAGCTCGGAGTACTCGTACACTGATACTACTACTGACACTGCGTGCAACACTGCCCAGTCCATCTTCAACTTGGAACTCACAACTTCTCTCTTCTCCCTCTTTTCCAACTATCTCGTCCTTCCACCAACTGCCCCCAACACTTCTTACACCACTTACCACTTCTTTGTTCATAATTTTGATTGCATCCGTTTTCCCCTCTAGAATTAGACCTCACTCTTCACTCCTAATTACCCACCATGCCGCCTTTCCGCTTGCCCTTCACTTCCAAGCGACCCACAGTCAATACGGACCCCGCGCCTGAAGAGAACACTCGCCCAACCCCCAATGATACCAATGTTACAAGTCCATACCGAGACAAGCCTTCGTTGGCATTAGGGCTCAAAGAAAAGCGAATCGAGCCAAATGAATTCAAGCTGAGTTGTATGCGCCGGCTTGCCCGCACCCTCAAATACCGAGGCTAATCTTGCACAGCGGTCAACGACAGCGGCGAATATCTTCCAGTAAGACAATCTAGCAGTCTCTCATGTTGAAGAATGATGGTCTAATTCTCATCCCAGCCATCTCCCACCGAGAACAAGCCTGGATGGCTCAAGTCGCCCACTTCATCTTCCAACAACCACCGACAGTGCTTCAAAGAGAATGAGCCGTTTTCCATTTCTCGCGAGTCCTTTGAATCATACAGGAGATCATTTGTGAGTGCCTGAAATGATTCAAGGTCTCTCCTGTAACTAACGACCGGACCAACAGGATATTTCTGGCAGATCCCCCATTCTACAAAGTGATAGTTTCACTTCACGAACATCACTCGATTCTCGACCGGCTAGCAGATATCCCACGCGCTCAACTCTGAACAGCACCACCTTTGAAAGACCAGCAACCGCCGAGGAGGGATTTGAAGATGTCACATTACACGAGGAGACCAAACAACAGCACAAGAAGAAGAGCTTTTTATCCCGGTTTGGTGATTCATCCGGTGAAACTACTACCAAAGAAGATGGCAAGCACCACTTTCACATTTTACCCGGGCGAAAACGAGGTCAAAGTGGTACCGGGAGCGAACTCGGAGACATGCCGAGACCTCAAAGCAACGGCAAAGCAGAAGTGTCTGTACGATGAACGAAAAAGAAGACCAGACGGAAAGGAAAGGCAAAAGCGCCATATGGATCCAATTCATGATGTGCATTATGAAAGGTTTGACTTGATTACCCCAAGAATGTCAGGAGTATCACGGCTTTGATTATTGAACACCGGCAAATTATCGCTGGGCGATTGTCAGGACGGGTCATGAGTGTTATTAATAATGAAGCATGGGTAAGGTGTTTTACGTTTGGATGCACAGAGTAAGCACCCTCTACGAAGGGGCACATAGACTTCTATTGAAAGGACAGAGGGAACAGACCACCAGCCTTCGATCGCACGTCTAACTACCGGACCATGCCTGGCCAGAGAGGTTCGATTGTAGACTGCTCTCCACTGGAGACCACTAATGGCAATCATAATGATTCTCTTATTCACTTTCATGATTCCGCATGGGCGTTTCTCACGTGGGCCATGTGGTGATGCGGAGTGGTGAGACGCCTGATACACCCTTCCATCTGTCACTTTCGCCCGACCTCGGATATCCACTTGAGCAAACAATGCAACCAGATACGAGGTATTTGGAAGACGGGCCATTCACAATCTGGCGTCTCGGAGTGAATTGCCAGTCGTCCGATTGGCCTGAGTCAAAGAGTCGAGAATGAAACTAGGAACGCCAGAGCCGCGATCACGGTGATAGAGCAACGCCGAGTACGAAGTCGCAGGCAGGTGATTGTAGCCTCGTCTGCTGATCGCAAACAATTCATTTCAATCTACAGGGGCCCTGTGGTTGTCATTGTCAAGGTTATCTTGACCACTACTCCGTACCTAGGTACCTCAATATGCACAAGACTTGCCATCGAATGAGCCGATGATTCCCCATGGTGGCAGTATGAGGAGGGTTTGGCACAAGTCTCCGATCTGTAAGACCAAGAGCATTGTTCTACTCCCCAGATCAGCAAACCATGTTTATATGATCTAAGAGATTGAAATGAGTACCTAGGTAGTGAAGAGCGTGAAGAACGTGAACGAGGCTTCGGGCGCTAGTTGAGGTGGAAGCTTAGGCGCTTTTAGGCTCTTGAGTGTCGGCAAAAGAACCGGAGATGGCGGGAGCGAGAACGTTTCAGGTAAAGCTTTCAGGGAGAGAAGCCCCCTCGGTTGACAGTGACACTCAAGTGGCAACCCCGAGTTAGTTAGCGGGCTGGTTAAGACAATCCTCGTAAAAGCCCGAGGGGCCCTGGTAACTACCCGGCCCCAGACGCAACCATTCGTGATATTCAACGTGGAGGACCCTTGACGACGTGACGACTCAAGTTTGTCTTGCGTGCGCGCCAGTGCCCGTTGCAGTTGCCATTTACCAGTCGCCAGTGTGTGATTGACAATTGTTCCCTTGTTCTCTACCGAGTATTCTGCATCCTCTTACTGACTACCAGCCTTGGAAGGTCAAGCCATAAGCCGACTAACTACAGCCTCCTCTCCTCCTTTCGGGCATCAAGGCATTTCGATCAAACTTGAACCTGGTCGCTTTTATTCGCGGGGTTCAAATTCATTCCTTTCCATTCGCCATTTCAACTCTTCACAATCAGACACATCACTTGGATCGGTTTCGAAAAACTACCCCCAATCGTTGAAATGGGAAACTGCTCCTTCTGCAATCTGCCTCTCAACTTCACTTGACATGGCTCTCTGTCTCCCACTACACCACTCCCTTTGTCTGTCGTCCTACCCGCGCTGAATGACTTTCTCTATGCCTGGGACGGCCAATAAGATCGAAGACCCATGCCAGGAATGTCGAGGTATGTTCTGACTATCTTGTCCGTCAATCGGATCCTCATGTTGATGTCGACTCCTGTCAGAACGTCATCTCAAATGTAAGCAAAGGACGTCTCGATCTGCTGTCTTTTGCACTTGCTATTCCCGCAAGACACCCACTTTCTCAACTGTTTCCTGCCCGTCCCATGGTCCGGGAAAACGCATGCACATGTGTCACAGGCATTTCCAACCCCGTCCATTCAACAGCACAACTCCCAAGCGGGACAGATGTACAATCTTGGGGTCTCCACTGACTCGAATGCAGGCGACGACACCCGTCCCAAGTGTAAGCAATGTGAGAGACTCGGCCAGAGGTGTCGGAGGGGAAAGAACAAGCTCAAGTTTCGCCATGGTTCCAGCGCCCGTTATGATGCGACTTTCGCCAAAGATCAGACATGGCTGGAGCAGACCAGGAACGGTAAGTTTGTGTTACCCAGGCCCAATCTTCTTCCAAAATCCGTCGTGCGGAGAGGAACCTTAGGATGTCCGTCGAGACGCCATCTCTTATACTTTGCCGTCAACGTACCACCATCGCCCACCCCCCCTCTCCTCAACATTTCTTCTGTCACACTGTCAGAGCTTACGCTGTTAGCCGGCCGTTTTCATGTCGTGTCTCCCTTTCATCCCACACGAGTTCATGCTTGCAGATCGTCAACCTATCACAATATTTATATTGACCGTGTCCACTTCACAGGAAAGTTCCAATTTGTCGACGAAAATCCCGAACTGGAGAACTATTATTCTCCAGACGACATTGTGGTCACTGCCGCTAGACCGCTTCTTCAACCCACGAAACAGGAGGACCTCCCACTGCCTCTTGCGCGATATGAACAATCTGTTGAGGAAGAACCGCATGCACCTCACGTTGTTTCTTCCTCTGAATTTCCCATTACCCTACCCTCCCTTTCAATCGACGAAAAAGTCCTCGTTCATGCACCTATAAAGAGAAGACGAACTGCCGACTCTGCCAGTCAACCATTCCGCCCAAACCCAGAACCATGGTTGCATGGAACCTACGATCCGATCCGCTCCCAGTATCGTGTTTATGAACCTCCAAAAGTTTTCAGTCCTGTCAGTGCTGAAGCGTACAACTCCATGCCCGAACAAAATTACGTTCCTAAGGTGGTAGAGGCCGAGTATCGTCGTTTGGCCGATTCCGCAGCTGCCAAAATTCCAGAAGATGAATCTCTTCTGTCCCCTGCTATCTGGAAGGAGGAGTTCTACTGGCCCAATCGATTTACGACCACTCAATGTGCTTGTTTGATGCGGTATTATATTGAGCACCTCTCACCTTGGGTAAAAATCATGCCCCTTAACGTCCTTCATATACTAAGGTTCTGCAGTTCGACGTCGGTGATCCTGCTCGTCATTTCGCCCTTGCTGTTCCTCAACGAGCGAGAAGGTGTCCACCACTTCTCAATGCAATCTTTACAGCCGCTTCGAGGCATCTGGCGTCTCTTCCTCAGTACAGAGGAGCCGATGGCGTTATTAGTTACCAAAACGTACCACTTCCAAAATTGACCCCTGACACAGCACTGAAATACCATAATGCATGCATTGCATATCTCATCAAACTATCGACTGACCCAGAGCATGTAAGAGATGAGAATCTCTTAGCAGCGGCGGTCATCTTGAGATACTATGAAGAGATCTATACTTCTTTTACTGGAGAAGACAGTGAAACATTTCTCCATACCTTTCAAATATTCGTCAAAGCCCAGGCGAATCCATACTTCCAAATCCTGGGTGATGGAGGATCTCCAGAATACCTCCGACCTGGCTCTAATGGCAACGTTCGAGAAAATGCCATTGCTTATCTCAAAAGCTTTCAGCATGCGGCATTCAGAGTGGCTTTACGCCAAGAGACAACCATTGCGTTTATGAAACAAAGAGCGGTACGATTGCCTCTGGAGAGGTGGTCGATTCTACAAGGATTTGAAGCTGCGGATGACTTTGTGTGGTCAGATCGACATCTCTATCATTGTGCCAATGTCCTACAGTACTGCTTCGGTGGCGAAGTCATGGCTGGGAGGGCAAGCATTGAGAGGTGGAATGAGCTCAGAAGTTACGAGTCTCAATGGGACAACACAAAACCATTGTCATTCGCCCCGATCCACTATCAAGAAGCAGATACCAAGAAAGGAGAATGTCTTCCACACATATGGTTCATGGCAGAAGTCCACATCACTGGCCTTTTGCACCTCGAACTCGCGCGAATACTTCTGACGGTCTACAATCCCAATATCCCAAGGATTGGGCAAGGGGTCTCGGCGGCACATCGCCGTCTTACTGAAGAAGTACACAACATCGTCATTCGACTGTGCGGAACAGCCAAATCAGCATCTTCACAACCAGCACTAGTTCAGGCGTTCATGGCTATAGCAGTCTGCGGGGAATATTTTTCCGATTTGACGGAACAAAAAGCGCTTTTGGGCGTATTGGCGCAGCTGGAAAAGGAATATGGCTGGCCGACGGCCAAAACAGCCAATGATCTAAAAGAAGGATGGGGATGGGAGTGACAGGACATATGGGATTTCCTCATTTCTTTGTTGGTATTTCTTTCGGTTCGGAATGATATGTGATGGTTTGATATGGTGACCACTATCGGTATACTTGAGTCACACGAATATTTAATGACGTTACGGTCTCACGATCAAGGAATTGGGGAGAGCATTAGCTAGGAAGGGCAAGCATGGAGCACAACATCTCCGGCTAAGGAGTCAATCAAGGACAGGACAAACCTGGATCATGATGATTGGACTACTGGGTAGCAGGGATATTATCAACTGGAATCTGGATGTTACAATGGAAGCCTGGGAAGTACTATCTACTGCCTTGTGGGCAGCATAATCATATGAGCATGGAAAACTATGGTTCTTGGGACTCGTGTCATGATCGAGCAAATACGTCCGTCACCTGCAGTTGAGCTTGCATTACCGAGTAGAGCAGTTCACCATGCATACTGGGCGTCTGTATTGCCGGCTTTTTGATCGTGAAGCGAGAATTGAATTGAAGCCAGAACACCGTCAAACGACAGAACACCATTACCTAGCACGGGAGGAGGGCTGCGGCGTTCCCGCATTGACATTGACTCCTTTGTATATCCAGAACTGGACGACCATCTCGATAGACAATATTCGTGCTTCGGATACTGATATGTATGGGGGTGCTTCCGTTTGATATCCATTGGTAAACGACTCACGATCATGATTCTCCCTCGTCAGCCATCCAGTCACTTAGGCCTTCAAGCCGCCCAAAGGCGTCAGAATATCGACAAAGACGGCCCGCGCGAACATTTCCTCCTCGGTGTCGGAAATCCCTTTGGCGTAGCCGCTCGTCAGACACGTATACACGACGTCTCTGTACGTTTCGCCCACCAGATGTGCGAGTCTGGGCACCATGTCGAGAACGAGAGACGCGTCGGATCTAGGCGGCGGTGTTGTCTCGTCTCCTTCTCCAGAAGGCCTCGCAGGAGCAGCAGCTTTGGGGGGAATCTCGTCCTTGACCAAGGCCCACAGCCCGACCTCGAGGAGCACCACGCCCAGGCTGTACAGGTCGAACTTGGCCTTGAAGCCTTCCGCGACCCGTGGGCTGATGTAGTAGTTTCGGTCGGCGCTGCCGGCCCGGAACCAGTCCACTGATTCGTCGGACCGCGAGCGCGAATAGCCGAATCCGGCGATGTACGGGTTCGCCAGGGACGCGTGACCGTTCGTCGGGTTTTGGTTGTCGGCAAAGAGTAGGACGTTGTGGCTACTGAAGCTCCGGTGCAGCCATTTTGATGCGTGGAAGAGCGAGAGGGATGACGCGATGGCGAACGCCAGTTTGAATCGCAGGCCAAGGCTGGGCAACGGAGGCCCATCGGGAGCGCGTGAGTGTTGGATATATTCTGCCAACGTGGTCATCGTGGTCAGATCGGTATTTGGGGACGGCGCAGCGTAGACCAGTCCGATCCGCTCCTCCCCGACCCCGGAAAGCTTAAACTTGGTGTCCTCGAACGTTCCCACAAATCGCAGGACTTGAAAGGCAGAGTCTTGCGTCGCCAACAGCGACACACCTAGGTGTTTTACTCGGACTCGCAATCGCTCCTTCACATCCGTGGGCGCACTCGTGGATATGTATTTCCACTCGATGAGCACGCGGCGCTGTGGCGTCTCGAGACTCCCATAGAATCCCATGGCCCTGTCTCTGCCTTGCCCAAATGACAGGTTGCTTGCCTTGATCTTCACCGAGCCCTCAGATGTCTGGTCGTTCCCTTCCTGGATCTTCTTGATCTTGGCTGACAGTGAAAGGAGGGATGGGATGCTGGGTGAAGGGTTGCCCAGGCTCTCAAGTGATTCAGAGTCGGTGAAGCCAGGAAGAACGTAGGAGGAAAGGTGTTTGGCCATCAGGTTCGACGTTCTCACGTCCAGAACATCATATAGGTCGTCGTTGAGCTGGCGCAATCTATCTATGACTTCTTCGAGCTTTTTCTTGTCTCGAACCACAAATCTGAAGTGTTGCTTGTTCTTCTTTTGTATGACGGGATCATTCTGGTAGGCACCAATAACCCCTTCAGACGATGAAGAGGGAAGTAATTTCCCCAGTTGTCCGTCGTAGCGACTAATGAACGAGTCCGCACGCGAGTGTTGAGTTTTGATCTCATTGAGGATCACCGAGATGATCTGTCTGACTTTCAGCGAGAGTTGGCCGAGTGTACACGACTCTTTGTCGTTGACACGGAAGTGGTCTCCCCATATCGTAAGCTTATGGCGCTCAACGATGTAGCGGATACACAGATATCTCTGGCTACCATCTACCTCGATGAGGCTGTCAATGAAAAGATATCCGTCTACGGCACCCTTGAACGCCAAGAGGAGCCCGACCACTCCAAATGCCGCCTCGGCGCCAGACATCCTTTCAAGGAGAAGCCAACGATCCGGTCAACCAGATCAATCGAGAACGATGATAGTTTTCTTGAGCAGATGGTTTGATTTCATGCAAAAGAAGAGCAACCACAGCCCCGCGGGGGCTGTTGCAAGAAGCTTCGATCATCGATCGTGACCGTCTCTAATAGGACGCCGAAGGTTGTTTAAGGCATGTTCCAGCTGCTGCATCCGCGGAAAGAACACGATCTCACAGGCACTGCATCATGGCAACAAGCGAATCGCAGAGGAAGTGGCTGCCTTGGCGACATGCTTGGCAGATCTCACCACGAGCGTGCCGCTTTTAAAATTACCTGCATAGGTACTTCTTCACGACTCCCCACGCTGATAGCCATTGTTTTCAAGGTTTTTGACTCCCCGACCGAATGCCCGATGCCCCACCGTCATCCAGGCTCGCTACATACGGAGTAGTAGTAGGTGCCTGGGCAGCTCGGCGGGTACTACCTAAGTTAGGCACCTAGGTCGCTAACTAGTAGTGGATGAGTCACTGCGAGGCCGGTGTCTGGGCGTTCGACATCTCCAGTATAAATTCACACTTCGCCCAACCATCCTCACTGCTTTTCCTGTAACCGGACGGTTTTTAACAAGGTTTTGGGTCCCAGAAAATGATGACCATCGTGTTGAAAGTCTGGTTATTGGGAACATCTGTTTATCAGGAGTTTCCTATGTCCTGCTAATATTTCTATCACTGAGATGATAAATTATCACTGAAGGCTGAGTCCAAAGGATATCACTTTTTCCGTGACCACTTGTTTTTTTTGCTACTCATACTAGCGATCCATCGAAACTCCACCCTTGCGGGCGAAATTGAACAGGTACGAGTCTGAAATTTGAGGTCTGGGAATGCTCTCGTGCGTTGGTCACTATGAACCAATAGCGTCCGGCCCCGATATCAAATGTTCTTCCAAAAGTCAATCTCTCCTTGTCCGACCATCCCCCAATTGCGAATCCTAGTCGTCATTCTCATCAAAGCCGTTGACCGTGGCTATCAAAGGGCGAATTGTCGGCCAGGTCGGAAGAAAGGTATCTGTGCAAGAGTGTGTGAGGAAGTTAGCTTGGTCAGGGTTTTTGAAGGGATGACGTGATCAGTGTGAAGTGTCTTTCAATGGGATTCGAAACGGATTGGCAATCTCAGTGCTTAATTTGGTCATCACGAGGGTCAGTTCGTAACAAGGTTTTGAGTTGGTGATCTAACTATGTGCTGTGCTGACTGTAGTCAAACATTGACAGCCCGGAGCGAGGGCCTGAAATTGAGTACAGTAGACCATGGATAGTATAGTAGAGCAAGGAGTCTCTGAGGATATAGGTCATTGTCTGGGGGAAACCTGCAAGGAAAGCATTACAGCCATGGTGAGCCCACGAAGGGAAGCGAGGACACCTGGCTTGGTATCTAAAGGTACCTCCTTCTCAACTGACACCTAGGTACCGAAGCATATTGCCATGTGCTTGGCACTAGCCTTGAGTGAAGGACAAGTTTTCACTAATGTTCCCCGATCTTCAACAGCAGTCCCAATTGTAGGTCCAAAATCACGACGGACGGTGGCAGGTGATGAGCGTACCATAAAAAATGGATAGTAGGCAAAGTGCCGCCGGGGTTCTTTAGGGACAAAGGCTGGGACGAATCACGAAGTCAAAATCGTTCGACGTAGGGTACTCACAAGGCTATGTCAATTGTGTGTGCAAGGCTAGGCGCAGATTCCGTCAAGTGCCCTCAGTACCTCTAGTTAATATTAAGCATCATTCTCTCGTACTACTTAGTACTCTTTTACCACAAAAATCTGTGAGGCTAGGTTGCTAAGAAGCGCTAAACGCGTGGTAAAGTTAATCACCATCAACGACCTCAGCACAGGGCGGCATCACCCTCGTCCCCAAACGGGGTGAGTGGCGAGCAGATTTCCTAAACCTTGGCAACAGTCCTCCCGCTGGCACCTGACGAACATGACAGATCACTTTTAGTGAGAGCTTGCTTCGTATGCGCGCCGATGCATTCCTCCCAAGGAACCTTGAGAGGCTGCGAATGCAGGCTACGTAGGCTAAGGCCGTACAATGCCTTCAGATGATTTGTCCGAGGATGTGTAACCTCGTCATTGCATGTTCCTCACATTGTGGTTCAACCTTACAGGCTAGCTGAACGTCAAATACGATGCCTGGTAGATTGGCAATCGAATGATTCCTGCAAAGCGATAGATGTCCCACACATGTGCTTTTCTTGGCCAATTCCCAACCTCAGTTATTGTCGGAAGTGTCGATATGTCTAGATTTAAGAGATGGCGCGCTCGCAATGTTCTTGGATCGTGACCACGGAGCCATCAATACTTATATTGGAACCTAGACATCGATTGGCATGAAGCTTCTGACGCAACGATTGGGTTAGCATTGCGAGATACAACCTAGAAGGAAAACAGCCCTTGAACATGGAGGTACCGACTTTCTCGCTAATGCTAAGTTTTATTGCAGAACTTGAGCTTCCTACGATTGTGCTGGACCGAGCTGACATCAGTGGCTATGACACTGGTGATGGGGATGACGGCGCTTTCTGGACTTCCCGGCCCCTGGGTTCGGGCGTCTCCTCTACAGTCTTTCAGTGGACTACTGACCAAAGGACGAAAGACCAGCTTTCCCCAGGCACAGTCGTGGCTATGAAATCGTACAGTATTGATTTTCAGAGAGACTCATCGAAACTAGACGAACGGGTATACGACTCGCTCCGACGAGAGCTGAGCATACTTCGCCACCCAATACTCAAAAGTCACGACAACATTTGCAGGTTACATTTTATTGCCTGGGAGGAGTCAAATCTGTTTCCCCTCCTGGCCCTTGAGTTAGCAACCTATGGCTCTCTGGAAGACCTGACGAAGTCGTCGCCCTTTGCGCTTTCTGGCAAGCAGTTGAATAACATCGCAGTTGACATTAGTCTGGGTTTGCTGACGTTGCATGAGTGTAGCATTGCACATGGGGACCTCAAGCCAGCTAACATACTCCTTCAAAATCACCCTGAACGACAAATTGTCGCGAAGCTGGCGGATTTCGGGGGCTCGGCTGTCGTCGATCTTAGTTCATCAGCTGTTGCCAGCCCACGGACAGTTACCCCAGAATGGCTTGCTCCAGAGGCCATCTGGATGGAATCAATGCCGGAAGTGGACTGGTATGCGGCAGATGTGTACTCACTTGGACTTGTTTTGGCGTCGTTCTGGGCTGCAAATGTCCCATCACCAACTTCGGGATGTTTTTTGGAGTCGTTCATTCCACACGCCTATTTTTTGCCCGACGAGCAACAGCAAGCCTTTACACGAGATTACGTTCTGTTTCTAAAGACTAACTTGGAAGAGTCTAAGAGTAATGCTTTTCTCTTGGCTTTGCGAGCTATAACGGATGAAACTTTTACAAAGTTGAAGGAAAAGGATGCAGTTCAGGACATCCTGCGACTTTCTCTTCAGCCCTTACCCGTGAAGAGAAAGACAATCACAGAATTGGTGGCAGGCCCAGTCTCTGCCCTGGCGACGATGGCGGGTCGGAGACCAAAGTAAGTTACAGGTTGTCTCTGAGGTCGACTCACTGAGTGGTAATATAGTCCCGAGCACGGCGATCAATTCTCGACATTATCCATGCTTCAGCGATACCGTAGGGCAACGTTCAACTCAGAGAATATCGAGACCACGGATTTACAGTCTAGTCATTCCCTGCCAATCAAACGGATCAATTTCCCTATCATGTCATCTGCTCGTACGGCTCCAAATTCATACCCACGGATGATACAAGAGGTGGAAAACTTTTACAGGTCGTTGCCTTCGGGCCTACCAGAGTTCCCCGAGGAGTTGGATGAAATCGAAGATGCAGAATTACTCCTTGCAGCATTGACAGATCGTTCCTCTCGAAAAGCTGAAGAAGTCCGCTCCAATCACCAATCGCAGATGATCTTCAATTCGCATATTGCCCTTCTTATATCATACAACTACCTCTCCGGGGCAGGGGGAGCCTTTGACCTTGAAAAAGGGTTTGAGTGGCTCTGCAAAGCCGCTCGTGGAGGATTGCCCGCAGCCATGGAAATTCTGGGCATGGCCGGAAGATGTATACCGTCTACCGAGCTAGAAGCCCTTCCACTCCGCTACATGCTTGTGCTAGGATCTCTTGGCTCAAGCAAGGAATGTCAGGTATCTCTCAAGGCTGAATCGCCCAGACTTTTCAATGCAGTTTGTCGGATTGCCGAAGCAATCAAGGATTTAAACACATCTCAAAGCGACCAAGACGGCATGTACTATTCAAGCCTATTAACCCGTATAGCCACTCACCTTCACACTTCGTCCAAGACTAACGATGGCACATTCAAGCCGAATGAGGAGGCTTTGACGCTGAATAACTCTATTTTCCCGTCGTTGACGATAGTACCGGCATTCGAATCGGATGACACCAAAAACGCACTTTACTTGCTAGTCCAGGCAGTAGCCGACCCAGCCAGGAGGAAGGAACTTCTCGACAATCCAAGTTGGTCAGCTTCGGACGGCCGTGGCTACCTTCACCTACTTGCGCTACTCGAGGATGGCGTTGCAGCGCAACTTATACCCGACCTGGTGAATAGCGGAGCTCCAATGTCTGGAACTTTTTCTACCGATCGATTTCAACAACGAGATCCTGTGATCAATATCGTCATGTCAAGGGGCGACTGGGCACCACTCGAACTTTACGGCGAAGCTAATATGCCCGAGTCATTCAAGATCCAACTCCATCTCCACGTAAGCAGGGGCGAGGGAATTCACGCGCTGTTCTTCATCATGAAGCGTTTGGTGCAGACCACCAAAGTGGCGATGCTGGGTGAAATCCTTGAACTATTGACCAAAACCTCTCTTCCGTATAGGCCTTACGGATCGTCAGAGACTGTCTGGGTCAATTTTGACCCGTCAGACCTGACCATATTTCTACAAGAGATAATCTGCGAAGAGCTTCCCGAATGTGGCTTCCTTCCCCGTGCTCAATTACATCGATCTGCCGTCAATAGCAAGAAACGGGATACGATTAACCTACTGCTGGAGCACGGAGCGGATCCATTTCACATTACTGAGAAGGAGCCGAAGTGCATACTTGTCCAATGCGTTTTGGGTCATGATATTGTCGCTCTACAGACTATACTTGAATTTCTAGAGCGGAGCGGTCGAACCCCACTGCATCACCTTGAAGATGATAAGTATTTTAGAGGACACGATGCGCTCGGCTATTGCATCCTCTCGAGTGCAGGTTCGTGTGTCGACCTGCTCATGGAGAAATTTCCGGCCCTAATGGAAAAGGCGAATGCAAAGGGGTGGAGGGCGATCCATTGCGCTGCAAGTTCGGGTGATCTTCGCATATTTCGAGCGCTGCTCGAGAAAGGTGCTGACCTAATGGCAGCAACTGAAGCCGGTGCGACAATCATCTTGCTGGCACTATGTTATGGACATTGTGACGTAGCCGATCTCATCATGGACAAATGCGATCCAGAGCAGATTGATGACTTGCTTCTTCGGCCGGCAAAGCATCGACTTTCGCTCTTTGGGCAATTAGCCGTATCGTGGTTACGCATGCCTGCAGTCACAATTGATGCTTTCGGGTGGGTCAGCAAACAGGATGAGCAAACATTCTTTATCGACAAGGAGCAAGAATACCCCGTTTGGATGCCGATCTTAGACGACCCACCTCGGCCGCTCCCAGAGGATGCTCTTCGCGACTTGCAACTGTTAAATTATTTCTTCGAGACCTTTGCCGACAAGCTCAACGAAACAGATCCTCTCAGCGGAAGAACACCCCTTCATCTGGCATGCTTGAATGTCCATCTTGATGCTGTTAAACTCTTGTTAGAGTACGAGGTGGCTATCGACAAGGGCGTGGCAGAAGGACACGAACTTGGCGGCTGGACTGCGCTGGATTTCATCATGCTTCGCCAGAGGCCTAATCATGTGCACCCTAGCATATTGAATGCAGGCCGACGAAGACTAGCAAGGTGGAACGCGGACATCAAAGCCATATATGACCTTCTCATTGCTAATGACGCAAACACTGGCCGTGAGGATCAATGGATAAAAGTGAAAATACAGTTTGCGAAGTCTCCCGTTGCCGAAAACATCAACGTTACAGAAGGAGGTAAGTCCGAAGCATTTACTGCCAAAAGTAGATTCGCATACTAAGCCGTGTGGCATATCAGATGATCTCATGTTAAGAGGAGATGAAGCCCCAGTGGCCTGGCCGGCGCCCATCCCGCTGGATGCCGATGACGCAGATGCATCAAGACGAGCAGAGGATGTCGCCAAGATGAAGCGGGCGCTTGGAATGATGCCTCAGGGCCAGAACGTGCCAAGAACCGGTCTATATATGCGAGAGCAACGCGATGAGCTGGTGTCACGCATGGAATCAATCCGAGAGGTGCTGGAGCTACGGCGGGAGAGATGGCCACTGATTCTCGCTCTCGCTCACCAGGTGGCAGACCAACAGGAGGACTCTGACCCTAACGAAACAGATGTGTTGGAAGAGATAATCCGGCGGATGAATGTCGTGTGAACGACATTGGAGATATGCTGATCTTCGGTCTAATGATACTATGTCAAATTCTGGGCTCCAATGCTGATGTAATACGCGTGCCATGCGGAAGTCCTCGTAACTAATCGCGTCGAGGTGGTTCAAGTTCTGCTTACCCCTCAACGCGATCCTGGCCGACTTCCCATTACGATGTATTCCGTCATCACTGTCAGAAATGCGAATGCGGGGTGTTGTCACTGTGCCCGCTTCCGACCCATAAGTAGCAACACGCGCTTGCTGCTTGAACATTACTAATTGACAACCGACTGAGTATATGGCGCCATCATCGAAACCGCACTTCTTCCTCGATCGGCTTCTTTTCTCTAACGTGTAGGTAAATTTCCTTTTAAGGTCAAACTCACCCGCTTCTCTTTCTGACTTACCACTCTACGTCGTACCCTCGTGTTGAGAGAGCAAGAGCACGGCATTGTATCAAGAACCTAACAAACCTTTGAAGTCATTTATCAACATGGCAGACTATCTATACATTGACGAAACACCCAAAGAGGTGAAAGAAGCCAAAGGCCTCCACCTGATCACGCAAAACACACCCAACGGCCAAGCGACCCAGATTCTTCTCGAGGAACTCGCCGACTCCTATGGCACCACCTGGGGCACGACACTCATCAACATCAGTACAAACGTACAAAAGAAGGAGTGGTTTCTGCGCTTGAATGCCAACGGACGTATTCCTACTCTCGTGGACAACAGCCAGAATCCTCCGTTCCCTGTTATTGAAACCTCCGCTCAGTTGCTTTACCTCCTGAAGTTTTACGACAAGGAGGACAAATTTGGCTTCAAGGACGAGTTCGAGCGTAACCAGGCACTCCAGTGGCTTTTCTTCTGGCACGGAGGTGGTGCGCCATATCAGGGACAAGTCAACCATTTCACTCGCGCTGCTCCTGAGAAGATTCCTTGTGAGTACTTTCTGACACGTCGAGCCGAATGATACCCAAATAGTGCCTGCACATTGACTAACCACCGACCTCCTTCAGACGCAATCAACCGCTACAAGAACGAGACCCTCCGCGTCTACGGCGTGCTCGAGATCCAGCTCTCGGGTATCTACACCGGCGGCGAACCCCGTGACTACCTGGCAGGCAGCGGTAAGGGAAAATATAGCATTGCGGATATCAAGGCCTGGTCGTGGGTCAAGGGCTGGGAACGCTCTGGCTTCACCGCGGAAGACGTCAAGCCTTTCCCCAACCTACTCAAGTGGATCGATCGTATCGCTGCCCGTCCTGCTGTGCAGCGCGGTATTGGTGACAAATATAACCAGCAGTAAGTGCAGTGTGATGCCTCTGCGTGACTGAGTGAGTCAACCTCGCGGCTGTGTGGAGAGAGGGGGGGGATGTGATTGAGGATGAGGTGCTGGTCGTCTTGATATTGCTGCTCCTGAATGAATGAGTGCAATATTTTAGACCACTCCCCTGGAGTTGAACTGGCCAGTGGGGGTGAGGAGATTGAGCGGGCAGGATTCCAAACAACAGAAAAAAGACATATTTGCAAGACGCAACATCAAATCCTTCCTGTTTGACCCAAACCTTTCTGTCTACTTGTGCCTTCTGTTTGTCTCATCTCGTCCTGATCTTCCCCTTCATCCCGTTTGATTACCCCTGACAATTGAAATTGTAACGTCCTCCCTCACACCTCGCTGCAGAAATCTACAGCACAAAGACATCATCTCGCAGCTCACCGATCTATTCCTCCCTCCCCGTCCGTGATTCCTAATACCTAGCCCCAGCCCCAGTATCAGCATTCCCTACGAGTATGATATTATGGCTTGCCGCACCTGAAGAACTCATCGGCTAACCATTTTGGTCGTGTGCTCTCTCTAGGTCGAAATTATGAAGATCCTGCCAGACTTGACGAGTCCTGAAGAAAGCGGTGGTGGCGGTCATGAGAGGGAGAAGCGTGAGATGGGTGAGGTGAATTCGGGTGTTAACATGGTCCTCTTTTTCCGTCAAGGGGTGGATGACGTCAATGCATAAACAACAGGTGCTACTAGTTTCTGAGGAGTAGACTACATAGTGTAGCTTTGAGTTTCACTGTTTAGACTTTCTCGAGATCTCGCGCCGTTGGAACTTTTCTCCTGGATGTGCGTAGCCTTGTCGATCTTCCGTATTGGTAAAAAGGAATTCTCTTCTGAAACTGTCTTCTTTGTTTTCCAGATGTGGTGAGTGCGGTTATTGGGACTGCTTCAGCCTTGACGCATGTCATACGGGAAACCGGTCGTTTATGGGTAAAACTGTTATTTTATCATTCTTCGTGGTATTTTGAGGCAGAAGTTGAGAATGGTCCTGAGGAAACGTGGAACAAGAGAACGATCTCCCAAAATTATAATCCGTCACGCATTCGCGGAGAACCCGTAACTGGTCATCCCTGGATCCGATAAGAACCCTTCAGACAGGCCTAGGGATTTGATCCAGGTTCCCACTGATAGTGTTCCAGCAATTCCACCACTGCCCAATGATATTGCTTCTTCGCATGGGTGGTAGGCTTCCTCACATAGACCAGATATTGATTCGCCATCCTTGAGTTTGTACAGGTCGAGGAGCATTTTGACCATATCTAGCCGTCCTCGTTCCGCAGCTCCGTTGATCGCTGTTCGACTACGGATTTCTGCTCCTGCAGCACCAACGTCTGCTCCAGCTTTGATGAGGATTTGGGCAATACGCATTTCAACCATGATCAACGCTGCTTGCAGGGGCAGTCATTCCTTACTGTTTGGCCGGGCTTGCGTTGACATTGACCCCTCGATTCAATAAAAGCTCGACAGTATCGATATGGCCCTGCTCAGCGCCTGTTTGCAGAGCCGTTCCCCCCCGCTCCACTGCTGACTGTTCATTGATGTCTGTTCCGTAAGTCAAAAGGAGCTCGAAGATCGTGATAAACCCGTTCTCAGTGGCTGCTTGGATGGCTGTCCAACTCCATGCCGCCCTACGTCGTACATTAACGTCAAAGCCGAGCCAGAGTAAAAAGGTCTACATCGAGAGGATCAGTCTGCTATAGAGCTCCAAGAACTGTTGCTACGAGCTGCAATATTCTCCACATTGAGAAAGCCATCAAGGACACGAGAAAGGTGGTTCCAAGTGGATATTCGACATGACTGCCTGGCTCGCGCAAATTCATACGCGAAGAATTGATAGTGCTTGGCCATGTCCGGCATGGTATGGGTCGCTTGAGCACCTACATAGGCAGCCCATAGTCGTGCGTTTCCGTACTTCACATAGTCTGCTTTACTCTCGTGCGAGACAGCAAGGTATAGAGCTGTATAGAGTTTGTCGAGAATGATTCGCCGGCAGTCATAGATATCGGTGTTGCCGATGATCAATTGCCCTCCAACCGAGCGAGAAACATACAACGCTGCCAGAGAGAGGTATGCTTGAGCGAGAAGGAAGCCTACGCTTTCCCCAGAAGATACCGGAACTTCGTCCATACAATCCAAGGCGTGCCTGATCAAATTACCGTGGCAGATATGTTGACAAATCCCGAGCCAGCCATGGAGAAAGGGATTCATGCCCTCGAAAGACCGGTCTTGCCACCAAAGGAACTCCTTATGGTGCGCTCGACGCTCTCTGAAAGTATTAATCAGGAAATCGCCCTCAATCGAGAGATCAAGAAGGGAAGTTGCACCATCACCTTCTGATTCCATCAGGTTTTCTGCCGAGGCTCTGAGTAGTTCAAATTGTTCTGGAACCCATCTCGCATAATCGAAAAAAGATCGCTCCATAAGCATTGTGCACAACTGGACGTCGTTGTAGATAACGTATCTCAAGTATGTTAGATCTAGACATTTCTGCTCCGCCTGATAGACCATGAGCTGAGCTAGTTTTCCGCCGTGGATAATTGCTGCATCAAAATTACGACAGATGATCTCTGAGCCCCAAAGTGTAATGATGTGCCAGTAGTCTGTCGAAGAGAGGGTGTTTTGATTATTTTCGAGCCGTGAACGGAGGATTGTCGTACTTGCGGAGGTATATCTCAAGGCTGCAACGGCCATTGACCTCCTATTGCTCAGCATTGATATGATTCTAGCATGGCGAGCAAGGAAGGCTAGCGCGCTGCCTTTGTTATGGAGGCCTCGCACACAACTTTGCCAATGTGAACTGGCAATCGTAGTTTTGGTACTCTGCCACGCGTGTGGATCAACATGGTAGATTGATGGGAGCATTGTACTTCGGAAGAACGATACCAATTCATTCACCTCGGGCGTTACTGGGACTGCAAGAGTATCGAATGGATCTGAATTTCCGTATTGCACTATTTGTACGGGTGACACTGTTTCTTCGTATATAGTTGTTCCACGTGCTCTGTTTAAAGAGGTACCTACCACAATCAGAATCACGCGCGAAGGTCCTGCAGCCACGAACTTTGCATAGTGAAGAACTCACAAGGACATTTGGAAAGCTGGTTGGAGACAGCATCTGCGCATTGAAGACTCGGACAGGCTTGCCCACTATTGCGCGGTCGAAGGTCTCGCTTCCGACGAGGCGTTTGTGACACATGCTGCGTCCTGCATGGTTTCGAGCGATTTCGGTAGTACTTTCCGATATGAGAAGCTACAATACGTCGCTGAGCGCTTCGGTCTGCATCTGCAGACTCACTGAGATTTACAAAAACGAAATTTCTGGACATTGGACCATAGTATATGTAGAGCAGGTCATCTAAGGCTTTGGCCGATCTTTATCACTCATATATCGAGCACAACCAAGGAACTCTCTAACAATACCACGTGGCCGAAGTGGCACCAACATGTAGTTGCTTATTAAGTAAAACATTCTCAAAATGACTTAGTGTGCGGGAGTCAAGCCGTGTTCGTCGGAGCTAGTTGGTTTGTAGTGGCGATCTCAGAACCTTAACTAGATCGGGTAAGTACTTGTATTGCGATTGATTGGTCAAGCTTAGGATTGTCGGATGGACGTTCCCTCTAGTCCCTAACTACAACAGTTACGCACCACATATGAACAGGAACGAGGTCGTCAACAAAGCCTACAGCCTTAATGCACTTCAAATAGCATTCCCGCCTACGATGTGGCTGGCGCTTGACGATCGATTATGGCCACCCTCAATTCGCATGAATGAAACATCAAATGCAAGACACCACATTAACGAAGCTCGTTCGGAATTGCTTGATTGGTATCCCTCTTCTCTGCTTCCAACTACGAACGTAGGACAAGTAGTGTTGGGCCCTTTCACTGAAGTACGTCCTGCGCTCCGTCATGCCGACATTGATGAATATGTGAGTTGTTTGCACGAAAACATCAACGAAGCACGCAGCAAGCCCGACCACAAATAGAGCAGGATTGGAATTAGTATAGCGTTTCGAATAACCAGTCCTATCATGAGGGTAATACAGCTGTGTTACTCTGTGTCTGCTTGCATTTGCGGTCCCGACCTGTTTGGTCTCCTTAGGAATTTCTAGTGATCAGAAGTCATTGCCACTTTGGGGACTAGTATCCGGGAAGAGCTTTGCCCTGAAACCAGCCATAAATGGATCTTCGTTTGACACTAAATATCAATCTGGTGATTCGCAGACACAACATCATCTATGGGCCACGTTTCATGGTCGTCTAAACAGAATCGGTGTCGTCAACTACATGTTATTCCAACTGAGTGCTTATTTAGACTCGAGTTCTTCATCAACTCTTGATCGCCTTGCATTTAGTACAAGGACGTTCACGGGACTCAATTACTATTCCTCAACTAAACTTGGCCAGTCTATCTCCATCGATGTATCCGAAATCATCTCCTGTCTTTGAACGACGCAAGAGTCTGATCGGTCCGGACGATAGCCCATTAATAGAGTCTATGACCAAACCGACTATACCTCCATTTCCTGGCCATGAAGCTCCGCCGTCCACAAAGAGACAGAATAGGAGGATGACTACATGGGAGACTTATATCGACCGGTGGTGGCTCAAAGAGCTTTCGGCTTGGCTGGTGAGCCTCAGCGCAATTTGTGCGATTGCTGCAATACTCCACACCTACGACGACCAGAAAGTTCCCAACTGGCAGTACAGCATCAATCTGTCTCGACAACAAAGTGATTTTCACATCACCATCAACTCGCTTGTTTCCATCATCGCAACGGTGTTCAAGACAGCGTTGCTCATTCCGGTTATCGCCAGCATGAGTCAGCTCAAGTGGCTGTGGTTTCAAAAACAGCATCGTCTAATCGATTTCCATTCGATTGAAGCGGCCAACAGGGGAGGTTGGGACTCGCTTGTTCTCATCTGGCGCCTGCGTGCGAAGTACGAAGATTCTAAGACTGTCCCCTACTCCTTGACTGACACCAGTCTTAGACACCTTGCTTGTCTTGGAGCCCTTATAATCGCCCTTAGCTTCATGCTGGACTTTTCCTTCCAGTTCTTGATATCTTATCCCAGTCTACCAGTGGCAGTAGCTGCTGCGAGCATACCGCGGACGAGCACATACTCGGGCTGGCAGCCAGGGTATGGAGACGGCTGTATGTATTCAAAGCAATGACTTTCGGATCGGAAGCCTACTGACGTGAAAGAAGTAAACTCCATCACAAATGCTATGCGCGGCTCGATTCTAGCAGGCATCTACAGTCCAGATGCGGCTTGGCATGTCAAGCCGACCTGCGCAACAGGTAATTGCACATGGGATGCACCATATACTTCATTGGCGATCTGTGGCACATGTGTGGACATCTCTGACCATTTACAATATTCTTGCGCAACCACTACGATTATCGACAGTAATAACAACACCCATCTGCATGAGTATTGTAATTCTACCCTCCCTAATCAGCAAGGGATCTCCGGACTAGGATATCCACAGGTCGGGTTCTCCTTGGCTGACTCCGGCACCATAAGCTCGATGTTCAAAAGTATGAGTCAACCGGTTACAGCATTCACAACCACCAAAGCGGCGTGGGCATTCAATCGACTCGATGATGGTTTCGGCGGTGAATACAGCTTCTTCAACATCACATCGGTGACAGCCACAGAATGCGGATTGTACTACTGCGTGAACAAGTACAACACGAGTGTTAATGGCGGAGTGCTGAAAGAATCGGTCATCGATACCTGGCACAACAATTCGGCGGTCGCGGTAGATCTGTCTAAAGGCTTGTACTACGATATCATCTTGCACCCCTCTTTCTCTGATGAAAGTGAGTCCGAGGAAATTCCAACATACTCTGTACTGAGGATTTCAGCACTCGCTCTGCTTGATCAATTCAACATGACAACACAGCAGTTTTGGACCGGAAACGTAACTGTGGGTCCTTCCCTGGAAGGCGAATATCAATTTGGGACAAACGATCTCGTCAATTTTCTGTATCCGCTCGATCTTAACGGTATGAACAAGATGATTCAATCTCTTGCCACATCCATGACAGTGGAAATTCGTACCTCAAGTAGCTCAGAAGCTACAAGTACAGGCGCATCTATTGGCATAGCGTGGAAGGATGTGCCGATGACACGTGTCAATTGGGCATGGTTGAGCCTCCCTCTACTTCTAATTGTGCTAGCCGCTGTGTTCTTGATTTCCATCATGGTGAAGAGTGCGAAGTCAGGTGTGACGTTATGGAAAGAGAGTGCAATCGGGTCTTTTTGTCACCCGTTGACGAAAGATGGACAAGCAATGTTTGCGGCCGCTGCAGGCCCAAGAGAAGTGGGAAAAATTGCACAATCTATCGAGGTCAGATACCAAGAGACAGAAGAAGGTTGGAGGTTTGTACAGAAGTAGAAAAAACCTTTTGAGTTGATCTGAGCAGGTACTATGGTAAAATAAACTATGTGCGACTAGACCAAGAGCAACTGCCGAACAATGTTGTACGATCAATCAATCCAATCCCGAAGCTTTGATTCTTGTCTCGGTCTGGGTCGCCCGAACGAGCTATCCGGACTGGGATCGTGCGGCAGGGCATTCTTGCTTGCTCACATTCTTATTCCACTAAAACATTCGGCAATGTGAAACTGAACCCTCCGAGGGGTTAGACGATGCAATTAAAGGCTACTCCTGACGGACACGGGCTTACACCAAGACCTCGAGAACGTCGGCTATAGTGCCCCTACCTAAGGTCTCGTACGACTATACCTAGTACGTTTAGACCTGAGGTTTTACGATATAACGACGAGTTTAATATATTTTAGTTGATAAATAATCGTATACCATCATTAACCTCGGCTAAAGCGCCACCAGACTATATCGTCGAGATATCCAGAAAACTCAGACTATGCCATCTCTATATAACTGAGGACGGTCGAGGGTAGCTAGGGGGCCTTATCATTAAGAATCACTTAGTTGTATGGCTTAACGCCTTAAAGTATCGAAGATAATGGTTATAACTAGTAGTTTATGGCCTCGAAGGCTCGCTTGGATAGTATCCTAGTTCTAATATGAACGACCATGGACGGTGTCCGGAATCATATTTCATGACTTTTTACAGTCTTCACCTGTATGCATGGTGAATTTCCTGCCTCACGAGAGAAAGTCTACAAGCACCTTTGAAAGAATTCGTAAAAGTTTATGGCGTCTCCCTCTTAGTGATTTTAATGGCCTCCTAAAAAGCTGTCCCACGCCTGGGACAACGTATCTAAACCGATCGTGTCTATTAATTTTAAGATAGTGTCTTTCCGTCCGTATGGGGCTGCCGCTGTCCCCATAACGAAATCCGACTTGCCAGAATCCGAAGCCGAGACACCACCATAAACCTGGGCACCGCCATTTTTGGACGAGTGGGCCGGGAAGGGAGCTCCTCCGTTCACAAACGCTATAACATGCTTTGCAAATTCTTGCGCGGAGGTTTTCTGATCCGCTGAAAGGAATTGATTATAATTTTGGAATAGGAACGCTACGTCGAGGACGTGGGTCGCTTCGCCTTTCCCCGGGCCATCCCAGGGGTTGAGCTCGTTGAAGTGGTACAAGTACGACTCGCCCGGCCAGCCGCTAGCCAGTGAAAGCATGGGAGCATAGAAGCCTATGTCTGATGCAAATCGCAGAATTTGAACCAACGCTTCGTTGTCGGGAACGTTTTCGGTGATTCCGTATGCTTGCATAAGAGACTGAGCCATTTGCGGCTCGCCTCCTAGAGTGGCTGTGACGCTTTTGCGAAATGTGGCTGCGATACCTGTGGCCCTCGGCTGAATCATGTACGAAAAAATAGAGCCCTGCGTTCGGTGTGTGAGTCAAGAGCACATCATTTTTTATAGTATTGTATTGGACCACTGTCCGACTTACATCAAAGCCACAATCGCCAATAAGAAGGCTTTCACACCAAGTCAAGCCAGGCAGCCGGCCACGGGCGCGGCCATTCCTCCAGTCCGCATGTGTCACGTTGGACGTCAAGAGTGGACTGTCCAAGACCGGCAGCAGCGGGATGTCTGGAGTACATTTGGCCAACAACTCCTCAGCGGGAATTTCCAGCAAACCTTTGACACGTTCGCCTGCGTCCATCGAGCCAAGATCCAATGCGTCCGCCACCCTCTTGTAGGCATAATCAGCGACGAACGGAGGGAGTGGCTTCATCAAAAGCGATGTCCCGCCCAGGCTTACGAGGCGTGTGAAGAGACGTTCTTCGGACTGCAAATGCAATGTGCCCGCGACTGTGATCCAGCATGGTCAAATTGAGTCAAGTAAGAAGGATCAGGGACGACTCACCACCGCCAGCGCTTTCCCCCACGAAGGTTACATTGGCAGGGTCGCCTCCAAATCCGGAAATGTGTTTTTGGATCCATCTCAGAGCCACCTGCTGGTCTCTTAACCCTCTGTTGGCCTTGAAACCAGCACTCTTAAGCTCTGCAGATGTCAGAAAGCCAAATGCGCCCAGTCTGTAGCTATATCCCGGGAATTACGATTAGTCTTGGTAGTATGGCCGCCAGTCATGGGACTGGCAAGATTGACTTACTTGATCGTGATACCAATGACTGGTGAGCCAAGATTTTCGGATAGTTTGACGATTCCAGCGAGGTCATAGGGTGGCCAGGCACCGGAGCCGATGGTGAAGCCACCACCGTGCACATAAACGAAAACTGGGAGGCTGCTCTTGTGCTGGCTTGGTACGAATACATTGAGATTCAAGCCTTCGGTCTCCGAAGATGGCAATACTTCGTAAGGCAAGGACTGCTGTATCAAGCTATGCTCCATCGAACATCCATTTGGAGGTGAAATGACAGTTGGCCTGGCTTTCAGGTTAACTTGTTGACCAGTTATTGCCTCAGCGGCAATGAGAAATTGCCTCGCCGCGAATGAAGAATCCAGAGGGAACAGCTGCCGTAGTGTCCCAAAGAGGCGAGTGTAACTTACCCTAGGTGCGTTGCATCGGTTATCCCTTTGGGATATCTGCTCACAAGCTGAGCATCGGCAAATCTGCCGCTCAGTGAGGCATAGCTCAAGCCCAGGTACTTGTGAACGCCATCTGCCTCGATGCCTCGAATCGTACCCAAGCTGTTGTGATGAATTTTGGCTGCCATGATGTCTTCTTGGGTTGTTTGACAGAGTACAAGAGGTGAGGAATGGTCATGCAGACTTCTTTCAAAAATCAATGAGCTCGAACTTTAAACATCGGCAACTTTCGGTTTTGACCGCTGCACTAAGGCGAGGTAAGTACTTTCCCTGTCTGTGAAGGTTGAGAAACAGCGAGTGGTTTACTCCCGTTCTGAGACCATGCGTGATGTTATGAGTATGGAGCCTACGCCCGAGACGGCTTTGGAAAGCCCAGAAAGCTCATGATTGAGGCGTGCCTCATGTCACGACATCGAAGTTTGCCCCGCTCTCATTGTAGTAGAAGCCATTGTAGCATGTAACCTCCGGCTTTGCCAAGGGACGCTGTCACGGTCGGAAGCGGAACCAAATATGTGTCCCAAACTGGAAATATGGGGTAAATTAAACCAAATCAAGTGTCACGATGCTCCCCACTAGACCCACCAACCCTGGGCAAAAAAGCACGATCTTTACAGTATAGCTTGTGTGATAGTATAGTGGCTACAAGGGAGAAGAAGAAGGGGAAATAACTGGGCGCCGCTAATGTTCTTGACAATTATCATGATTTTGAACAAGTTGGGCAAGATGCAACCTGACATGTGAGATATTCTACCAACCTCGAAGGTCAATTCAGCACTGTAGAAGACACTGGCATATAAAACATCAAAGGACCCGGAAAAGGCATCCACTACTGGCATGTATCGCCGACTGTGGAGTTCATGAATAGGCGTCGCAGGGATCTGTCCTATTGACGATTCTACCACTGCTTCATGATTGTGGCAAGAGTCCGTGTCGTTGACAGAAGTAGAGACGACCTAGAGTGGTAGGAAGGTGGAAACGCTGCGTGGTCTATCATAGAGTGACAGGTGCGAATGACAGGTCGAGATATTGTGGCTCTACTGGTAAGAGCTCTATCGAGGGTAATAGGAGCGGGACGATAGGGTACCCAGAGCCCCCGCGGCGCCATTAAGGGGCATGAAGTCCTAGGAGTACTCCTTCGAGCGTATAACCTTTCCTTGTCGCTATGTCTAATGCAAGAGGTAGCGCTCTTTTAGAGCCATATTCATATATTCTGTTCATACATGCAAGCGAGTTGTCGCAAGACCCAGCCGATTCGAGGTGTTACTGTGTCAAGTATCAGGCCATGACGACGATAGTAGTCAGAAGATTCACTTACCACCCCATACCCAAGTGTCATCATAGAACATGGCCCAAAATCGTGCCAGCTCCGCTGCAACGGTTTGACCGCTGCTACAGCTGACATCGGCTTCCTCCAAGAGATCACATATGCCATGAAAGGTGGACGTTTCTTCTGCAAGCAGTAACTGGTTTGTCTGCTGCGATCTTTCGATGGCGTACACCCATTTTGTGATGAAGAGCGCTGTACCGATACCACCATCCATGTCAGTATCGTGAGCCAACATTTCAACGGGAGTCCTTACCTGCATCCCACCCGGCCAGGGCATGTTCAAGACTCCACGTGAACGCGGCTGTTTTGGACGTTAGAAAGTGCCCAGCACGCACTGGAATTTTCAGGCCTTCAGAAGCACGTGCCACGGCTTTGGCTGTGCATTCGTTTCTTTCTTGTGGGGCGGCCACAAACTTCTGGAGCTCCGACAGCATATCAGAGCGCTTCTGACGCAACAGTAGTGTTCGATCTACTGTACCGACGCTGGTGAAGGCTCGGCCATACGTGACTCTGAGGACCGCAAAAGCGTTGAACAGTAAAGGGCCTTCCATATCGTTCCACGTCGAGTCGTGTTCATTGCGCGTGGTGGCAAGGAGCGCTCTGCATCGCGACAAAGACTCCTCCACATTAGCCGTGAATGACAGACCAGTCCTACAATCATTTTTTGAAGCCCCGTGCAAAGTCTCGTAGATATTGGTCCCTTGCACGAGGTACCAAACCGAGCTGGCCACTGCGTGTATCACAAGAGCAGTCGCGAATGGTGACCAAGTCAGGCAGAGGCTAGGAATTGACTGATCAGAATTTCCTTTCAGCAGCGCCCTCACCGCGTCTTTAAGACTGAGTTCGGAGCTCCGTCGGCCAAGGCTGGCAATTTGCTCCCAGTAACTTTCGGTCGGTGCCAGCCAAAGAGCATCATCGCAAGGCATCTCGATGTCGCAATTCTCAAAAATAGGAAACGCGGGCGGAACACCGTATGTAATGGTAAGAAGATTGCTTAAAATAAAGGCGCCGCATAGAAAGCTACCATGTGGCATTAGTTGCACCGAGACTGCAGCTGTGATGGCGTACATACCGCTTCATCGACTCTCTTTGCACCCACGACGTCCAAGAGCAGATGTCTTTCCTAGGCGCAGTGGCTCTGATTATGGACGCTCTGGAACGGAAATCCTGCAGCTTGCGATCAGTGACTAGACTTCTGAGAGAAATGGTCAACAGTTACAGCTGCAATCCTCCCACAATCTTCGATGGCCTTTCTGACCAACAGAGTATCACCGTTGAACGCAGCAAAGAATGTGAGAATCAGCCGAGCTTGACTCGTGGCCAATGATGGTTCATGATACAAGCCCGGCGAGTCGCTGGGCCTGGACCAACCCTCCAAGAAGCGGGGTGTACTCTGTGCTAGCTGCGCGATGCTTTGTTCTTCTGCTGCTACCAGCTGGTGTGATTTCACGAATAGAGCGGCTGCGCTTTTGCGTTCCAATCTGTAAAGTGCTCCAATGGCACACATGGCAAGGATCAGGGGGGTGAAAGGTTGTTCCACGCAAAGGGAATGCAGATGCACAAACGGGAAATGTATGTGGAACGCGTCGTGGTAAGTCCGCAGGTACCTCTGCAAAGCGGCTGTGGTCGGCAGCTGAAAATTGGCCGTGGCCTCAGGTCCAAGGCTTGATGTGAGATCAGCCAAGAGATTGGCGCGTTGCAAGTCAGTCAGAATGAGGGCTGCTCGTTCCGTGGATGACACCGCTGTGGAGTTCACCAGGGAAGCAGCTTCCGCTTCCGACGACCGTTTTCGACCCAAATCATGTATTTGTGTCTTCGGCGATGGCTGAGAGATACTTTGTGATAACCCAGACGAACTCTGTATCTTTTTCTGTGCCTGCAACTGCTCGTCGAGCGAACCACCTAACAAATGACCAGAAAGGCTAGCAGGCTCCCTCGCAAGCGGAGACGACCGCGGATCGATACTGGTGCCGTAGCGAGACGACTCCTCCAAGGGGGAAGATTGTACCGTGCCTAATCCTGCTTGTAGAGTTGAGAAGGCGAAGTAGTCAAAAGTCGAGCCAAGGAAAGGGTCGAAAAAGTCGAGCGAGAGCAAGTTGTCGGCATCGACATCGGCATCGACATCGGCATCGACATCGGCATCGACCAAGACATCCATGAAATTTGAAGGCGGCATCGTGGTATCTAGGGAGCTCAAATCGTGACAGGGCAGTTGGGGAAGAGACTCGGATCGCATGGCCACATCAATCTCTGCAGGCTCTTGTTGGGTGTCGTTTGCTGGTACCCCGGACCGTGTTCCACGCGAGGCAGAGTTGATTGCGTGACTAGTCCCAACAGTGGGCTCATGTAGCAATGCGTCGGCAGAGTGATTGGGCGGACACTGATGTGACATGTCCCCTCGACTGGGTGAGGTTTCAACGCCACCTAGTACCGTCGTGGTCACCGCCGCAGAACCAGGGAGGCACAATGTGGAAATGGAGTCGGCGTCACGGAGCACCTCGTCTTGTGCCTCTGGTTGAGGTGAGTTGAGGAACTCGCCAAGTCGCACCTGAATACGTCGCACGCGCTGAACTCACCTATCCATGTGCCCTTGAGCGGCGACTTCTGCTTCGGCCCACCTACTGGGAGGTTTCGCTTAGAGTGTAATTCATCGACGTGGATGGTTTTCTCATGACGGACTACAAGATCTCTGATAGGCAGACGATTATTCCGGGCGATTGGGTCATCAGGCTTTGAGAGATGCACATACCTGCGACTATACTTTCGTCCACAGAAACGGCACACAAAGGGCTTTTCCTGAGTATCTGACGGCTGTTAGCGAAAGCGTGTGGCACTAAGCGACGGGCGACCTGGGTCTACTGACGACTTCTCTCGTGCCTTTGACAATGCTCATTCCTCTTGAAAGTCTTGAAACAATAGCTGCATTTATGAATGCGTTCTGCGGAATTGGCATGGTCGAAGTTGATAATGGAGTTCATGCTGGCGCCGAGAATGGATGAAGTTGGAGGGATAAACGACGTGGCTGAGCGCACTTTGGATATCGCGAGAGGGAAATCGGACAGGTGCCTATCACCAATGCAATTGAAACCCCGCAAAGGCCAAGCTTACCCCAAAGCCTCCTTGGCACTTTGGCCTTCGATGCATAGGCTACCCAGGGCTTCTTAGGCCCGAGGCCCCTCAATCACCCAACATAGACGGCGCCGTGACGAGCTGTACCGCCCGAAGCGCCTTATCCAGGTGCAGAGATACATATAATAGTACTCGTAGCAAGGTATAGCAGCACCGAAAAAGTCACAAGGCAACCCCGCATTTATGAGGTACCTTCAAGTTGTGTCTATTTGTACTGTGATTTGAGTAGCAATCTGTCCGAGATCTGAACATTCAAAATAGCTGACAAAATGTCGTGTTTGACAAGGACTCTGATTCCGTAGACAATGGGCAATCCCGAAACTTCCTCGATATGCACAAAGAACATAAGCTAGTAATTCGGCTATCGTCATCGAACCCTGGTGTATCGCAATGGCTTCACGAGGCGTCCGCCTTTGCTGGCGACGCACCCTGCTACCTATGCCTTGAGGGTGGGCGGTAGAATCCATCCAGATTTTGGCACTATCTTGGTCAGAGCACGAATGCACTGTCTTCGCGTCATTGTGTATACGAAGTCTGACCGCCATGGTCGATGATAAGGATCAGGACCAGCTAGCAATCTCAACCATAGAATGCTTCAACCTCCATCTTCCACTCATGTCACAACCACTCCTCCATCATTCAGCTTGACATTGCCCAGGTGATAGCCCTCGGCCATTGCATGCTCCCATTCTCTTTTCAAAGTGGACTCGACCTCCGCGTTCCTGACGATGAAGCGCACTCGATAAGGCTTGGGCAACGTATTGATGCCAGGCTCGTAAGCGTTATGCGATATGTCGAGCTCTTCTTCCTTTCCCTCTGCCGTTTCGCACGGTCGAATATCAAAGGCCCAAATAATTTTCGCAAGAGTGATGTAAAGACTGTTTTCCGCCAAATGCATTCCGGGGCAAACCCTACGACCTGCGCCAAAGCCGAAGTGATCGCGCTCAAAGGGGTCGGGATGCGCCGTATACGCACCAGCTTTGAGAGAATGATTGAGATACCGATCGGGGACGAATGCCGTGGGGTCGGGATAGCGTTGGTCGTAGTGAAGAGCATACTGATTAATACAGACGACTGTGCCCTTGGGGATATAGTAATCTTTATATACAATATCGTTGGTGGTGAAATGTGGAGTTCCAACGTTGGTCACGGGGCGAATGCGAAGGATCTCTTTGACACATGCTCGAATATAAGGGAGATTTGCTTCGTCATCGAAGGTAGGACTGCGTTGGTCGCCAACAACGCGTTTCAACTCGTCCTGGGCTTTCTTTTGGGCGTCACGATAAACAGCAAGGTATCGGATCGCGCTGTTCAAGGTTGAGCTCGTAGTCTCGGAGCCAGCTTCGATCATAGCTAGGATGCCTCTCAGTTCTGGTCGACTCAAGGTGTGCACATCACTTACTTCCAGCTACAAATGCTGCCTGAGTTTCATCAATATCTTGTTTTTCATAGTCGGTCTCAGCCCATTGCTTGACGAAGCATTCAGGCGCTTTGCCCTCCTTTATCTCCTGTTGCAAAGTGCTCCAGTACTTGACCCAAATCTGCTCTTGGCGCCGATATGACTGGAATGCTGACTTCCTCCACCACTGAAGAGGTACAGGTATGATTTCTGCGATCGGTGGCAAGGTGTCGGCGAGATAGGCTCCCGGTGCAGTCCTCTCAGAGAACTCTTTCATGACACCATAGATCTCCTGTACGTCTTCGCAGTCCTAATCCTACAGTCAGAAGCCTCCCTGTGGACAATGTTTAGGACCCTACTCACCCACTGTGGCACCCGTCGACCATATGTTGATGTCATTATGACAGATGTCGTATACCGTCGAACGTGCATGTAGAAGCTTTCATAGTCCCCGCGTTCATTATCGTCGAATATATCTGAGATCAACTGCTTCGCCTCGAACTCTTGACTTGGCCGGAACGTCTCCGACGACTTTGGTGTCAGTAACTTATGGACGAGTGCACGAAGCTTCCTCCATTGCGGCGTGTAGCTCATAAACAGAAATCGTCTACCACCCGATAGCAGGTCGGATCCGACAGGCATCGGAACCCGACCAGAGGAGATGGCGGAATGTTTGTCAAAAATCTCTTTGACGGCGGCAGGGTTATTTACAAACACCCAGTTGTACCAGCCCATCTGAATCTTGAACAGATCTCCGTATTGTTTGGCCCAAGCCTGTAGCTGGGGTTGAGGGGGTGATTGTAGTTGCAGAGTGTTACCAAGCAATGGCAGTCCACGAGGCCCAGGCACTGCGCGCAGTCCTTTCGGCAGTTTTGAGGTGGAGGAGCTGTGGTAGAACAGTACGCATGCAAACACGAAACACGACGCCAGGAGAAACATAGGCAAAGCCATGGTGATGTGACGAAGGACGATCGCAGTAATCAATTCGCTACAACACAGGATGCAATCCTCATCGACAGTAAACTCTAGAAACGAGGTCGTCTCCTAAAAGGGGCATTCTTATATTTATGACAATCCCCACTGGTTTTGGGGGAGGGGAGGGGGCTCCTTAGGCCTAAGGATCCTTCGGCCTTTAGCAACCCCACAACTGGCAAAGTCGTCACGGCATTCTACAGTATCAACCGTTCGAACTCATTCGGAAGCCGTGGGCACTCTCCAGTGAAAAACGCTCACCCCAATCCGATGGTTACATACTACTTTACACCCCAAAGGCCAAATTATGAAGGCTCCCTGATAGGCATACCCAAAATCCTCATTATGGTGGTGAACTCCATCGCCTCTCAACCTTCATCAACACCAATTCCGTTGCATGAGCAGGCGATGTGTAGTACAGTTGTAGCCTTACAGAAGAATCTCCTGTGCGAAATATTCTGAAGCATTCCAGCAAGTCTTGTCCACTCAGAGACAGGGAGTTCTCGACTGGTACTATCGCTATCTGATTGTTCTAGAGCTTGACAAATCCGACAGAAGAACATAGCTTGGTGTGGGCTGGTCGTCCGACAGATCTCCATAGGCACTCCAATGCTTCCCTTCCTTCGTGGGGTTTTCTATCTCGTCCGCAATGGCAACCCCCAAATCTGCGGCCGAAATTCCGTGCAGGCGGCCTTCAAGGTTCGTGGGATCATCTTCGTCTCCTTTCAAAGGCAATAGATTGAACCTGATCCCGTACTGGCCAGTCCTCTTTCCTGGGCGATAGAGCGCACTCGGAGAGACAAATGTCCATTTGAATTGCGTGTTGCCATCGAAAAACATAAATGAGGTTCGGCAGGCAGTGACAAACACCAATGCCCTGTCGTTGCTCATCACATAATCCTCGTACTCCTTGATAACGAGTCGACTTGCATCCGTCGCGCGTCCTTCACGTTCTGAGCGTCGGGCGTTTCGATAAGCCCGCAAGCCGGAACCCATGGGGCCGAGTCGCTCTTCCATGTAGACCGTGTGCGCTTCACTGTCGGCAATACCCCGTCTGTAGGCAAGCCACCAGTCTTTGGACTCCAGCACGCATTGATGCCCTCGATTCGGCATGTATAAGCTGCCACATCCCCCTACCATCACGAAGTAGCCGACCTTGGCCTTTCGTGCCGCTAGGATGACCTTCCGTGTGACCTCAAGAAACGGCACTATTCTCGGTGAGCTTTCTGAAAGATCGTGCGTGGCTATCACCTACTGTACTGCAGTGCTTCGTGGCCGGCTGAGTGAGGGCCATATTCGTTGACGAGGACATCCAGACCCTTGAATTGCTCTGCGAGCTCGTCAATGTCAAGTGCGTTGACATCTGCCGGACGAGGTGTGTACAAGGGATGCTGGCCTAATGACTCTGGGCGTCTGGAAATGCCAACGACCTTGTGGCCCCGATTAATAAGTTCCATGCACAGGTAGGATCCACCGAATCCAGCAGGCCCTATTACGCCAATCTGGCGGGTTTCTTTCTGGGAGGTATCGGCCATTTGACGCTCGTGAGGATTAACCAAAGATCTGGCTGATAAAAATCGATTATGATATTCTGTTACCAGCCCTGGCAGTGTGCTGTGGCTTAAGAACTTGGGGTTTACATCTGTGGGAACCAATAAGGTCGCCTCACGTCGGCGTGTGGCCCTCCTCTTCCGGCAGTGCTCATTACGGAGTACTGAATTTGGGAAGGAATTCCCCCACACATGTTCCGCAACGGATTAGGGTTTCGTTTCGTTCTCCACAGTGAAGTCACAATTTGTCTATCAGCATTAGAGACCGCAATAGAAACGAGTTCATGCGAGCACAGCGAGATCCTGTCGAACAAGGGCATAATTAAGGGTGGCACATGTCAACACCGGGGCGACTCATGCGACTCTACCAAGGGGCAACCGATCCCTCGCTGCCTCCTTAATCGTATCACTCAACAATGACATCAAAGTTGCATCGTCGCCTTTGATCATCCAGGTGGCATCGTGCGCGAAAGCAACGTGCGCTCCATACTCCCTTTCCATGACCTTTATTCTTCGTATTGTCTCCCTTGCTGCGGAAATGTCTGTGTGAAGTGACGCTTCCGCTCCGTCGCGAAGAATGAAAACACCGAAATCGTACGTACCATCATAAATCTCGCTTGCGTAAGTCGGTCAGCGCTGCGGCGGACTCATGCAGCCAGAGGAGCACTCACCGTGTGTGACAACAGTCACTGCCGAGCACAATCCACTGCCCGTCTCGAAGTCTGGCAGCCGCGCACAAATTACCAGGCATATGCCCGGGTGCTTTGATGATCCAGAAGCTGCCGTCTCCATAGAAATCCATTGCTTCATCAAATGGCCCGAAGGGCACCCACGGTCCAGCTAGCTCCCTAGATTGTTCGGTCGCTCTCTTGGGATCGAAGAATCGTCCATCCCACTGACTGCTTGGCTCCGCGAAGTGGCCCGGGGCGCAATAATCCCAGGTACCAGGACCAAAAAGAGCCTTCGCATTGGGGAATTCACCCGCTATGGGTCGACAATGGTCGAAGTGCGCATGGCTGGAAGACTTTGGCATAAGTCTAGAGCTGATGATCCCTTCTGCGTATCTCACCTGAAAATAACTGTCTCAATATCGTCTGGATCCAGAGAAAGACATCCTTTGATCTGTTGCCGTAAGGTCTTTCGTGGGCCGACCATTTCAAGATCAGGCCAAAACACTTCTGCCACTATCGTGCTGTAATCTTTCTTTTCCTGATGCGTTGTCAGCTATTGTCGAAGCCTGTATTTTGAGAAGGCATACGCCGGACATTCCGAGATCCCAGAGTATATCTCGCCCAGATACGGGATGACGTATCAGAAAAGCCCAGTTGTATAGCCGGACTCGTTCATTATCAACCTGAGAATGTAGCCGTATCGTATCGGCCACGAAACTACCACCATCAAGCAGATGAACGTTAACATGAGACCCGCCTGCCGGAAGAGGCGGAGGGAGAGATTGTGAAGTCGCCATAGTCTAGAAGTGAAGATCTCGAGATGGCTCAAGCTCGTAGTGTTTCTGGGACAAGAAATGTCCTAAACTCGACTACCGGGGCAATTGGGACAATCAAAGCTACACATACCTTGGGTCATCCTACATGAGTAGCTGTCAACTAGTGGGTTTCGCATTCAGGAGGCTAGTCATACGTCTTCCCGCCTTCTATATCCCCCACTTCCTTTCCCTGGAGTGGCAGCTCCCCTTACCTTTTGGGGCACCTGTGAGCGGGGTAAGACTGGCGGTATGCTACAAGTTCAGTACGATTCGTCTCGGGTAATGGTGGGATTGTTGGGGGCCCCTTTCCGAGCCTACCAAGGGGTTCTATATAAAACCATCCGATGGACCCCCTGAGATGTCAAACTTGTCACTCGATAATTGTGTTGCCCACTCTGGACACGCCGTGTAAAATTTAAATTCTAGCACTGCTAGAACCATCACCATGGGCTTTCTGGGAGTTTTGGAAACGAAAAGTCTGCCTCATGTCCCTGCGACTGTTCATCTAAACGAACTCGGCGCCGAAAACCACCATGTCACGCAAGGCCTCAAGCACGGCACCGGGAAAAACTCCCACATTGTCCTCGTGCCACAGCCCTCAGAGGATCCGAACGATCCCTTGAATTGGTCGTACTGGAAAAAGCTCCGCATCGTCTTGATTGTCTCACTCGGCGCCTGCCTTTACGCATCGACCTTCGGACCCCTCCTTGTGGCTGGTGCTTACCAGATCTCGCAAGAACTCGGTGTGACCTTCACTGATGTCAGCCTGCTTGCCGGATATCAACTCTTGGTCGCAGGATCTACTGGTGCGCTGGTCTCTGCCCTTTCCCGGAAATGGGGAAAGCGCCCCGTTTTCGTTTTCTCTGCTTTGTTTGGGCTCATTGGGTCAATCGTTGGATCAGTCGCCACAAGCTACAGCACCCTGATGGGTGCTCGTGTGATTCAAGGATTCTCCACTGCAGCCTATGAGAGTCTGACTATCGCCTTGGTCGGGGATCTGTTTTTCGTGCATGAACGTGGTCTCTACATTACCATATCACAGTTCGTGCTGGCGTCCGTTTCCAACTTTTCCAGCGTTCTCACCGGACCTATCACGAGCAACCTTGGCTGGAGATATTTGTTCTATCTCTGTGTGGTCATTGGAGGTGTTCAGACTCTGCTCCTCTTCCTTTTCTGTCCGGAGACACAATTCAACCGAGACCACCGCTACGAGATAGACGAGTCTATTGGAGAAAACTTAGAAGATCTCGCAGAAATTGAAAAACAGCACATGGTTACCTCAACTGGCCCTGTAGGGGCCAAAAATGAACGGTCAGAGGCTACGCACATGGAAGCGCGCGTAATTCCCAAGAAGAAGACAATTGTCCAAGAACTCGCCCTCGTCACAGGCACTTACTCGTCCGAAAATGTTGTACAGCTCTTCATCGCTCCCTTCGCTTGCTGTTCAAACTTGGTCGTCCTGTGGGCTGTTGTCCAAAGCGGTACCATCACCGCGACATATGTTGCCATGTCGTATGTTCTTGCACAGATCTTCGCGTTTCCACCTTATTCGCTCTCCGCAGCTGGAGTTGGTAATCTGTTCCTTGGGCCTTTTCTGGGTGGGGTGATCGCTTCCCTCGTCTTCGGATGGATCAATGACCCGTTGATCAAGTGGTGCTCACGAAAGAACAATGGCGTATATGAGCCCGAGTATAGATTACTACTCATGGTACCCGCTCTCGTGGCTGGCATTGGTCTCATGGCTTTCGGCAAACTCGCACAGGATGGTGCGAGCATCTATGTGACCGCGACTATGCACGGTTTCGTTATCTTCGGTATCACGGCCGCGACCATCTCAGTGTGTCCTTATGCCCTCGATGCATATCGCGACATGAGCAGCGAAATCTTTGTCGCCGGTATCATCTATAAGAACTTCTTGTTCTACGGCTTTAGCTATTTTGTCAATAACTGGACAGCCACGGCGGGACCCACTACAGTCTTCTACGTCTTTGGTGGAGTTGTGTTTGGCCTTATGGCCACCACCCTGCTCGTTTTCTTCTTTGGCAAGAAATACAGAGCCTTGTGGGCACGTAACAATCTTATGGAGAAGATGCATATCAGGACACACGCGGAGATTTAATCTACTGGACATGTAGCACTCGGGTAGAGGTTTGGCTGGATGGCAATTTTGTGGGGTAACCTGTTATTAGTACCAGTCTTGCCGGAAACAATGTTTTGAATGGCCAAGAACTGCGCACCAATGGGGAGATCTTTTCGGATATCTGCTACCAGAGCTTGATGGTCATTGAATATTGCTGAGTACCATAGCCAGTAACATTGCTTGCAAAATCACCTTGGATCGTCTAGGTATGCTGTGCTCAACAGTGGCTTGCTGCAGTGTGCTAGGGATCACGGTTCGGTATTCCAAGTTATGGAAAACCACACCTGACACTCCAGTCGCACCATGAAATAATATTCGATCCTCGACTGAGCTTGTTCTGGGATTAAAACTGGCAGATAGCCCTCCAATCTGGACATTCAACAAGAAGGTCACTCTCAATATACTATGTAATAGTTATTCGACTATGCCTCACTCAGGCCCGTCTAAGAATCTATATACGACACTCACGTCACGGTCAATACATCTGGCATCTGTCACTGCTTCTTTGTACAACGCTAGCGCTGCGGAACCTGTCGATGTTCTCACGCCAGTGGCCGCCCCTGCGTCCACTCCAAGCGTCATGTCTTTCACCATCATTTGTGCCTTGAATCCCCCTTGGTAGTCCCGGCTACTTGGCGCATGGTCAACGGTGCCCGGTGCTGGATTGACATTGTCAAACATCCATGACTGCCCCGTGCTGTTGTGGACGACTTGGTACAGCAACTTACGGTCAATACCCTGGCGAATACCAATATTCATCGCCTCTGCCGACGCGAGGAGAATGACTCCCGACAAGTAGTTGTTGCAGATCTTGGCCGCAAGCCCAGCGCCTAATTGGCCACAATAAAAGAATTTCTTGGGAGAGCCCATCATTCTCAACAAGTTTTCCATGCGAGTCTCTTGCTCAACATCCGTATCGTTTTTTGCAGTCCCGATCAGGAAGGCTAGGGTGCCAGCAGTTGCACCAGGTACCCCTCCAGAGACCGGGGTATCGATATAATTGCCAGCGCCAGCTTTCTTTAGCTGTTGCCCAACATCCTTTGTAGCCTCGACATCGATGGTACTGCATTCTAGCATCAGCCTCGCCGCGTTCTTGCGCGCGGCGATCACGCCGGTCACCGGATCGATATAGACTTTCTTGACATGGTCTGCAGCCGGAACGATGGACAAAATGGATCCCGCTTCCTCTGCGACTTCCCGCGCTGAAGACAAGAACTTGATCGGACCGAAACTGTTCAGCTCCTGAATGAACCGATCGCAAGCTTCGCGGTTGACATCGTTGATCAACAGCAAGGACGTGCGAGCCATCTTCTTCCGCACATTCACGGCCATCTCATATCCCATGGCCCCGAGGCCTACAACTGATGTCAATGACTTACATGGCGAACAGCGGTGTCAGCTAGAGCCTACCGATAAACCCCACTGTGTCGTTCATGATTCAATTTCCCTGCTCACCAACTAGAAATGTTTTGAGGCAGAAATTGTATGTGTATTGCACCAGAAGTCAGTCAATTATGGGACCGCGACTGTTCTCTCAGCGGTACGAAGCTCAACCCGGGGTGAGTGACCGGTGGATCAGCCTTCTATCCGGTTCAGGTCACCCTCCCATCTTTTCAGCTCGAAGTGATCGGTTTTGCCTTTCACCTGATGCGACCCCTGCCAGGACTGGTGGGGAATGCTGGGTGGAGAAAACGAACCTACTACTCAAGAACGATGTATTCGACAGTCTGAGGCCTCTGAAGCCGTCCAGATTGGAGTTCATCAATGGCTTAATCGGGTAAGTGGGGAGAATCCGCTAAAGAAGTCCTTTGGCTATGTTGATGTTCGAGATCCATCATAATGTTGGTACCATTTACCCCATTTTCCAACCATGTATTCCATGATGGATGGTACCGCTGCTCTTTGGAGCATCTTATTTCTTGCTCTGGTGACCAGGGTCACGAGCTCATGCGCCATTTCAATGTGAGGCTGATCACCACCTGGTGCTTGCAGCCTAGGCAGTACAAATAAAAGTTTGGTGAGGCTCCGGAGCCCACAGGCTGAACTACAGTACATGATCTAACTTTCAACGAGAGCTTGAATGTCTGTCATGCCTATCCGGCTAGTTGCCCTCACTATGTCTACCCGTCCTACTACACTTCGCTGCCAATTATTATACCGGCTCTTAATAGGCATTTCGCGTCGACTGATAAGATCACGTGTTGAAGAGCTCCTCACGACCGAAATGACTTGTAACTATACATTGGCATTCTTCTATGGTATCAATCGTCGTTGCCCTTCGTTGATGTCATTACTCAATTGCTGGCCCATCCACGTTGCCTGCGTTGTTTGCAACGTTTCCTCAAAATCAACAAATTGGCCCCCTGCAACAAAGAATGCTTTACCGTTCAATTCCGGCCTCACCACAGGTAGGAGCAGCGCAAGAGCAACATCCGAGGCCTGGTTTGCGGGCAAATCTCCCCAGATATCCCTGAACGAAGGCAGCAATAGAGGTGTGACTAGTTACAGTCAGCGAAAATGTGTCTATACCCCCAGGGAGATGTCCTACCAGTCAGCCAGGGTGCCACCATGTTTATGCAGATGTTCTGCTTGCTCAGTTGCGTTCGTGTTCCGCGCATAAGACCTAGTACACCAGACTTTGCGGTACCGTACAAGTAGAGTGGCGGCGTATCGAGATAACTGGCGGCGGATCCTGTTAGAACGATCTGGCATTTCGTGTCGGGCCATTTCCGAAAGTAATGCTCAGCACATTTTACAGCGTATATGTGCGCCATCAAATTGACTTCGATCGATTTTAGGTCGGGTGGAAGCAGCTTTTTAGATTCAGGATCGATGTGATCCTCAAAAAGACCCTCGCCTGAGTTAATCCCCGCGTTGGACAACACAGCATGAATGACCCCGAAAGTTGTCCAACCAAGTTGAAAAAGCTCCAGAATGTCATCAAAGCTTGACGTGTCTGTCTTACGAAAGACCACGCTGTTCGACCTAGCAGCACTCAGGGATTTGGCCAACTCCTCGGCCAAGTCCTGAGTGCAGTCCCCTAACACCATCCTTGCTCCATGCGCTTGAACAAAAATCTGTCAACAGGTCGCTATCAGGCAGGGTATGGATTGGCATACCGTGTGCGATTTTTGCAGTCTCCAGGCCGATTCCGGTCGCGCATCCTGTGATTAAGACAACTTTGTCTTGCAGCCGCTGTAGTTCGGACTTTTCGAGGGTATAAGTCGTCATCTTGCTTGGACCATATCTTTATCTATAAGGGTTGGATGACGAGCAGCAAGCAGGAAGCGCACCGTAAAAGGCACCATGCGTCCTCTTTGATACCAATCTCCAACCCGGGCTTCTTCAATCCGGTAATCCTACGAGGGGTGGCGTGGGTCCGCCGGACGAGAGGTTTGAACGGACATACCACACTTCGACTTGATCGAACTACTACTTCTCCACATAGGCCCGCAATGGGAGGCTGGTGGTAAATATGAACCAAAAAATTGACTCGTTACATGTTCACACGGATTCTTCCACTTGCACTCGATCAACTTACTAACGTACAATAATCATGTTGAACCATCCGGAACTCGCCACCATGGGCAACCTGCGCTGGGTGCACTTGGTTCTCGTTGCCATATGCTTACCGATTGTACAGCTCTTAGTTCTATACTTCTACACCATTCCTTCGACGCTGACAGACAAACGCCGGCGACATCTGCCTCCTGGACCGAGAGGTCTACCTTTTGTGGGCAATTTGTTCGACCTCAGCGATTCTGAGCTTGTGCGACAAAAGGCTCAGAATTGGTTTCGACAATATGGAGATATCTTCTATACCAAAATTGGGGGAACAGATTACATCTGGCTCTCTTCGCCTAGAGCTGTGAGAGATCTACTTGACAAGAAATCAAGTATATATTCTTCTCGAAGTCCAGCACCCTTCGCACAAGACGTGGCTAGTGGCGGCAAGCGTCAGTTGTTTATGCAATATGGCCCGGAGTGGCGCCAATTGCGCAAGACGAGCCACTCGCTGCTCAACATGCAATCTGCTATCAAGTATCAGCCTATCCAAGATTATGAGTCGAAACAGCTTATGATCGATCTCATCCAAGACCCAGAAAATTTCTATGAGCACAATAGGCGCTACAGCTCGTCGGTTATTATGTATGTTACCTACGGCTACCGCCTCCCATCCTGGGAACACCCACTCGTCAAGAAGATATTTTCCGTGCTGGACAATCTAACGGAAATGACGGCCCCTGGCGCTCATGTCGTCGACAGCTTTCCTTCCCTAGCCAGTCTACCTCAGTGGCTCTTAGGAAATTGGCGTAGTCACGCGAAGAAAGTTTTTCAGTACGACAGCAAGGTATATCTAGGGCTGTGGAGAGAGCTGAAGGAGAAGGTTGACAATGGAACTGCAAAGGAGTGTTTCGTCAAAGGCTTCTACGAACAAGACCTTAAGAAGCATGGTATTGACGAATTGCTAGCGGCCTACACATGTGGAGGCCTCGTGGAGGCTGGTTCAGAGACAACTGCAACGACCCTCAATAATTTTATTCTCGCTATGATCCTATTCCCTGAAGCGGCTAAGACAGCCCAGGAAGAAATCGATCGAGTCGTGGGAGAGGACAGAATGCCTTCATGGGATGATGAACAGAATCTGCCTTATGTGAGGGCCTTGGTGAAGGAAACGCTCCGCTGGAGGCCTGTCAATAAATTTGGTATGCCTCATTATACTAGCGAGGACGATTGGTACGAAGGATACTTCATCCCCAAAGGGTCGGTCGTTATGCTTAATTGGTGGTATGTATTGATCTGCCAGTATCGGATTATGTGCTGATAAATTTTACAGGGCCATTCACTTTGACCCAAAATTACACCACGCTCCTGACACATTCGATCCGGCGAGGTACCTGGGCAAACCACTACCCGCGGCGGATTACATCAACACCAACGATCCCTACTTACGTGACCACTTTACTTACGGCGCAGGGCGTCGAGTCTGTCCTGGTGTACATGTTGCCGAGCGGTCCTTGTACATCAACATTGCGCGAACATTGTGGGGATTCAATTTAGCTAAGAAGATGGGAGCGAACAATAAACCCATCGAGCCCGAGACGGAAATGGTACGAGGCTTTTTAAGCGTCCCCAAGCATTTCGATGCGGCAATCACGCCCCGAAGCGAGGCTCACGTACAATGTATGCGGCGAGAGTTCGAGCAAGAAGTCGCTCGTGGTGGCATCTAAGCTGCAACCAGCAAAGACGGGGTGTATCATGGCAAGTGCACGCACTTACCTACTGTGAAGTTGATATATCCACAGCCAATGGTCCAGGGCTGGTACGTCTATAGTCAAATGTCAAATGTCTCGCTCTCATTGAACAATTGCCACATTATTTACCCCATCTGCGGCATTCGGTGTTTCTGCTCTGCTAATCTAGCCAGTATCGAAATTGCCCCTCACAAGGGGCCACTGCGGGAAGGCCTGTGGTATACCGCAGGCTACGCAGGGCACGGTGAGGCTGACTTCGTGGGCCTCTCAAATGCCTTATCTGGCGGAGACTATCCAGAACCTCTTCCCCCACTTTGTAACTAGAAGGCCAGGTCAATCCCCACCCTAACTCGAAACGCGATGAAAATGACTTCCTCATTCAGATTAATCTGTTGTCACACATTTAATGCACTCTTGTGGCAATGATGTGGTGAGCCGAGTGGATTGACCAGTGCAGAGCCTTTGTGGAGGTAGACGGTTTTGGAACTTTATGAACGATTGTTTCTGTTGATATAGCGTTAATTTTCATTGTCAGCCAGTTTCAGCCGTGTTCCAAGTCACAGCTCAAACAGGATGACCGGCAAAACCGAGCCTTTCGTCGTAGTTGTGGGAGCAGGGCCAGCTGGCCTTCTACTCGCACTGCTACTTGCACGATCCGGCATTCCGGTTCAAATCTTGGACAAGTCCACAACGCTGGATGATCAGCCTCGAGCCACGCATTATTCCCCTCCTGCAGTCTACGAGTTGAGACGCGCTGGTGTCCTCGATGACGTGCGATTACAAGGCTTTTCTCCTGGGGCCGTAGCTTGGCGCAAACTGGACGGTACATACCTCGCCGGGTTGGATAACACAGTTCTAGGGGACTATGAAGACCGCATGGTCTGCCTTCCGCTGAATCACCTGGGCAAGATTATCTACGCACATCTCCAAAGGGAATCTCTGGCCACGGTGTCTTGGGACCACAATGTCGTGGCGATAGGTCAGGATGAGGGCAAAGCGTGGATAGACGTCACGACATCAAAAGACTCCAAGCCACGACGCCTGTCTGCTCCTTATATTGTCGGCTGCGACGGCGCAAATAGTCAGATTAGACGAGCCTTGTTTGGAGACTGGGAGTTCCCGGGGACCACATGGGATCAGCAGCTAGTGGCCACAAATGTCAGTGTTACGATTCCCTCTGCGGGGTGTTTTGCCTATTATTCACTGACAATTATCTGTAGACATACTACGATTTCTCTCGATTTGGCTGGAAAGATGCAAATTTCATAATTGACCCAGAGCATTTCTACATGGCAGCTCGTATCTCCAATGACGGTCTGTGGCGGGTAACGTACGGCGAATCCGGAGGATTGACTCGGGAAGAATTGCTCGAGCGACAACCAGGTAAATTCCGCCAAATACTCCCAGGGCATCCAGAGCCATCAGATTACAAGATAGTCAGCATTAGCCCGTACAGGGTTCATCAACGACTCGCCGAGTCAATGCGCGTTGGACGATTCTTGCTTGCAGCAGATGCTGCGCATCGTGAGTGGCGTGTGCTAGATCCCAAACAGACCGGCACTAACCTTGACAGTGTGCAATCCTTTCGGTGGACTTGGCCTGACAGGTGGACTTGTTGATGTAGGCGGCCTTTTTGACTGCTTGAAAGGCATCTTTGATGGCCGTGCGGACGACTCCATCTTGGACAAATACTCAGAAATCCGACGGACCAAGTACGAAACTGTTGTCAATCCCATATCGAGTGAGAACATCATCCGTCTTTTTGGCGCAAATCCAGACACTGTTTTGCAGGAGGACAAATTCTTGCAAATGTGCCTCAAGGCGGAGAATGATCCCCAGTTGTCGCGTGAAATTCAGCAAGGCGTGAATGATTTGCAACACGACTTTACACAATACTATCAGAAGAAATAAGCACATCGTTGGAGGTTGTCATTTGTCATCAAGGATTTTTGAGTTGCCATGCTAGCTACTTCAATGCATATTTGGTGTGAGAAGTTACTTCGTAATTAGTTCCTAGAAGTCGGAAAGAATTCCGGTCTGTTCAGGAAAAGATGGATTCTGCTAGTCTTAATGAAAGCCTCCCAGGAACTCTAAAACCGCATTCTGACACTGCTCGGGAGCCTCTACGTATATTTCATGCCCCTTGGAATTAATGACCACCATCTTAGCCCCTTTGACTTGTGCCTGAATGAACCTCTGTTCCTCTAGTTTCGTTGCCACGCTATTCGCCGGGGCTAGAATGAGCATGGGCACAGTGATGTGATTCAGGTATGGTCTCGAGTCCAGCTGAGAGAGAAATTGGGCATACCTTGCCAGTCCCTCCCCCGAAGATATAGCAACCTGGTCAATCCACCACCGGATGTACTCGGGGTCTGGAACAGACACTGTCCCAGGGACTTTGGACAGAGCTTCTGCCCATCCTCTGCTACCTAACGCTCGACAAGCCTTTGGCCAGCTCTCATGACCAAATGCAAATAGTTGCAGCGCCATAGGCGGCAGGTTGGTCGGCGATGAACAGACAATCAAAGAATGGAGGCGGTGAGGGTATTTGGCTGCAAGTATCTCTCCGACCATGCCACTGGTCGATTCACCGAAAAAATGAACTTTCTCGATCCCCAGTTGGTCCAACGTGTCGATGATTTCCTCGCAGATGGTATCTATGTTATATTTGTAGGCCGAGTCCTCCGAAGGGACGCTGGAGAGACCATGACCGCGGGCATCCCGCCGAATGACCCGATATGTTCGTGCCAGGACAGGTATCCAGTGATACCAGAAAGCTGAGTGCCTAGCAAAGCCGTGCTGGATGAGTATAGTCTCCGTTGGTATCCAGGGATCGTGAAAGTCATCCTGGATCACATGTGTGGTTTGGCCTCCAGGATGTTGGAGGATCGTTCCCGAGGGACTAATTGATACTGTGGCCATTGTGAGGGGTAATGGCTCTCCGTTGCAAAAGACGTGGCAAGATTAATGGTCAAAGGTATTGCTCTTAACGGCTGCTCACAACTCGTGGCCCTGCCAGTCACGGAAGGAGACGAGCGCAACAATGTGGTAATCCTCCCAAAACATATTGGCGTAGTTCGAGGATGTCAAGTTGACCCCAGGCGAAAGCAGATTAGTCCGACTGGTTTTTTCCTCCCTCCCTGATCCTTGATTAGGCAATTTCTAGATCCCTAACTAGACTGTTGCTCGACCATCCCCAGATTTCCTTTCTAGGACGAAATGTGGATTGGCCGGGGTATAGCCGGGCGGTTGGAGGGGAAGAATGGGGAGAACAGGTTACAAGCCAGTTATGGACAAAGGAGCGGCCAGACATCCTTTTAAGTCTTGGAGACCCTGCGGCTCCAAAATCAGTGCGCCTGCCAGCAGGGTGCAGAATTTCAATGAATGTTAAGTCGTAGCAGCCTCTCAACGAGTCAGTCCCTTTGCTTCACCAACAGAATGAGTGCTCTACGGAGCTCAGCATTACATTTTTTAAAATCCATGTACAATTCATTCAGTCGGCAGACTTTATTACGGCACGTCAGCAGGGAGACTATCCTTGTGACAGTACTCTTCTGCTTGACAAGCTTCGTCGTTTATCGTCTCTACTTCCACCCTCTGGCTCATGTACCTGGCCCTTTGCTGGCAAAGTGGAGCGGATGGTGGCGCAATTACCGCTATTTTAGAGGTACATGGCACGACGACATCCTGAAAGTCCATCGAAATTATGGCCCAATCGTCCGTATAGCCCCAAACGAGCTATCGGTTGTCGATGCCCAAATCACTAAGCAGCTCTACGGCCATGGACACAATGCCCAGAAGACCAAGTGGTATAGTACATGGGATATTCCCGGTGCGGCACCTGGCCTGTTTGCCGAGCAAGATAAAAAGCTTCATGCATATCTTCGAAAACGCGTGTCTGGTGCTTACTCCATGTCTGCGATCCTCAAGTTTGAAACATACGTCCAGGGCTGCCTCGATCTCATGCTGGTTGGCCTGAAAAAGCACAGTGATAAAGGAAATACCGTCAACATGGCAAATTGGACCAATGCGCTAGCCTTTGACGTGGTGGGCGAGCTAGCTTACGGCTCGAAGCTAGGTCACCTCGAAACAGAGACAGATGTCATGGGTATACGAAAGGCCATCTTTGACGGGTTTTTCATTATGGCCAACTTCGGCCACTTCCTTGGCCAGGCACAGCTGGTCAACAATAAGATCGTAAACGGGTTCTTTGCCCTTTTCGGAGGATCTAGCGGATTCTCCGGATTTCAAAAGTGGAGCGCGGACAAGGTTAGGAGTCGCATGGGCAATGATGGGGCTGGTGGGAGAGAGGACATGCTAGCTCACTTCATCCGCATGAAGAATGACCAAGGGGAGCAGGCGTCCTTTCCGGAAGTCCTCATCGAAGCTATGAACATCATGTGAGGGTGTTTTTCTCCCGTTTGAGGAGCCTATATGCTGATATATGTTTGCAGCGGTGCTGGCGCAGACACCACGTCCATCGGCATGAGGTCATGCATGTTCTATATCTGCTCGAGGCCCGATGTTTACAAAAGGTTACAGCGAGAAATTGACGATTACTATGATTCAATGGGACTTTCAAACCCCATAACATACCAACAGACCCAGCAATTACCGTATTTGGTCGCGGTTTGCAAAGAAGCTATGAGACTGCTGCCGTCAATCGTCTATCAGCTTCTTCGGTACGCGCCAGAAGGGCTGAGCGTTGAGGATAAACACATCCCCACTGGCACGCCGATTGGGATCAGCCCAATCTCACAGAATCGAGATCGGAAGGTCTTTGGGCCGGACGCGGACGAATTTAGACCTGAAAGGTGGTTTGAGGACGAGTCAAAGACAAGGTTGATGGATAGTATTAACATGACCTTTGGTGGTAATGGTCCCCGAATGTGCGTCGGGCGCAATATTGCACTGGTAAGTCATGTCACGACCTTTGGAAACGAGCAGCGCTAATGATGTGCGTGACCAGGTGGAGATTCACAAGTTTGTCGCTCAGCTTCTACGAAACTTCGATGTCGGTCTTGTCGACCCGAATAAGCCGTGGCATATCACGAGTTATTGGTTCGCCTATCAGCACGACATGAACATGTGGCTCAAAACAAGGCCTGGCCGGGCTCTTCAGGCGCCATCGGGATAAAAACTCGGTATCTGTCTTGTCGAAGTGCTGAACAATGGCCAGCCTTTCTTCCACGATTCGTCTAGAGATGGAGAGGATATTTGCCGTTTTAAAAGTTTATCCTCCACAAGTCAACTCGGGTAAACCACCGTTCTTAAGTCTGATTGACCTCGGTCCCCGGCGATTTCAAGATGTCTATAACGACTCCGAAGGGCGACTTTCGCAGGCTGGAGTTTGGCTGAGGCAAAGAGACGGGAAATGGGAGATAAAGCTCAAAAGATGTGGAACCTACACCAACTCCTAAATTGAAGAATCATTCAACCTGGGCATCATCTATTTCTATGTTAAATCGCTGACCGCACTCGTAGGCGGTACGTCTAACGCCTTCGGGCCAAATCATCCTACGAGTCTTACTACGTCCCGGTACAGCTGGATTACGGATAAAGAATACAAATTATATCACATCAGATCGACTTCGGTCACCTACCGCCAGAACACTGCCTCCAGCAGTTCCAAGCATGCCTTCGCAAAGTTGGCAAGCTCAAAAAAAGTGCTGTACAATCGCCCTTCTGCCACATTCAGAAACATCCTCCTCGAGCTGTTCGAGTGTTTGCTCAGCTTTGTGCCTGGGCTAACGCTAGGAATGCCGCAGAGGACACAGTCCTCTTCTATGATCTTCACCCCACATCTCTTCCTTCAAACAAAAAAGTTCTTTGCGCGAAGTATTAGCTGTTCTTGCTCCACGTGATCTACGATACAGTAAAGTTATTGAACATCAATGGAAAATACTGTGAGAAGGTTCCATAGCTATTGTGAGCAGGTACTTCACGTGTCTTTCATCCTCGACTAGCTTTCAACACCCAGATCGTACGACATGGCGCGAACACGCCTAGTGTATCACTCTCACACCCTCATAGTTTTCTTGTTTTTATAAGCTTGTACGCCTACACTGGCAAACTTTTGACAACATATAGCGTACCCGAAGTTCACCGAAGATTTGGTGAGAATGGTACATCAGTCACGCCCGCGTACAAAAAATCTGACTCTCAATGCCAATACCTCATTTCTGTGTGTACGGGTCACCTGGACGTACCGGAATAGTGTTACGGTTGCGTAAGCGAAGCTCTGCTCGCGGCGGCGGCGGCAAGCGGTTTGTAATTTGGGAAGAAGTCTTCTGGGTCATATTTCGCTCGAATTTCCAGAAACCGCTTTAGACCAAAATCGGTCCAAACTTTGACCTATTGACCCTCAACGTAAGTGATTAAAATTAATGAATTCACAGGACCTTTCTTAGAGGGCCAACTTCCAGAGGGGCTTACCTGAGCCTGTCGTTCATCGAACGGGTCCCAATCTGCGATGTACATCCCAGCCGCACTAGGATAAAGTATCGCATAGGTATCGGCCATGTAGTCGTATATCTCTGGTTGTAAAGACTTATCCATCCACTGGGTAAATGTGGAGATGTAGTACTGCTGCGGCAAGGCACATAGATGATCTCTCTCGTTTGCGGTGAAGAATGAGCAGAAGATGTTTCCGACCGACCTCCGGGTTGGGAGATTGGTCATTGCGGGCACGACAGATTTGCATAGTTGTTTGAGGGGGATAGTTGGTTCGGAAAGGATGCTATTAATCTGCCATTTCATGTCTGCGACGGTGGGCACCATGGAATCTTGGATGTCGAAAAAATGTGACCAAGCCATCTCTTCCACCTCTTCTGATTGGATGATATGTAGAGATGCTGGGATGTTGTTCCATGGACTGAGGAGAGCTTGGGCTTCTTCCTTGGTGTCGACGTATGTCGACGCGAAAATACCAAAGTGGAGCCGTGCCGGAGATGGAACATCGTCGTTTGTGAGGTTAGGGTCGAATCTTTCAGGGTAGTGAGTGAAGATGGCGTGCTCGGTACCCCATTTTGGAACGAGGCTGCTAGTATGCAAAGACCAGTACAAAAGATCCTCTAGGTTATTCTTAACGTCAAAAATCATAGATTTAGTGAACATCTTGCGAGCAGGGATCGTTCGGCCCCAGATCTTGGTTAGGATGCCAAAGAAGGCCAGTCCGGCTCCACGCGCTGCCCAGAAGAGGTCGGCATTCTGCGTCTTGCTTGCGATTCTGACTTGACCGTCAGGTGTCACGATCTCCATCGCTGTCACCCATTGATCCACGGTTGGACCCCATGTTGGACAGAAGAAGCCCTGTCCTCCATTGAGTATGAACCCACCGGCAGCGACCGTCGGGCTGTGTCCATGCGGGAAAAAACGGCCAATCTTTTGCAATGCTTCGGAGAGCTCTCGTACACGTACAGCCGGACCAAACGAGATCTCATGCAATGTTGGGTCATAGTCGACACCCCGATTGAGATTCGATGTATCCACGAGGACGCCGTCACCGATCAGCGAGTTGTTCGAGTAGGAATGTCCTCCAGACCTGATCCCGATTTTGGCGCCAAGAGCTCTCGCATTCTCGACCGCCTGCTGCACATCGGCGACGGAGCTAACTAGGTGAATTTCCTGAGGGTAGACTTCTCGCACATCTGTGTTGACATACGCTCGTCGGAGCCGTTCGTATTCGCTGTTGAGGCTTGTCGAAGAGCGCTTGAAAACCGGCATGGCGGCCGTGTACTGTTGAGGAAGTTGATCGACAGGACTCAATGATATCCTTCGATGCGTAGCTTGTAAAAGCCACTGTGAATCAGGAGGCAATTGAGCTTGTGCTATAGACAAAAAGTAATCAGGATGTCTATATGCATACCAATATTTCGGGGCTCGGTGGAGGTGATGGAATCCTTGTGGGGTAGGCCTTGTTCCATTGGGGTTCCCCTAGACACCCTCCGCACGTGCATTGCCCCAGACTACCCCAACGAGCAAGATGGAATTGACACTTCGGGAGCCAGCTTCCAATCACTACTTTGGTAATGAGTGCAGGTATCCGACGCATGTTGTGGTAACCCTAACTTCATACACGATTATTTTTCGTTCATCTTGAACCGTCTGGCACCATGGATTTCGTGGATGATATCGGCCATATCTCAATGCTCACCATGTTTTAGCGTCTTTTCAGGGAAATAGTGTCCTCAAGAGAAGTGCGTCGTGCACCTGGAAAAAGTTCATGGTTGAACGGTCGTGAACAGTGTGAAAACAGTGTAGGCACAGTTAAATCCAGAGAAGGTCCAAAAAATTCACTTCCTGCTAGGAAAGAACCTCTTCCGCTAGACTGTGCAACACTACTGCGAACAAAGAAACATACTTAGCAAACTACACAGGTATTGATTCAATGGTTTAGAGGATTCAGAGGGGAAACCTCGCTTACTAAGAGATATTGTGGTATGGCTCTAACTTATTTGATTCGAAATGACTTGTGTGATAGTTGTGGAATAACACCACGTGGATCAATCAGGATCACTTTTGAACCCGAAGATGGCGAGATGTCAAGGATACAACTCGGACGCATGATGAGTTCAAACGCATGCCTAGGTTCTCGAGCAGGAAGGGAATTATCCACCTCTACAAGCTATAGACATGAGATGGCCGTGGACGGCCAATCAGTCGATATGCTACACTTCCGACTACTAGAGGCTGACAAGTCCTAGTATTCGCAGCCCTGAGCCCGGTATGTACCTTTTAACAAGGCCAGACATCTTGTCCATCACTCTAAATCAGGCCTCGAAGAGCCAATCAACCCTTACACCCTAAGAAGCCTTCTTTGCGGCCTCGTCCAACTCACTGCAAGTGCAATCCTACTCTTGAGGTTCCAGAGGCTTTCTTCTCGTCTTTTGATCTCGGCTTCCCAGGTCTTACGCCAACTAGTCTGTTGTCCTCATCAACAAGTGCTTCTAGGCTAGCACCGCAGCAACACATCTGGCGACACTCTAGCGTCTCGCAGCGTTTTAGAGGTGAGCACGGTGAGTGTACCATCGGCTCGATGGTCGCTTAGTCCACTCGATAGATATTAATCACATTCTGAGCCCTTGGTGCCTTGTTGGCATCGGTGACAGAGATCCAATGCTTCTTATTCACTTCGATAACCATCATCCCTCTAAACGCCATGACCAATGGTGGGCTATAAAACATTTCACGAGAATTGTCCGTTGAATCATCAAGTGATGGCGGATGTTATAAAGCGAAGTCCTCGCAAAGTACAACGTTACAGAAGCCCCCGCACGAGTGATTTCTATTCACAAGACCTGCCAGCGTACTGCCCAAGGCAATGTTGATGAGCCAGTCAAAGACGGTGATGGGTGCATGTATCAATTTCTACCTAGGCGCAGGTAGGCGAATAAGAAATCACTGCGATGGCGGCAGGGTGGAAGATATCAGCTTTGACATAGAAGCTGGACGTGTGTACAACGTCTGGTCCATTGATGACCACCGTGCCAGCCGTGCCATTCGTGCCGCTGGTACTCGTTTCCGACATGACTGCATTGATTGTGTGTCTTGGAAGTCTGGCAAAATTACAAGCAATGACAGCTGACGAAGAGATATCAGTCAATACATTAAGGGGAAAAGGAAAGTAAGAAAGGAGAATTTGAACTTAATCCTGGCATTCGAGTAGCGACTATTGAGCCGTTTGCGCACCACCTATCTGAACTGAATGAGCACCACAGACCTTGCTACCAACGTTGCCAAGGAACCTTTGCTTGGATCACCTTGTTTATGTTAAGTCGAACTCTCTCAGCTCTTGCCGGGTTCCGGATATATAGCGTCTTGCTCGGACAACTCGCATCTTGTGACGCCCTGACCATGGATTGAACCACTCAGTAAATCGATGCCTGAGAGATAGATTCATGGTCCAAGTTCTATCTCTACTCTTTTCTCAGGCTGACAACGCATCTGAAGTTCTTCTGTTTCACAAACCAAACGTTCTGAGTTTCCAGCTTTTCATTGGGCTTCGCAAGCCGGAAGTCGAAATATCGAATTAACTCCGGTACAAGTTTGGAAATTTCCATCAAGCTGATGTTTTTCCCGATGCAGGTCCGGGACCCTAACCCAAACTAAAGGACACGTCAATGTATAGCTTTCAAAAATGGCGTACAGTCTTCGGTATACGGGAAGATTCAACACCTCCTAGCAAATCGGCCTGTTTGGGCAAAGGGCGAACATCACATACCGTCATGAAGAAGCGATCCATGTGAGAAGCGCGCTCCGGATCTTCAAGCCATCTCTCGGGCACGAAATCGTCGGCATCGTCCCCAAAAACGACCTTATTCCTATGCATTACCCAAGTGTTGACTCCGACGATAGTCTAATCCAGTTGATTAGCTCAGAGCTAGCCTTAAGCTGACTCGGATTCTCCAATGGGTCGCTCAGATACTGAAATCTCCCAGTGCATGCGAAAGCATGATTGGCATTGAGACTGAGCTTGGGTGGAAAGGCAACTCACCCCTTCTGGTACAAACCATTTACATAAAGTGGCTCCGCCCTTGGGCACCACACGAGAGAGAGGAAGACCTGTCGCGGGATGCAAGCGAAGCCCCTCCTTGATGCATGCCTGCAGATATGGTAGCGATTGTGCTTCTAAAAATGTGATAGGGCTGGAGATTTCGCCTTTGGCTGCTTTCTCATCGAGTTCTTTCTGCAGCTGTACGTGAAATGAAGCAAAGGTCAGCTACACGTATTTTCAAACAGTATAGCTGACACAAGAGCAGAGAAACTATTGACGTACTCTTTGGTGGGCTCGTGGGTTTATGATAAGCCAATAGAGAATGCCTGAAAGGCTGATGGACGTCGTGTCTGAGCCGGCGCCGATGTTGGTTAGACAGGCGCCAAAAACGTCCTCGTCAGAAATTTTTCTTGGTTGTTCTTGCTTGATTTGAAGTAGCTTTGTCAAGAAGTCTGTCGAAGTCGAGGTGTTTACTTGTGAGGCTGCCGGCGCCTTCTCGTTATGTGTTTCATGCTTGGCTATCTGCGTTTGAGTGAAGCCCAGCATATAGGACATGCCGCTGCCATTGACAAGAGCCGTGAATCTGGACAAGAAGGAATGAAACTCGGCGTAGACGCCGACATTGGCTGAGTAGAAGAGATACGCATGCAAAGCACTGAACATTGTGTGCGAATCTTCAGGTCGATCGATATATCCAAAGGGAGCGCCAACCTGTCACGAGGGGCAAAAGCACGCCTACATTAGTACTTGAAATGTGGGGATTAATGGTGGCACTGATCTTATTCCGAAAAAGGGCCAGTGCTTATAAGGTCATAACCCACCGTGATAAGTCCAATCATGTCAAACGCGAAGCACTGGAGCCAGTGTTGCATGTCGATGCCCAAATCACTATCAGATCCGACACTTGCGAGGTCTTTGAATTTGGCCACCATCTTCTTCGTGAGTTCAGTAACATGGTGCTCGTAATCGAGGAGACTTGTCATCGAATATAGCCTGGCAACCTTTTTTCTGTTATCACCGTGTCGCTTTGCGTCACGGTCGGTGAAGAGGTCGTGTGTGTTCGGGTCGGCGCTGCCACTCGCTGCGTACCACGGGCCCTGTGTGCAAGGTAGTCAATGGATTTCCATCATGGCACACCTAGGTAATGGCTGAAAAGATTACCCCATATCATCTATCTGCCAGATCGTGTCGTACAGAAACCGGAGTGTGCGACAGACGCGAATACAAAAACAACTTACCTTGGTGAAGGATGTTCCATGGCCATAGATGGTCTTTAAACTCTCTGGATCCTTCAAGCTATACTGGCCTGGCGCAATTCGAACAATAGGACCTGCATAAGGTTTGTCATTAGATTTGCCTACTGCAAACAGAACAAACCACAGCAGTCGGCTTGTGGAGCTGTGTCTACCGGATGCGTACCGTATTTCTCGTGAAGCGCAATGTTGGTCTTCTCGAAGTCGCCATGCCAGACTTTTCGGAGATACCAAGCTCGGGTGAACCTAGCCCAGAACGGTCCAGGAATTGCTTTCAAAGGGTCCAAAAATGCTTTGGTTGCTTGGTAAATAATGATGACCAGGGCGAGAACGACAAGAATCATTGGTGATGCTAACAATTGGAGCAATCGACCGAGCTGAGCCATGGTGCAGTGTAGCGCGCCACGGACGGATTTAAGCATTACCCTCAGGGATATATATCAGTCTTTGTTTCATAGACAGGGAGAATCGCAGGTTTTAACAATCGTAGGCGTAGCAACAGTCGATGAATCCTGGTGGGGAAGGGGGAACATCCCCCCATGGCCGAGCCAGGAAGATGTGGGGTGAGCCGTTCCCCTTAGGCGGCATGTGTACTCTATAGTGTTCCGTACGAATTGCCTGGGACTATTACATCGCTTCCCGTGTAGCATGGATAGCCTGTAAGTTCTGAGCAGCTGAATAGAGAGAACTCCGACCATGGCTCTCAGTTCAACATGGCATTCATTTAGGGGAACTTCTGCTTTGGACAAAGCCTTTTTCCGTAAAAGAACATGGACGATGGCACGTGTAACTACTCCACATTTGATGATCGACTCTGATCGGAATTGAGCCACTAACCATGATATGCAGGTTCAGACTTTGACTGTGTACGGGTGCATTTGCTAGGCCATATTTATCAATTTACGACCTGCTCAAGACTTGAGTAGACAATATCGCAGCTCAAGGTACCGAAGCCACTCCTTCGAAGCATTGGTCACTGTTTCCACTTGACTTTGCTCAAGCTCCGACTTGTTCTCGAGAGTTATGTACCGATGAGATGATGCGGTCGCACCAATCACATTAAGCGGAGTCGCTGCGTCAAATCTTTATGCAGCAGGGATCCCGTGCAAACGAAGTATTTCAGAGCAGGGACGACACGGGCCCATTGCAATGGTAGAATAAAGGAAACTCCGTACCCCGTACGGAGTGCGCATAGAGGACACAGCCGAGCTCGCCATACCTCGAGGCCATACAAACTATGATTGAATTAGAGTCTGCACAGGCCTGTTTGGCTACAAACGTGCTGATCTGCCCATTCATGGCCATTCAGTAACAACGCTGTGGCTTGAGGGGCCGTTTCACTCGTTGAAATAGTGACGCTTTGCCTAACGGAGCAGAGGATTTGCTCACAATGCCATCATTTTGCATGACAATGACATAGGTATACCTAATTTTTGCTTGTGCAATTTCTGCGATTTCTGCTTTGTTTTTGGAAATAGCTATCGCTACCTTGCTGTCGCCTTGTCTCTTATCGCGACGTATCGAAGTATCCTCCTCCTCCTCACCATACTTATCACCAGTGAACTACGTAGTCGGTGTCGTTGCTATCTAAGACTAAGAAGGATCGAGTTCGGACACGAGATTCAGTGGATTATACATGTCTAAAATATAAAGAAGAAAATAGTTGATAGTTTAACTTAAATGATAAATAAAAAGTATAATTATCTTTACTCGGTAAGGCTAGAAAAAGTAGATATACATTATTATTTATATTAAAGACTACTAGCTATTTCTTTTCTTTATTAGAACTATAAGATAATATCTTTCAGTAATTAAGGAGCACTCAAAGCTTTTGCACGAAGGCATGGCAGCATCATAAATAAAAGACTTTGAATCGGTAGTCTGGGAGAGCCCCCAAAATCGGAGAAATTCTGCCTGCACTTCGGCTTCCCTTCTCCAAGTCTTTAATTCATGCTCCACAATAAACACTGATCTCAAAGGACTGACAACTCGACAACCTCTCTCCATCTTGTCCACACGTCTCTACAGCCATGGATTTCAAAGCCTTAATGGCCGCTCAGATCGCAAAGTCCAAACCACCCACCGCGAAACCCAACCAACAAAAGTCCACCCCTCCCACCCCCACAGCCTCAACAACAAGCAAATACGTGCGACGAGCAGATCTCGAAGCCGCCCGTGAAGCCGCCTACGCAGCCGAACAGGCCCAGATCCAAGCCGAGCGAGAAGAGCGAGCAGCGAAGAAACGCAAACTGGAAGATGAAGAAGCCGAGCGCAATGCAGCCCGAGAGGAGAAGAAGCGGAGGTTCGCAGAAGAATCTCGAGTGCGGCGTGAACAGGAAGAGCGGGAAGAGGAGAGGAAACGGCGGAAACGACTGGGTCTCCCCGACCTTCCGGACCCCGCGGAATTAAAGGCTCTCGAGTACGGCGATGGAGCACCCGCGGAAGGCGAAGACATAGATGACGAAGACCTACGGAACCATCTACGAGATACAGGCGAGCCAGCCTCCCTCTTCGACGAGACACACAACGCACGACTGAAGCGCTACCGCACACTGACAACCAAATCACTCGCCCCGAAACTCAGCAACGGGCCCATCCCGACGACTCTCGAGCCCGTCCCCGAGAAAGACATGCTGATCCCAGCACCACCGCTCCCCACGAAAGACTCGCCGACAGAACACACGTTCCTCTACCGCCAATTAGCATCATACTTCACGCTCCTCCTGTCCGAATGGCAACACGCGCTCTCGCAACGCAGCGCCGAAGTCAAATCCTCCTCGACCGGCAAAGCCGCCCAGAACGCGTACCTGATGGTCCTGCAAGACCTGACGCCCTTATTCCGACATTTCGAGCGACAAACCCTGGTGTCGGACCTCCTGGAACCCATCTGCGCGATCGTCCGCTCCGCGCAACACAGACGCTACGTCGAGGCCAACGACGGATACTTGACGCTGTCGATCGGCAAGGCGGCGTGGCCGATCGGCGTGACCATGGTGGGCATCCACGAGCGGTCGGCACGGGAGAAGCTGCATGAGAGCAGTTCGGGCAAGCAGGCCCATATCATGACGGACGAGGTGACGAGGAAGTTCCTCCAGAGTATCAAGCGCTGTATCAGTTTTGCGCAGACGAGGTGGCCGCCGGATGATTTGGGGCAGTTGATGGGTTAGTGAGGCAATGTGGGGGAATTTGCGGTGATGATTGAAATGAGGCGATAGAGGATAAAGGCCACGGAGGAAGGGTTCAGACTTTTTACATTGTTCTTATTGAATGGACAGCACTCATTGCTGTAGAGAACCGATCAAATCTATTCGATATAAAACAAAACAGCCTCAAAAGTATATCAATACACCACACCCAAGACGAATGCCACCCTGCTTATGCTATATCTATTCACGATATATCCATCAATCCACGATCAAGGCGATTAAGCCTGATCAATCGATCCGTACCAATGCGGCCATCAACAGACTGAATCAATTCCCACCAATGAGATCAATCTCCCATACCCATGAGTGACGGCATAATCGAACCCTCAGAAACGTATATCCATGATCCATGTACTGCATATGCATCACCGCACCACCGTATCAAAGGACAAGAAACAAAACCAACACAATCCACCATTGCCGACAAAGGAAGGGTATCTTGATCGCTAAAATTGCGGGATAGGTTGCCGAGAAAATAAATCCCCCGAGTCAACGTTGTGAACCACTCTCGTTGGCCCATATATGTGCCTTGTTTCATTGGCCCTACTCGTAAATTAACGTTGGCGAGACCGTGAGAGGTGTTAAAGAAGTCGGCCCAAAGGCTGGTCAACGTTCTGCTTCTCGAGGGGGTGTCAAAGTTGCCATGCTGTGTAACAGCCTGCTTCGCTGTTGTGTCACCACCCAAGTCTAGCCCTTCTCCCACCGCCCTTTCTTCAGCTGCGGCGACTCGATGCCGAATCACCGCTGCCTCGTGACCATCATCATGGCGTTTGATGGTCGGTAATAGTTTGGCGGGTCAGCGTGGACCTAATCAAACCTTTCGAATCATCCCACATCGATAGTCATCTGAAGTTATCCGAGATTCGAGCCTTGATCCCGGCAATTGACGAGAAAGGAAATCCTCTTTTTCAGGGTGGGATTTGTTTGGGTCTGCCTGGTTGGATCAGGCAACTTCAACCGCCTGTAAGCGGCGGGCCAACAAGCAACGCCACAGGGTTGGATCCGTTTTTTGACTTGCAGCAAATCTTCTAGGCCGTCGACGGCTCCGAAACAGGGTTCCAGAGCGCCCGTGGGTGTCAAGCCGAATCAGGAAATTCAACCGGTCACTTCCGACGCACGTGACACTTCAAGTGGAGTACTCCGTTCAAAAGGTGCTCCAGTGCCAGTCTTTGGGAACGCTGTTGGCGACCTGCTCGACAGGCTTTCCTCCTCGGAAGCCGCCCGAAATCAACCTCCGATGACCAGGAGGACCGGCCAGAGGTGTTGGAGGACCACTCTCACCGCCATCATCTTTGCTGTTCTGGCTGTTCTTGCGACGGATAGATCTTGCGGTATCCCACTTCTGATATTGTCGATGACATGTTTCGCATGCCCTGGAATTTATGCCGTCAGGGTGGAATTTAGCATCTTGGTCCAGAGGGATAGTATATGTGGTATGGGTGGAGCAGAATATGTGCCCACAGTGACGACAATGATGTTTGCGAACAAATAGGTTGAACGAGGAGCGACATTGAGGAGAGTCGCAAGTCGGTGAAGCTTCGTCAGGCTGGAGTAGAATATATGTTAGCCACAACATGCATGAGCGTTGATATCTGTGGTACATATGCAGTCCGCCTCAGAACGGGAGCAGACTGCAACTGGTGGACATACCTTCCAATGGTCCTTCTTTGGTGGTCCAGTCACATCATTCAGTTCTTCAGCTTGTAACCAGTCTGGATTAAATCCAGCCAAATGATGCTCCTCTGGACTCTGTGAAACAGGTTCATCCTCTAGGTTGTCAAGCGACCCATGAAGGCTCTTGGGCGGTGTCATGGGGGATGTAGTTGAGAAATGTTCGGTGGGTCTTAGAGCTGCAGGGACATATAGAGGGGATTTCATAGGTCTTAATTGCTTGTATGGATTGGGAGCCACCTGTTGGAGATATTCATGCATTCTTGGGGAGGCGGGCGACGCTGAACTGGCTGGAGAAGGTTGTTGACTGGCGTAGAGTTGCTGTTCGGGAATGGTAAATGTCTGGGTTGCATAGTTGGTTGCCATACTGAGCTGATGACGATGGCCGTCGCAGGCAGTGTGAAGAGCGCGGGGTTTAGGTATATGTGTATATTGTACAACCGTAGCCAACGAGTCCACCGGAGGGTATATAATCTGCGCTTAGATACGGGTTGGGGCTTGAGGGAACGGATGCTGCACGAGCAAGGCGGGCGGTAATGTTGACGCCACCACAACCAGAAGTTCGGTAGCGAATGATGACAGAGTGGTACTCGGAAGGCTGATTCTAAATTAGAAAAAGGCAACCGAAAGGAATGGCTTGACAATTGAGTGCAGACGTGGAGGTGGTGGTGGGGTGTAGAGGGTGGTAAAGAAATTGGTGGTGGGATTTTGCGAGAATGGATAAGAAGAAAGAAGCAGTTGACAACCTGGGGAAGGTAGTGGGAGGTCTTTGTCTTGTCAGCCAAAGACCATGAAGCAACAAATGAGAGATAACAACTTTATCAAAAGCTGCGAGCCTGTTGGACAAGAAGAAAAGGTTCTGAGGAATCAAGAAGCAGGATTACTAGGAATACCTAGGAGTGACAAGAGGGAATTGGGCATGCGAGCAAGAGTCAGGCTCTCGTAACAGCAACAGCAAGCGGCGGGAGAGTGATGAGCGACATGTGCGCCAGTGTCCCAGAACCAGCCGGCATACTGATAAGGACTTGAAGGACCAATAGAAATGTCGAGGTATGAAGATTCGACAAACTCGATCGGGAAAAGACTCGCTAGCCTGCGTGTTGTTCCATGGGCCTGTTTTGCTGTTGAGCGACAGAAATAGTGGCGAGAAAGGAAGAATGGGGCCCCTCGGGTGCGTTGAAATGGCCCGAGGGGCCTTGATCGAGTCATGGTGGGCTGTCGAGAGTTCATCCTTGGCCTTAGCGCTGCTCGGTCCGGTTAAGGGTCCTACCCTGGACCTACCCTGGACCTACCCGGGCTTGTGCCTGTGCGTATTGGTCAATGGGGTGAACTGCAACCTCGAACCGAATGATTCCCGGCTTGACTCTAGGCGCTTTGGTTACTAAGACCTGGCGTGGTGGGTGTGGTTTCGGTGCCTTGTCGCATGACGACCATCACTGTTCCAAGCCTGTTGCAGACCACATTGATGTCCACGAGCCACTGTGTCGGTAAAACGTGTCCGTCATGGCTGACATTCTGGATGGCATGTCCTTGCATCCGTAGAGAAGGATGCAGTCACCCGCTGTTCTTCGGATGCAATGACCGTCGCTCTTCTGACTGGGTGATGAACAGCCCGGCATTTGGGCGGACCTGTCAAAGAGTGGAGGAGCAACGTTGATCCACGTGCTTTTCACCCTTCAGATGACGAACAATGCAGACTTACGGAGCACTCTCATCACTGACTTTGATTTGCTTCAGATTTGGTTCGCCTTCGGAGTTGATCGAATAGCATTAGCATTGACCCGGACAAGATCTGGGTCCCAAACGTAAGAGATCTAAAAAACCAACAACCCAGGGCTCCAGTTTTTCTGGATGATGTGCATTGCGTGCATGCCAAGGTGCAACATAATGTGGACGTCCCCCCCTGTTGCCAAAGTGTCAAATGACTGTAGGTGGCCCCTAATGCTGGTCGCCAAAGGCGGTCAGACTAAAGGGCTGTGAGGGTTGCCTTTTAGGTACATTTAGGTGCTGGGAGTGTCCTCTTGGGTGGTTTTGTAGGTTGCACGGCCTGCAAGAGAGCCCAAGTGTTCGATTTCTCGGGTCTATCCCAACCAAAAGGTTCTTCAATCCCCTGCCCTGGAACGCCTATTGGCCCTGGTTGGGTCTGTAACTGTCTGCTTCAGACTCTTGGGTTATTGTTTCCTTGACCCGCTCCTTCGGTTCTTCCCGCGTCTATCTACCTGGGAATTCCCCTTCAAACTTCTTTGCCATTTCAGATCCGAACTTCCTTCACTCCCACTTCGATATATTCCATTTTCAGCTCCCACGCCAGTTGGGAGTCGACTCTCTTCGACACTTCTGTCATCCAACTTCTTCACGATTTGGTCGTCCATCCGGGCAAATCAGTGATTTTCGCCACAATCTTTTCGGGCTCTTGACTTGATATCACAAACTGGCAACACTTTCAATTCCCAGAGTTTCCTTTATCTCAGCATGACGAAAAGGCATGCTGACTCTCAACCCACATTATCTCTTCGAGAGAATGAGCACCCATGGCACGCCAGAGGGTATCGACCTGAGTTGGCAAACTCAAAAAGGTCTCCGAATGAGGATCCCCGAGGCGAAATAGCATATCAAAGGGCATTCGCGGACGCTGCAAAGCAAAATCCGCCACGAGTGCCCAATCCCGATTTCTATCCCAATTCACCTTCAGCCAGGAATTATATCCTGAAAAGAGCTGAGGCTCTCTTCTCCGTGAGGAAGAATTCGAGTCTTCCAAATACCCCAGCATCATCATCTTCTCCACAAAGTCAATATGAAAGGCATGACTCTCCTCGACATGACAAGAGACATGTCTCTCACAAACCAAATCTCAATATCAAATTAGAGCCAACTGCTTATAATCACATGAACAATGCCTATCAACATTCTCCCACCACAGCCAGACCAATTGAGGAGCCTCGAGCATTTGGTCATGGTCCTCCAATGACCCTTGAGCCAAACCCAGAGAGGTACGCTCCAAAACCACCACAAAACCCGTTTGCCTCATCTAGGCGCACTTGATGACAAACCGGCAAATGGAGAAGAGCTGTAGGACGACCACAAACTCTTGTTGCTGATATCTTGGTCTTTCTCCCAATAATCATGCGGCTCAAATATCAACCTCCACAATACTGTGTTGCCCGCGGTTCAAGCTCAGTGGGACTCGGAGAATTCCACGCAACGTTATACGACCTCTACGAAATGCGACTTCTGATTTTGAATTTTTCATAGCGATAACCGACATATGGTTGATGATACATATCACGACATCTTTTCAACAACTACGATGGAAAGCTCCCTGCGTGACAGGACAGCATTTCCTTTTCTCTTGCCCCCTTCGATTGAGAGCAAAACATGGCTCTTCGCTACGTTCTTTGGCAACAGCGAGCAAAAATACCGAGATTTAGATGGCCTTCCTTTCAAAATGATACCAAGCATACTAATAAGGAAGACACGGTGTCGATTTCCGAGCGAGAATCACGCATGTGGTTATTTTTCTTCCACATGCTCAGCACTGCGGAATCTTAATCAATACAGGTAGGACAGGGTTGCTTTTAAGGGGTCTGTAGGCGTGAGAAAAGGCGTTTTTTGGGGAGTTAATGAGGTGCATGTAGAAGGATGAGGTGTTGCCATGTTGAGCTATTCGATCAACTACGGCAGCTGTAAGTGCTGCACAAGGAGATACATTCTATAATTTCAGTGGCCTTGTCATAGTGACAAAAACTTCACCAAAGCCCATGCACGCATGACATGATCGGCAGAATCGTAAGCACCCTGAAACCCATCGCCGGCACACATGACCGACTCCATTGGCATTCACCATTTAGCCGCTCCACGAAGGGACGACACCAGGCCGCTGCAGCAGCAGATTCACCATGGGCGTGAACACCTGACGATCATCATACCCTCCGAGCCTGCCATTGACCGCAAAATTTGTACCATCCGCATCCCTCTCCTTCTCCCTGTCGATCTGCCTCGTCGCCCATCCCTCCAAATCCTCCCAAGAAACCCACTCCCAGCCACCGCACTTCAGGGGCTCCATGACCTTGGGGTTCGGCATACTAAAAAGGGCCTCGCCCGTGCCGACGGCACCACTCCACGGCTTGACCTTCGCGACCATGAACACCGTCGCATAGTGCAGCGTGCCTCCGCTTCCGTCCTTCAGGTTCGGCATCAGGTCGTTGGTCGTCGTGAGGAACCTCGCGTCTTCGATGTCCAGGCCCGTCTCCTCGAGCGTCTCGCGGATCGCGCATTCTTCGAATGTTTCGCCGTGCTCCAGGTGCCCGCCCGGCAGCGCCCATGTGTTGCTGCCGTGCGAGCCGAGGCGGCGCCCCATGATGAATTTGAATTGTGGGGGGAGTGTGTTGGGCACCGGGTGGACGACGAAGACTGCGATGCCGATGCGTGGGGTCGTGGTCGCGGCGGCGGTCGTTGGTGTGTTCGACATGGTTGAGGAAGTGATTAGATCGGTGATTCTGGTGGTTTGTGGACTTTGAAATATCACGAAAAACTTAGGGCTATTCGTCGGTGTAGAGATGAGAGTGGTCGGTCTTCGCTATGCTGAACCTGAGATATATCGAAAGCTATCCGATATATGGGATATAACGTATGATGGTGTTGATGAGGAATGACAGTGGATTCGCCAGTTGCTCTGTCAATCAAGATGTAGTCTTTCCGTTTTTTCCCATGGAAGACAAGTATAGGACCAATATTTCAGTCGTATGTGTTCGATCAACTCACTCTCCAATAATAAAGTGACGTTCGTGTCGGCAGAATATAAGATGAGGAAACAGCGAACAACCAGGCTCGACACTCCTCGCTTTTTAAACCTGAATTCAGTTGAGGCAGTGAGCCGTGACGCAGAAAAAGTCTGTCACCACCGGTTCTGACACTGGGAGGTCTTGTGAATCCTAGCTCCCAAGGTGAAGCCTTCTGCCAGACTTCTGCTCCACTGACACAAGACGCCGTGGTGTGAGTCGCTTCAGGATATTGAAGATTTGGTGTCAGGGTCCTGGTGTAGTGACAGCCATGCAGTGCTTGCTTGCCCGATCTCCCAGCCTGAGATGTGCTTTCAGGGTACGATCTGAACAAAACCAAAAAGTTAGTGGTACCTAGCACTCAGCTCTAGGCAGATGTTCGCTAGTGAAGTGAACCCTTCACGCCTTTGTGACGAATTCCGCTGCCTCAGGGAAAAGTGGGATCGCACAGTGTACAGAGAGATCCTCAACAGTTTTGTCACTTGGTGGGTGAAAATGTCTAGAGCTCCACGGACGAACACGCAAACGAAATCCAAACGGCCAGATATTTCGTCGGTAGGAGGTGTTTGATGGAGACTCTGATGCTTATGAGTCATTCAGCACATCCTTTGCCTCCCCTTGTGCGATGCGAAGGGATTGTTTGCGTGGTGCAAAGTCTGGTACAGGTCTCCAGCACCGTGAACAAGAGAAATCGTGGAGTCTGCCTTGTTCAGGCTGGAGCTACAGTCGTGAAAATCATCCGTGAAACATCAGAATCATACCATGACCGGCTTGGCTCTACCCCAAGAAGTGATGTCGTCGGGAAATGCCGAGGCAGGTCTGATCCTCTTAATTCAAGACGGTTTCCCAGCTACGCAGACAGGCTTCTGGAAAGATCTTGGTGACGAGGTTATCCGGACTGAGGGACGAGGGACGCTAAAATTGCAGTGCATTCCAGCGGCGGCCACAGTCAGACTTGGGAGACCGCGATTGGCCAAGGCGAACAGGCAGGCAGATTCTCAAGCCACTTAACGCACTAAGCGAAATCCAGCTCAGCCTCGCGAGGGGAGGGGAAGGGAGGGGCATTGCTAAATATCTCAGCCTTTTGCTCTCCTCACTCCCCACTACTGAAATATGTTCCTACTAATGAGCCAATTGAACTCATCAATATCATTAGAGATTTGGTCACCTACGAGTAAGAGGCTTATATTCCCATACATGAGATACCAGGAGCATTCACAATTTGGAAGATTGGTCTATCTTAGCTTGCCCAACACGATACATCTCCAACATAAAGTTCAAAAGTCCCCCATGGCATAGCACGTCTAGGATCAATTCCTTCTTCTCTTTCAAAACTGGTTTGATCATGAGTACCTACCTACTTGGCACTGTAGTAAGGAAAATCGCTATCAATTGCTGATTACTATCTACATTATATATGGCTATGGCTATGGCTATGGATATGGCTATGGCCACTTCTCCTAGCACGACATGACAGCCACCTAAGCGATATCTTCGTTGTCCTGTAACCAGATCACACCACAGGCGCCACTACCCCTTCAACTCAAAACATCACCTTCACAAATCCTCCACATCCTCATGACTGATGAAATACAGTCCCGTCTCCGTCGAATTCGTGATGTTCGTCTGCACCGTCTTACCGAGCTTGATGAACCCATTCTCCACAGCGCCACCTGGGACGGTACTGCCGTTAAAGCGATGCAGATGATTCTCGCCCGCATAGACAGTGAAGTTCGCAAGACTGATCTCATTGGGATTGCGGTTGATCAGGGTCGGCAGCCCGAAAAACTTGGCGTCGACTTTCTCGTGCGAGAGGTGTAGTTCAAAGTAGCCGCGGTAGTAGAATTCCTGCCACTGGAGCTCGGGGTTGCTCTGGACAAGAGCCTGACTGCTGAGCACGCTGCGGGCGATGCTGATGTTCTGTCCTGCTGGTGAAGGAGAGGAGACGGCTGAACCGCCGAATTCGACGCCGATGGCGCCCTCGCCGGTGCTGGCGTTGTAGGGGTGTTCACCTAGCCAGATCAGGTCGCTAACCCAATTGGCGTGGCTGTCGCCAGAGATCATGATGTTGTTGGTGATGTTGTTATCGTACAAGGTCTTGTAGGTTCGGTTGCGGTTGGCGAGATATCCATCCCACTGGTCATAGTTGAAGGGGTCGACGTTCCCATATGCGACGGAAGCATTGATTCTACTGAAGACGGTCTGGGAGCCGATGACTCGCCATGTTGCTCCTCGTTCTTTGGAGTCTATCAAAGTCTTGTAGAACCAGTTCTCTTGGCGTGAGCCCATCATCGATCGACCTGCGTCGTTGGAGATCTCGTGGATGTAATGCGTGTTCCAGTACAGGTCGGTGATCGATCGATCGTATTGACGAGTGTCAAGCATGACCAGGTCAAGAAGATTGCCGATGGCGAAAGAGCGCCAAATGCGTAGCTTGTGTCTGAATTTAGTCAAAAGCAACTGAGAGTAAGGAAGGCGGAACTTACATCATCGCTAATATCAACCTGTCGAATTGGCTGCCACTCCCAATAAGCTCGGACAGCATTCATCTTTCGTTGATCAACTGAGACACCACCATCTGCGACAAAGGAGGCCTCGGTGTTATTGAGTTCAGCTGACCCATCACGATAAGTATTATCAGCAACCTCATGGTCGTCCCAGACCGGGATCCAAGGGAAATTCTGATGACTCAATACCAGATCATGATCAGTTCGGTAGGTGGCATGTCGCTTTCGATAGTCATAGAGGGTGTAGATTTGTCGATCGGGTAATGGGATACGCCCGATGGAATTACCCCAACCATACTCGCCATTTCCATATTCGTAGATGTAGTCTCCAAGATGAAGAACATAGTCAACTGAATCCTTCCTGACCGGATTACCATACGCATTGAAGAATCCGAATGGATAGTTGCTGCAAGAGTAGACAGCCAATCCTACTGCACTGGTATCATCGGTGGGTGAGGGTGTCGTCTTGGTGCGGCCGACCAAGCTTGACACATTCGAGTTGCACACGTTGAACTGATAGTAGTATTGTGTGAAAGGCTGTAGCTTCGTCGCTTCGACCTTGACCGTATAGTCGACGTCGGAGCTTGTATGTACAGTCCCCGAGTCCACGACAGCGGAGAGTCCTTTGTCTGATGCGATCTTCCAGTTCAAACAGACTGGAGCATTGGACACAGGTTTATGTTCGTCGGTGTCATTGCTCGAGAAGATAGGCACTGGGTTGTAGAGGCTGACGAGGCCGGAGGTCGTGCTATTGTCGTCGACGTTATCCAAATCTGGTGCACATCTTGTCCACAGAATTACACTGTTAGGGTACGGGTCGCCCGAAGCAACACCATGGGTGAAGTTGAGCTGGCCTTCAGCGAACGCTGATCGAGGCTCGTGTCGCTTAACGACCTTGCGGACAGAGATTCCGAGACCTGGATGGTTGTGTGATGGGGAGCGATAGTTGAGGTTGGCACCGTAGGAAGCGAGCGAAGTCACGATCAAGGACAAGAAGGCGAGTAACTGCAACATCTTTGCCTGGAGTCACTACGACTTCAAACGATCAAGACGCAGAGAAATTTCAACTCACCAGGATCTTTTTTTTTCTTTCGAGGGGATTGGCACAACCCTCCAGAGCTTTATAGCTCTACAGCTTTTCATTGGAAAATTCGTCAGGCCATCACAAACAAGCAGTTCTCACCCGAGACAAGCATGCGATAAGTCGTGAGGTGAGGGGTTCACGTTGTGAGATCACAAAATTCCGGGATGTGATCTGCATGGTCAGGTCCTGAGAGTAGGAGTGCTCCAATCATGCTCAATGCATACAGCATGCACTGACTTTGAAGAGTAGCTAAATGGACAATCGAGCTTCCTGATCGATGTTAGCCAGGTCCGGAGGGCAAGAAGCTTGCATAAAGGTTGTGTAGAGCTGCGAGTATTAGGTTTCTCCAAATATTCGCAAAGTGGAGGAGGACAACCTAGGTATGCAAGTGGTAGCAAGCCAAAGCTTCTCAAAGCCACAAGCTCTGGGCACGTGGGACGGTACAGGATTGTCCAATATGGAAATTGTGAGCCGACGATGTCATCGATCCCGGACCGAGGCTTTGCAATTGGACAGTAGTTGAACTAAGATATGGAGATGTTCTTTACTAGTAGTGGTTCCAGGGAAAGTTGTACCACCGAGGTTCTGTCAAACCAATACATGCAGTGGACCATTATCGGCTCATGAGTGGGAAGAAGCAGACAGGCTGAATCCTTTCGGTCGTACGTGCCTCCGTCATTTAGTTTGACAAAGCACGCCATTCATGTAGTACAACATCGAGTTTTATGCAGACGCTCGGATGACAACAGTCCAGGGCGGAAAGAGTAATCTCTCGGAAGAATAGTCTTCTCATGCCTTGATAGCGTTGATTTCAAACCCCCCTTGAAATGCCAGCCTTGCCACCAGGCAGGTGCAAACAATCCTCAAGGGGTCTAAGCTGTCAAAGACCTAATGTCTACTCTGGCACAATAGCACCTAAACTCCTCCACATATCACACCGATAACCCCTTCCGGCCTCCCAGGTATAAGCATCAACCAAGGAGATATTGTTCCTCAAGTTCGGTCCACCATATTGAGTCAGATTGACCTTGATGTAAGATAAGTTGAATGGATATGGATCGCCACCGGTCAGGTTCAGATTCAGCTGATATGGCGCATTGATCCTATACGGCGGCCAATCAGATGCCGGGTTTGTTTGCGTATTATTCGTAGAGATGCCATTCGCAACAAGATCTGGTATCGAGGGTTTGTCTGTCAAAATGAAATTGCCCCAGATTTGCATCATGGCGTTGACAAAATCAGGACTCTGGTTGGGTGACGGAGGGCCAAAGAATGATGGCACGTCAGTACCATGAAGTGCTATTGGGACAGAATACTGGTGACGATAGGAGGTTCTTCCAGAATCCGAATATGCCTCGGCGAGCCAGTATGATGGACAGACAAATGTTGTCTCTGAGTAAATGGCCTGTTCAGGGTTTCAGTGAGCAACGATGGATCAGGAAAGAGAACTCCCAAGAAGTGGATAGACTCACAAATGCTCTTTGCTGCTGGCCTGTCGCAACACTGCTCTGGGTAATGAAGCTAGGCTCGCTTGTACCCGATGAAGCATACAGAGAAGCATTCGGATTAACAGAATCATTGGAGCCGGGATAGTATAGCAGTACTTTGGCGATGTCATCATTCGAAAACGATGGAAATGTCAACCGCAACCAACCTACCAGATCATTTTCCGTGGTGATGTTGGGCTGGGTGTAAGCCGGTCCTTCCAGAGCAGCATTGCTGGCCAACAAATTCAGCCCATTGATCTCGCGCCGCAAGAGTTGACGGCTGGGAAGATCCTGAACGAATGAACCGTCGGTCACTGGTAGGAAGCACCAAGTCCCATATTTTCCCGTTTCGCTCAAGGTTGCGCTTGCATTTTGGAGTATGTCGGTATCCTTGGAGACCAGGCAATCAAAAATTGTTCCCGGGTGGGCGCCATATGCTAGACTTGGAGCACATCCAACCATGGTTGCAAAGGCGTAGTACGCTTGGGACGGCTGCCAGTCTTTGTAGCCATACTGCATGGGCAAATATGGTGAGGCTGCGATGGACTACCCTTTCAGTCAGCTAATCTACGCAGGGTTTCAACTTGGTCTTCTTTCCCACTTACATTCCTAAATAGTGATTGACCAAGGGTGCCACCGTACGCCATACCCTGCAGCATGACAGCTCCAGCTCCGGCAGATTGACCAGAGATGGTTACCTTGGACGCATCACCTCCGAAGAGATGCACGTAGTTCTGTACCCATTGGAGTCCGAAATGTTGGTCAAGCAAGCCAGCATTGACACTTCCCTTGCGGTAAACTTCGTCGCTGGCCAGGAATCCAAAGGCCCCAAGCTGCTGAATATCAATATCACAAGCCATCAAGCATCATGAACATGGTCCTTACACGGTATTGAATACTGACACCAACAAAAGAGTCATTGTTGGCATTTATTAACGCAGAAAGATCTTGTCGACCGTTTCCACGCCCATAGCCTCCCCCGTGGATCCAGACCAAGACTGGTAAATCGGAAGCATTTGCTGGAGCATAGACGTTCAGGAAGAGACAATCTTCACTCGAACCAGTACTGTTCAGCGGGACAAAAGTCAAGCCGGTGTTCTGGTTCTGAGGACAGATTGGTCCATGCTGATTTGCTGAGATTACTGTTCCACGCTCCGTCTCAGGTACTTGAGGAGCTTGCCATCTGTTTCTGCCAGTGGGGGAAGCTGCAAAGCGGATTCTGACTCAACACATTAGCCACTTTTATCGAGGGCAACCGAGCTAGAGGGATAATCCCTACCCTCTCCAGACATTCAAACCCGTAGTGGCATTGTTATATCCCTCGTAGATCGAATAACCCAAGTCCACTTGAAGACTCGTATCACCAGCAGTCACCTGACTGGCATCAAATGCAGAGAAAGGGAGCGCGTTGTAAGAAGGGCGTGCAAAGCCTCCTACTAGCAGCAAGCCCACTATACTGGCGATGGATGCCAACATCTGGCAGGCGCAAAGTAGCGGGGTAGAAAGTTGAAGAGCCTGAGATACGGAAGGAATGAAGCAGGTAGTTGGAGAGGAACCTGTTTGACAGCTTGAGCGTGTAACAAACAACCTACCTACCTATTTTAATGGTCGAGATGGAAATCGGTTGTACTCACCGTTCATTCTTTCCCATTTGAAGCTCGAGCTACCATGCGGGCGTCGGCCGATGGACCGCTCGATGGTAAATCACCCGCAATGTAATGGGTTGGTGACGCGATGAACTGAGTAACTAGTGTGAGTTCTACCTCGCAGATGGGTTTCGATATTAGCCGTTCAAGAAAGGTGGTACAGGGGATAGTGGGAGATCCAGCGTGATTGGACCTCCGATGCACCTGTGTCGGCTTCTCCTCAAGGACATAGGCAATGTCGAGCTGCCGAGAGAACTGTGGATGAATGACAAGTAGTTTAAGATCTCTGGATGTGACCCATCCTCTGCAAGGATGTTGAGTCCGAGAATGGTGGGGATGCAGGGATCGTGGAGAGAAGTGTACACTTTGGGAATTGGGAGGGAGCATTCAGGTAAATATTAGGCTAGATTTAGAAGCCGGCCAAGAGGATTGGAGAGGAACAAGGGTTGCTAGTTCGAGGTTCATTAAGTCATTCAGCCATTGCATTAACTTAAGACATCGATAATGTAGGTATCTAACCGAGCGGCCATCAACTTTGTTATTCTCAAAAAGGCCTGTTCAATTCGTTTGTGCAGTCTATAACGCCAGAAAGCGTCCATGGCTGTACTCATCCATTTGCACGAGCATCCAATTCACCAAAATATAGCCCTCTAAACTACAGATAAGAGTGCTGGCCCATTTCTGTTCGACCCCAAGTTGCCCTCAAAGAAACTGGTCTCGTGACGCCGAAAGAACAGAGGTCCAATGCCGCATAAGTCGTGTCAACTTGTGACGTGAGCGGTAAAAGCGGCAGTCGTAGTGTTGTTACACCAAAAGCCATTGGTCAACTAAGAGTCAACCTGGTCGATGACCTAGTTACTCTTCTTGTTTCCATCTCCAGGGTTCGTCTGGTTGTACTTTGTGCTCAAACTATCGTACTCCTTCTGCAGACCTTGGGCCTGCTTCTTCATAGCTTGGAGATCACGATCCTTCTGATCAAGTTGCTTCTTGAGTTCTCCAATCTGATCTGCGCGGTATCTGTGGCCGAGCTTCTCTCCTTCCTTGCCACCGGCATCCTTATCACCTTCGTACATCTTGACCTTCTCCTCCAAACGGAGGACATCGAGGATCATGCCGTAAGTGCGGTTAAGGATCAGAGACAGGAAGAGGGTAAATCCAGTGAGGTACATGTTGCGTTGAGAATAGAACTTGCGAGCTTGGACTTCCATACGTTCGGACCCAACGGCGGCAGCTCGTCTGTGTCGTGTTAGTGGGGGATCAGATGTATTTGGAGTTGTTCAGATTTCTTACCCAACACCGGAGGAATCCTTTGCAAGAAGAGCCATTTCAACCTGAACACGATAGACTCTGTTGACGCTGTCGACGAAAAGAATAAGGATGAATATGAAGGTGATCTTTGAATGTCAGTGGAGTGTCCTTGCCGACTTGTGTAGAGTATTCCTACCTTCATTCCATACTGTAGTTTGGCCACCAATGGACTTTCGGAGATGAAGTTGAATAGCTTTCGTTTGGCTGCATATGGCAGTGGGATGATCAGAGCCACGAATAATGCCATCTCGGCCACGAGAAGCACAAACACCTGTAGATGTGTCAGTGGTCAGATCTCAATATCACATGCCAATGACCAGGCAACTAGCTTGGAATCGGACTAACCAGGCTGTAGTAGAGAGTCATTTTGGCGGTCAAGGCGAGAACCCAGGAATGTTACGGGGTGCTTGACAGCAGCTGTGAGGAAGAAGAGGATTGGTGACTTTTGGAAAAGTCGAGTATTTGTAGGATACAGGAGAGGACGGTTCCACAACAGAAGAGAATTCAAGAGAACAGATTTTAAGATGGTGGAGGGAACAGAGGACAGGATGTGAGTGTGAGTGCGGTTCCATTTGCATTGCGTCACACGCGTCAACTTGAAAGTGGCTTCCCCCCCAAAGTGCAAGTTGGCCAAGCTGGCAGCCTCAGGTGCAGTGGGTGGCATGCGCCGCTTTCCCACTTTCAACCCCACTAACCCCCTTTCATTCTGTGACATAACTCGATTAAGCAAGCAAAAGAACAGCTACGACGTGTCCTCACTCGGATGACTGCACCTTCAATTATCAAGGTATCGTCTGTTGACTTTAATATTGTCATTTGTCGCATTCAAGCTTCAGCTAGCATTATCTCATGTCTGCCATGCCATTGTGGAAACACATCTTCAGGTCGGAATAAATGTTCTCCTGCAAGCGTCCGATACTCCATCATATCCCATATACTCGAAACTTTTAACCCCCTGCCATCGAAGAGCGTGTGTGGGACACTGCACAATTGACCAGGCCATCGTCCATAGAAACCATGCCGTCCTAGTATGCACTTGGGCAGAAACGCCGCGTGGATTCTCCAAAAGCCCTAACCTGTTCTACCTCCCTGAGACTATTGTCGATTGTATCATTTGATTCACCATTCGAATTCACCTTGACCTTTGTGGAATACATATCTAGTCAAGTGGGTTAGCATCATGATTACCAAGCCAAATGGTGTCAAACTCACTCATTGCCCTCGACTCGGAGAACTCCATCCTTGAGTGTGCACTTCCACTTGTTCTTGACGCGTTGAACCTTGTCATATGTGCAAAGCATTACTTGGTCGGTATTCTCTCCATCTTCCTCATTTGCTGCTAGATCGTCGGGGTCGTCAAGGTCGGAGTTGATTGCGTCCTCATCGTCCACATCATCGTCGTCATCACCAGCGGCGTCACCTTGAGCTCGCGCAATGCTGGAAGGCTGTCCGGTGGGTGACGCTGTCGTTCCACTGACTTGTAACTCGTTGGCTCGGTGTAATGCCTTTTTGTGGAGAGTGGTCCGCTCGTCAAGACTCAACAATAGTCCTCCACCTTCCATTTCTTGTTGCTTGGCCATGAACTGTGTCTTCATCAATCGGTCGGCCTCGGCACCGCGATTGTTAAATAATGCTTTGCGTCTTAGGTATTCTGCCGTCCACTCATCATGTGCTTCGCCGGCTCCATCAGTTTGACTCGCTTGAATTGGAGCAGCCGATTGTTGTGGTACGCCATTATGATAGTCCTGGACTCCTGACAACGGCGCTGAACCTTCTTCCTGCTTAATGAAGTTACTGGTCGGGCTACCCGCTGGTTGGATTGGAACTCGAGGCTGATTGGATTGTAATTGAGCGATCTGAGCACCAGCACGATGGCCAAAATTGTCATGTAGGCTTTGTGCTGCTCGCTCCCGTGCTGTCAATGGCTGTCCTTGAGGAAATGATGGTACTTGGTAATTTTGTGGAGGGGGAAGTTGGGTTGGAAAAGCCGAACTGCTCTCGCCCTTAAGAGGAGCAGCCGACGGCGCTTGCTGGGGTGGTGGACTGTTGACGGTATTACCATTGCTAGGGAGAGTTTGAGGGATAGCTTTAGCATTGCTCGGAAGGGTCTGCTCCTTGACCGGCATTGGCGGAGGATCCCATGGTAATTGAGCAACCTTGAGGCTGGACAGCTTCTTCTGCCATTCCTATATGGTGATTCCAGTTAGCATTCGTCTTTGAGAACTGAATATTGTGTCACGTGCGATAAGATGGGAACGATTCCGCATATGGATTAGTGTGGAGACATTTTGTAACACGGAAAGTGGGCGGATGGTGGGCGGTGCGAGATTTGGCGTGGAAGCTAGGCGCCCCTAGAGTCTAGGCGGCCGATTTTGCGTATAAGAGGGCATGACTCAAGGGGCACCCTTCCCGCATCCCTCAAGAACCTTCGGATCCCCGCCTCGCCCCCGACTCTCGCCCTGCCTGTCCACGGCTTCTCGCCCAGCACCTGCGAAGGCGATTTCAAAGCACCACCACACAGGTTGATTGCCCACAGTTGTTGAGCTACTTGCCTTGAAACGTGATATGAAATGAAGATGGATTCTTCCCGATGGTTTGAATGATCGATGAATCAGGAACAAGAAAGAAATGATGTTCAACATACCGATCTCAACAAGTCTAGGGTTGCCAGTTCGACACCACCTTCTTCGAAGTCCTGTCTCGAGTGATCGCAGACATCATTGATCACTTTGGCATAGACCTCGCCCTGGTTTACGCAGCTGGTTAGCCATCATCATGTTCAACTCGGATGTGAGGCAGTAGTCATGGAATTGGTGATGCGCGTGATGAGACACCAGAAAGAAAGAGCAGGCATACCACCGTCGCTTTGGACATCGTGAGAGCCCAGCAGGTTTGTGTCTCTGTAGTTGCTCTTGAAACTCTGCCTTTGGATTTGATTATGACTGAAGGAGTATTTCTACAACTCGTGGGGCGCCCGGGCAGCCTAAGTGAGTGTCGGGTGGAAGTGAAGGATGACTTGAAAGCGCCTGGGAGGCAGTAATTTTACGCTCGAATAGTAGTGTCTCCCGAGAATTGTCCCTTGGAAAATGAAGGTTCAGTATCAGGTTCCTGATCACAATATAAACAATCAGTGGTAGATATTAAAAGAAGGTCACCGTCTTCAATCAAGCGACACCTAGTTAGGCGTAAGGGTAGGTTGTAAATGGAAAGTTCCAAAGAACGAGGAAGAAGATGACCCCAAATGGCACTAAACGTTGCCATTAGCGCCTTGGCCCAAGGCTATTCCCATTTGGCACGCCTACAGCATTCCTGTTTCAGGGCTATCAAGTACATCATTCTACCCATATCTGCCAATAGTTCAGCGTGAAACATTTCCTGACCATGAATTCCATCTCTTTCCTGTCCACTGTGTAGAGCAGGACAACAATACCCGATTGACCTGGCTCATATCCCACTAGACCATTCAATGTAAGTCACCTGGAGAGCCAATCACTACCAGGGATCAAGACGATGGCTTTCAAGCCTGCTCTCATTGTTGTGGACATGCAGAACGACTTCTGCCCCCCTGTAAGCATAATGAAGTCCATCTGAGCCACATCGTTGTATCTCTCACTGATCATGAAAAGAACGGCTCACTGGCAGTGTCAGGCGGCCGTGACATTGCCCCACTTATCAACAAGCTACTTCATTCCCAACAGTTCGTCCTGAAGGTGGCTACTCAGGATTTCCATCCCAAAGATCACATCTCATTCGCAAGCAATCATCCTGAACCCAACAACAAGCCATTCGAATGCTTCGTTGACGTCCAGAATGTCATCGGTAACAAGCCCAATGAGACCATGAAGCAACGTCTCTGGCCAGTCCATTGCGTGCAAGACACTCTTGGAGCTGCATTAATTGACGAGCTCGATTCAGACCAGTTTGACATCACGGTGAGAAAAGGTATGAATTCTGATGTCGAGATGTATTCGGCCTTTTCCGATTCATTCGGAAACCTCACTGCTGGAGCAGGGGGGGTGAATCTTGACCTTGCTGATGAGTTGAGGGGACGGGACATTTCGCATGTCTATGTTGTTGGATTGGCTGGTGATTATTGTGTGAAGGATACAGCGTTGAGCTCTGCGAAAGCTGGATTCACCACTTATGTGATAGAAGAAGGTCAGAGATGTGTGGATTCGGGCTCGTGGGAGGAAATTAAGACTGCTCTCACACAAGGATCGGTGTCTGTCATTGGATCCGAAAGTGATGAATCCAGACGCATTCTCACCGCCTGAGAGCAAGAGATGCGAGATTCATAGAGACGGCGTCGTTCTGGCAGTGCACTCGGATTCTCACTAACATCCACTATCAAGTCACACAGCCATTTTAGAAGCAACAGTGTGTTTTGTCCACAGTGGCCTCCACAGATCTTCCAGGACTGACAAGGAAACGAAGCCTTGGGTGAATCAAAGGACAATTTGACCTTCATTCTCACAACCTTCCAACCTTCACACTCACCTGCTGGTAACACCGCCCTCTAGCCCATCTCATCTTCACTTTGTGGACTTTTGTCGACTTGTCATCAAAGGGACTCATAGACCTTTTTATTATCTTCTTTCTTGATATCCTCCCCCCACTGCATCAATCCTCTACACTTTCCTCCGAGTCAGTCGACTCAAATATTTCTCCTTCTATCTTCATCAAAATCCTATCTGTGCCTGAGTCTGCTAAATCCGCACGTCCACAACGTATTCGCAATCGAGATCAACACAAAGTGAGTGTGGACAGAGGCCTTCAAGTCCCCCACACTTTTTCCCTTGCTGATTTCCTCTTCCAGACACCAAAACTTGACCCTTTCTAAGCACGCTTGCGAAATGAAGGGCTACACTCCACCGGCAAAGTCGAAGAAGCAGCAGCGCGACTCGATGTCCGGCTCAGCCCAATCTAACTGCAAGCATAGCGACGGCAAGGATCATGCCAGAGACTACCAAAACAAACCCATGGCCATCAAAGATTTTGAACGCCGCACGTCGCATGCTTCCTCACCGTCTCCAATGCCCTTCTCTACCAACCGCCGCTTGACTTTCTCACCGGGAAACAGGAAAGATGCTTGGAAGTCTCTCAGCGAAGTAAGCTTTTCCTCAGCCAGCACTCAACCAGTCCGAAAGTTCCCGGGGGGCCAACCAGCACCAATGTCACCACCTTCTCCGTGTACCATCTCTTCAACTGCTCCCGCCGCCGGTGGTCGTCCCATCTTCTCCAATGCAACGAAAATCTCGGTCCCAATCCCAGATCCGACCCAGCATGGATTGCGCGGCAGATGGCCAAAGCCCATAAGCAAGCCGCAGAAAAGCCCTCATTCTCTGCGCCTGCCGAGCCATTTGAAGACTCTTCCGAGCTTGATGACAGTTCTTCCGACCATGAGAAGAAGGAGCAGGCCAAGGTGGTGAGCAAGAAGTCAAAGAAGGACAAGAAGAAGAATAAGAAAGAACGCAAGGAGAAGAAGGATAAGAAGGCCAAGAAGGAAAAGAAGGAGAAAACCGAGAAACAGGAGAAGAATGAAAAGAAAGAGAAAAAGGAGAGGAAGGAAAAGAAGGACAAGTCCGATGCACAGGAAAAGGACAACAGCAAGGATCCATCCCCTGTCAAGTCGGAAGTCAAGAGCATCGCTTATGAGGTGCCAGTAGAAAGCCCTGAAGCAGCTGAGCGGCGCGAGCAGAAAAACAAAGCACGACGAAAGAGAGAAGCGGAGAAGAAAGCCCTTGCAGAAGCCACAGGAAAGAAATTGGAAGGTGTTCAGGGAGCTACCAAAGTTCTTGGTAAGTGTTGTGGAATTGGACTTTGACGGGTCAGCCTGTGCTAACTAAACAGCAGCAGCCGGCCTCAAGCGAAAATTCGATGATCCCCATTCCAACGTCACATTCAACAGCCGCCTTGACGCCGAAACACAAGCTATCAAGCGCCTCCGCGAATCACTCCCCAGTACCAGACTCTCACTCGTCTCACAAAAGTTGGAGCAGGAATGCGGTACCGAGCCAACTGCGATGGCTGTTCTGGTTGAAGCGGCACGTGAGACCATTCTCGATCTTGCCAGGGGTCAGATGAACACTATGGCGGGTGGCGCGACTGCTCAAGAAGGCTTAAGTGGAGCGGTGTTGCGAATGTTGAACGAGCAAAAGGGCCGGCTTGATAAGTTGGAATCAGCGGTCGAGAAGCCGAAGGTTGTTGAGATCCAGGTTGTGAAAGACACCAACACCGAGGTTGCTGGGGAGGTGAAAGATGGTGATGTCGAAAGTGTGCATGAAGTGCCATCGGAAGAGGATACTACCGAAGAGAGTAGCTCCGGCGACTCTGATAGCGACGATAAGGATGCGGACAATGGTACTGATGAGGATGACAGTGAGAGCGAGACTGGGAGCGACTAGAGCCACCACTCAGTCAGACCGTCATGTTGCTTACCGAATTGGCACCCAGAAACTGGTTGGAGATGATACCCATGAGCATTGGTGAATGCCGAGAAGGGTTTGTTGGATTATGGACTCAGAGACTACTACTTGGGAGAGTGCTTATGGCACTTCCTCGACATGATGGTGGCACTTCGATCCATGTTGAGCGTCTGATCGAAAAAACACTCACACAGGAGCTTTCACCCACCGATTTAGTCTATGGGGTGTGTGAATGAGCAGCACAAGATGTGGCCAAAGATAGGAACCAGACAGCAGGACTAAAAGTCCAGGTCAAGTGGAAGGAAGCCGTTCGAATAAGATGAACTCCTTCTGCAACTTCCTTCAGCAAGCATAAGTGATTAGTTAGGCAGGCACCATCCTCAATACCTCTCTGACACTGAGGGCTGGCGACGAGTGAGCTTCGGATGAAACCACTCAATTGCCGACAACCGTTGATCGTCAAGCTCAAGCCAAAGACAAGAAGTTTTGGGGAAGGCGGAGAGTCGCCGGGCTACCTTAAGCTACCTAAGGCATGAAGCTTAGGTAGTCCTCAGCTTTCTTGCATGACTGTGGCACCGTTCATAGTTCCACTCCGAGACGTACTTCACAAACCCTATATTTTGACATGATTTCTGGGGTGCTCCAGATGTTAGGTATAATAAATACGTAGGTGGCTTCCCCGCATCACAGCCTGGTCACTCCCTGTCGCTCCATCCACAAGAATGACTTCAAAGGTTCGCATCGTCATTGTCCATGACGGCCGATAGGCTGTAACAGGACAGCCACCACACCGCGAGCCAAAGTCTATATGGTATTCATCTTCTCCTCATTGATCGTCAGTTCCGTGCCCCTGGCAGATTGATTTGACTCTCGTGATGCTGATGATGCTGGTAGGCTCACCATGTCCATTGATCGACAGCCAGGCCGCAACGTGTCGAGTCCACGCCGGCTGTAAGATGCAGAATGAATCTCCAATTCCAACGAGTTTGTGATGCTACACAAGGAAATCGCTCCTGCCCCTCGAATCCTACACTGCTAATGCTCGCTTCAGACGGTATCCCGGCATTTGGCTGAACAGGGGGTTGACATAGACCTATTCTACCAGTCGAACGGGATGCCGTGAATAGTGACATCAGTGTCTGTATCTCCCATTCTATCGTCTTTAATATGGCTGAGATCCTCTACGGAGACTTATCTTGTTACAGACTCCATTATTTCTGTGAAAGCTTGTCCTTATTTCCCTCCTAGAGTTTGATATTCCGGTCGACACTACGATCTGACAACATGAGAAACTGGTATCGACATGGGCGGCCACTCCGCATGGCCATCTCGACTTGCTGTCTAGCAGCATTTCTTTTCTTCGGCTTTGATCAGGGTGTCTTTTCCGGCATTCTCCAAAATGAAGACTGGCTGAACCGATTTAATCACCCAGTACGAATTCTTTTTCAAACGGGTTGCTCGTTTGAATCCAGTCACTGATACTTATATTGCCACAGAATGATACTGAGACCGGTATACTGGTTAGCTGCTATTGTCTTGGAGCATTGGGAGGCTGCATTGTCAACTTCTTCATTGGAGATTGGCTTGGACGTCGTCGGATGATGTGGGTTGCTATGGTATGCTGTCAACTCCCTCAGAGCTGGCTTGGAGACTAGTATTAACAAAGGTTATCTCATGTAGGGCCTGGTCCTTGTGGGCGCGAGTCTGCAGACATCCGCATACACAGTGCCTCATCTCATCATTGGGCGGGTCATCACTGGCTTTGGAACGGGCATCGATAGCTCCACAGTGCCAATGTATCAATCAGAGCTCTGTAGGAAAGAGTATCGCGGTCGTCTTGTTTCGACGGAAGTTCTGTTCATCGGTATTGGGATTTCATTTGCATACTGGTAGGTTGTGTCACCATGCAACGAGTACAAATTGGCTGACACTGGTAGGCTTGATTTCGGCATGTCCTACGCAGGTGGAGCCATCGCATGGAGGTTACCCATCGCGGTTCAGTTGATTTTCGCCATCACTGTTATCATTCTCCTATTTGGTCTTCCCGAATCACCAAGGTATGTACCCACGGAATTTGATTTTCTCCGACTGATCAATATCCTAGATGGCTGTTCAAGAGAGGCCGTGAGGAGGAAGGGATCGAAGTTCTTTGTGCCGTTTTCGATCTTCCCCGAGATGATCCTTACATAGTCTCTGAGGTTCGAGCCATAAAGCACGCCGTCGCTGTTGAATCTGGAGTGCGCAGTCATCGAGCACTGTTCAAGAGCGACAAGTTGAAGACTCGACGGAGGATTGCCCTCGCATATTTCGGTCTATTCATGAATCAAATGGTTGGAATCAACTTGGTTGTCTACTATTCACCAAGTAAGACTTCCATTCGCCATGCTTGCAGCGACTAACGCTGGCAGCTCTTCTTGTCCAAAGCATTGGCATGGTACCACGCACAGCGCAGATTGTTGCCGGATTGTGGGTTCACTCTGATTTTCCTATACTAGCCGCTGATTAATTTCAGCATCCAACTCATGTTCATCATCGGTTGTCTTGTCCCTGCGTTCGCTCTTGACCGGATGGGAAGACGAAAGACAATGTTCTACGGTGGTAGGTATCGTCCATCCCCGCCAATCGAATCCTGGTTAACCCGAGCAAAGTTATCGGTCTTGGAATCTGCATGATGATGGCGTCCATTCTGTTGAGCGTTGGCAAGAAGAATACATCTAGCGCCGCTGTAGCATTTTTCTTCCTTTACATGTTGATATTCGGAGGGTGAGTTTTCAAACGCAACATCCTTCCTTTCTTCCTCTCCTTGACTAGGAGCTGACACTATTGCTCTAGAACAATCAATGTTGTACCGTGGGTATATGTGAGTGTCCATTGATGCTTCAGCGGGTACAAGTGCACTGACATCATATTTACCAGGGACCAGAAATCCTCCCCCTCGAGGCTCGCTCTCGAGGCACCGCAATTTCGGTGTCATCACACTGGCTATGGGTATGCAAATCATGCACCGAAAAAAACACTTCTCCCAGGCTGACTATCTTTTGAAGAACTTTTTCGTTGTTATGATCACCCCCGTCTGTCTGAACCGTTTGGAATGGAAGACATATCTGATTTTCATGGCTCTTGCGGTAAGAGCCCCAGCCAGTGTTTCTGCCTGTACCGTTGCCATTCCACACTCTGCGCAGAAGTTGAATCACAAATCTCAAATACCTACCAACTCGCTAACAAAACCTCAATCTTTAACAGTTCGCCTTCGCACCGATCATATATTTCTTCTACCCGGAGACGTCCAACATCTCGCTCGAAGACATCGACAAAATCTTCATGAAGGACGGCGACGATTATAGCAGTGACCGGTCTTCGACGATCGCCGACACCGAGTCGGCGGAGATGAGAATGAGAGATGTGCAGAGCAATGAAAAGACTGAACAGAGGCAGGTGGAGCAAGTCTAGTTCAATCTAGCATTGAGGGAAATTGTAGTAGGAGTTCACAGGAACCCTTGGGCGAGTTGGAGTTGTTCAGGGGCAGAGCCTTGTTGTAGCTGAAGAAGAGAATGTCGGCGACCATCCGATGCAAAGATATCTGTGGCAACTTCCCAGTATAGATAATGCGTCGAATTTTTTCACTATCAGCCTACGGGTATAGATGCCCGATGTTTGAGTATGATTATTGAATACCTGACTATCATTTATATAATGCTAGCTTCATTATCATGGATACGATGCTTAGGTTTTCAAGCCCGAATCGTTGCGTCAAATGTGCAGGAGCCATAACAGTCGCACTCACTAATTACATAAGATAATATCAGCTCCCTGGGTCTGCCGGCCAACCTGCCGTCCCGCCCTCTGTCCCAGCTCTCTCATAACGACAAATTCCAACTCCCACCCCAGACCTTCCCACCCAGCGCACCTTCCAAACCAGTAACAGACAAAGTGCCAGACTTTTCATCAAAGACACTCTCGCCCACAACCACGCCGTTAATCTTGACGGCCAGATCCGCCGGTTTCTCGCGGACGCCCAAGAATGTAACATTCGCCAACGGCAGATCCAAGCCGTCGTAAGCGCCGTCAACGGTGACGCTGAGCAGGCCGCTACCGAACGAAGTTAACGTGACGGATTTCGTCGCGTTGGGAGCCACCGACTCGCCGTCGTCGAGATACAAGTTCCCGACAGCCTGGCCGTCGACGTCCGGCGCGACGATTACGGACCAGGCACCCTGGCGCGCATCTCGCGTCGTCAGCGCCATGCCCTGCGTGGCGAGGATCGCGCCGCCGCGGATGTACACAGGGATATGGCCTAGCGGGGCATCGATGGTGGTGTTCTTGGTGGCGGGCGCCGCGATTGCCGATTTGTTGTACCAGTCGTAGTACACTTCCATGCCCTCGAAGAGGCCCGGGAACACGCCGTCTACGCTCGTGGCGCCCTGTGTGAGGACCGGCGTGACGAGGATCGATGGGCCGAGGAAGAACTGGCGGTCCGCGGCCGCGAGAGACGGGTCGTGCGGGAACTCCCACGCCAGGGCGCGCATCACCGTCTCGCCGTTGGTGTGCGCGTTGTAGAACAGCGTGTACAGGTACGGCAGCAGCTGGAAGCGGACGTCCATGGCCGTCTTGGCGGCGTCAATGACGCTGGCCCAGACATAGGCCTCTTGGGAATTCGCCGACAGGGTGTTGTGGTTGCGATAGAACGGGAAGAACGCAGACAGCTGCATCCAGCGGTTGCAGAGCTCCTCGGACGACTGGCCGTTGAAGCCGCAGGTGTCGACGCCGACGAGCGGGATGCCAAACAGCGAGAAGCTCAGGGCCTGCGGGATCGAGAAGTACATGTAGTAGAACTTGGATGCGTTGTCGCCGCCCCAGTGGCCTGCGACGGTGCCGGAGCCGGGAAATGTCGAGCGTCCGATCACAAAGGGCCGTTTGTCGGGCATGGCCGCCGCGAGCGCCGCGTAGGTGGATTGCAGGATTTGATGGCCGTAGAGATTGTGGATGTCGTATTCGAGGATCCCGTTCACGTGCGTGGCGTTGGGGGACACTGCGTGGACGGCCAGGTCGCCTTGGACGTGGTTGATCACGTAGGGCGGGTGGTTGACGTTGCGGACGCCGGGCGTGGGTGTTGTGCGGAGGTAGCTGGTCGAGGAACTCGAGGTGGCCGCTGCGCTTGAAGATGCTGTCGTCGAGGACGCATCGGCCTGTGATTGCGAGGAAGACGATGCAGCTGCAGCTTCGGTCGCGTTCGTCAGGTTGAACCCCTCCGGATATTCGTAGAGGACATTTCCCGGCTCTCCGGGCAGCTTGAACGGGGGATGGACAGGGTTCAGCGTCAAATTCCCCGTGCCGCAGCTGCCGACACAAAAGGAGCTGACTTCGCTCATGTCGATCCAGATGCCGTCGACGGGGATCTTCTGGTAGTACGCCACGATTTCATTCTTCCACCATGTGTGTGTTGAGTTCTCGAGGAAATCCGCAAACACGGTATAGCCGGGCCAGACGGCGCCGTAGTAGATCGAGCCATCGGGATTCAAGAGCAACGAGTTCGAATCCCTCCCGTTATCGAACGTCGGATACGCATCACTCGCGTTCTCCGGGTTCGGGGCATAGATCGCACTGTCCACGATCGGGATGTAATGCATGCCGTTGTCGTGCAGTCTATTCAGGAAATCGGCGCCCTCGTCGTAACCGAACCTTACTTGATCATTCTCAAAATCACGGTACTGATTCATGTAGTCAATGTCGTTCCAGATGGTCTCCAGCGGGATGCCGAATTTGCGATACGTGTCCACCACATCTTCCGTGACGCTCCAGTTCTGGTAGCCCCATCGGCACTGGTGGAAGCCAAAGCCCCAGTAGCTCTGCAAGGCGGGGAGGCCGATGACTTGTTGGTACTGCTGTGTGACTTGAGGCTGGGTCGGGCCCGAGAAGAAATACAGGTCGATGCTGCCGCCGAGGGTCCGCCAGGTCACGTTGTTGGATCGCAGGAGGACTTCCATTGCGTGTGCGCTGCGGAAATATACGCCGTGGGTGGTCGAGGTGTAGTTGCCAGAGACTTCATCTGAATCTACTTCGTCGGTGACCAGTGTTATGGTATTGTCGTCGCCGCGTTTGAAGTATTTAGTCTGCAGGTAGAACGGATGGCTGCCGTAGAGGTTCTCATCGATTGGATCGCCAACGTCGGCGGCGTAGAGTGTGCGGGTCAGATTGTTGCCTAGTCTCAGACCATGGATGACTTCACCGAGACCATACAGGTTGTATCCTTCGTCTTGCTGGGTGACAATCTCGATGAACTGGTTCTCATATACGAGCTTCGTGCCCGTTGTGGAGAAAAGGACATCACCGGTACTGTTACGTGTGACGTTGAAACCAAATCCAGATTCTTCAGAGTGATCCCACGAAAATGTCAGATCACTGGTCGTCATCTGCCCATCCTCTTGAGATCCCGCAGGCACGTAGTCCGTCGACAGGATGTACCAACTCTCATTCTGAGGGGTGATCTCTGCCGGTTGGATATTGACATGAAGTCGGGAGTCCGTCTGATACTCTACCGTCAGCACCAAATTCTCGATATCGGTCCCGTAGACATTGCATGCTGGACCTGCGAGCGAGAGCTGTGCCGTCAATCCTGTGGCTGAGGTCTTGACATCGCTTGCCGTGTAGCCAGGACAGCGGTCTTGGGCATTAGGAGCATCCTCGTCGTTTATGTTCGGCAGGAGAGTGGCACCTTCGTCTGCTTCTGACGGTACGGTGAATTGAGGGGCGAACGATGTTGCTGATGAAGCTTGAGAGGCAGGTGTTGATGTCGCCGACTGGGCCAGTGCGAGGCATGGACCCAGTAGGAAACTGGGCAGGAAGCTGAATGATAACATGCTGGACGATTGAGTTGTTAAGTCCTCACCGTGCTTTTGCTCTGTGGTCGTGATTCGAGAGGAAGACTCGAGACTATTATAGACGATTGTGAGAATCCACCAGGCTCATTGACAAGGTACAATGATCATGGGCATGAGAGTACAACTGAGTGTAACGAACAACCTCTCTTGAAACCTTAGTAATGATCAACTGCAACAAGATTCATTGTTTCTGCGAGCGAGCCCGTGACAGCAGCGTCGATCAAAGCAAGAACCACAAAATAGTCGACAAGCAAAAGGCAAGGATGGTATATTTACATACCATGAAGCATCACGACCCCAGTCCAAGTTCAGGTGGAGAAGATATCCAGTGCAGGCGAAGAGCAACAGACAGCCACAAATCACGGCTGTTCTGTGAAGATTCCCCACACCATTGCGACTTTTGGTATCGTCATTGTGCATGGTGAATCTAGAGGAAAGCTTGCCTTGGAACTCTGCTCTGGGTTTGCATGTAACCTAACTAACCTAGACAGATGACAGGGCAGATGATGCGATAGTGATAGTAACCGAGGGAGTCCGGAGGCAGTGTCGATCCAAAACCCTGTTTTTAGACGAACGGGCTTTTGTCGAGGAACCAGTACTGAGCTGTGGTGGTGGTTGGTGTTGCTGTCGACTCCAACAAGGATGTCTTTTCCCATGTAGAATGGTGGTTACATTTGCGGGGAAAGCTTGCTTGTGCCTGACAGGGGAGGGGAGGAGGGTGATAGTCCTGGACCTTGAGGCCAGGTCAAGAGCGATGTTTTTAATAAATATATCTGCGGTTAGAATGATTCGCAACACAACCTACAGCACGGCGATATAACACCACAGATGGCACAATACGCATGAGGAAAGCCTGCTCATGTCAATGACTGTTTACGAAGCTCAACGCCCCGCAAAAGCTTGGTGCTGGAGCTTGAAATGGCATCATGCTCAATGACGAGATATGCAGTGTGGAGAAAAGACGTGAGAAGGGGTGAATGCTGGGGATGTTCCAAAAGAATATCCCGAGCAATACTCCGGTGTTCCCTGTCTATCGTAAGCTTGAATACGGTGAGAAGTGATTGAGTGGCTGCATATCGAAGCGGCTTTTCTCCGGATCAGTCCCGACTCAGCTCCGAAAGATAAATACGTCTTTTAGCAGCTCGACCGTCCTGTCAATGATGAAGTACAGATTTACATCAGAAGCACGAGTCAGGTTCAAGACTAGAGATATTCACACGTATCAAATGTTTGATTTGGATTCTTCTCCCAGCTCAGCTCAGCTCAGCTCATCTCATACAATAAGTAATAATTCAATATGTATGGGTATCGCATGCCGACTTCAAGCCTCAGCTCTCCTCAGGCTCAAAAGCTTCCCGAGTCCACTGCGCAGCTCTTATCCATCCTACCTCCCTGAGAGCCTCCAAGTAACAAAGACGCCAGCCTTGGATTTGAGAGACACAAAAAGGACTTTGCTATAACTCCGACAACGACGCAGGCATATAACCTTTTTGATCCCCATTGAATTGATTTTCAGTCCAAGGAGAGGGGGGAGGAAGATCTGCTCGCTCAACCTATAAAGGTGACCCATTCGATAACAAAGGAAAATGCCCTTTCTCGGCACAGGTACATGTGATCAATGATGCCTGTCCCAAAAACAATTACTCATTACAAGAAGAAAAATGATGCCGTGTTCCAACCCTTCCAACCCCGATCAAATCCCATTTGCTCGACTACTCTCCAATGCTTTCATCATGGTCGGATCTTTCACTCACTCACGTCACCGATAGTCTCCGTCAGTGGGAGCACGACGACGCCGGAAAAAATCTTGAACTCTCTTCACTGCACCTGATCGACCAGCATGGTGAGTAGGTCCTTGCTCATGATCATACGCTTCTGCAAATTTTCGATTATTCTTAACAAGTACTCGTGCTTGTCGTCCTTGTTGCATCGACGGTCGACCTGCTGGCTCAGTTGTGTCCTGCTGTCTCCCCATCATCTGTGCCATAGGTTCGCTGTGCTGTCGATGATGTGGTCCGCGACCTTGGGTTTGTGGTTGATAAACACCTGTCCCTCCGTAAACATCATTCGTCGGTGCTGATGCTACAGGTCGCTGTGGCTGGTAATGTGTTTGAGGAGGGCGGGAGAAATTGTTGTACTTGTTAGATCTTGATGGCTCATATGATCCATCATTCCTCGCAATCTGCTGGCTGTCGTGTTCCTCTCCTGTACCCGGGCGATTGGAACTTTGAGGACTGGGAATTCGGGACGTATCCTCCTTTGAACCTCCCATCAGACCTTTGAATGACATAGAATTAGGAATAAGTGAAAATCGTCGTACCGGCTTTTCTGTCTGTCCCATTCCTTCCAAATCTGTACTCTTCCTCTTCCCAAGCCCGAATGAGAATGATCGCTTGGATTCCGTTGACAACCGAGAGGTGGCTGGTTCAGGAGCATATTCCTTCATACTCGTGGGTGGATATTTTCGTCCGTTCTTCTGTCGATCCGAATCTTTCTTGGCTACCGAGTTGGACCTACCAAATAATCGTTCTCCGAGCCCACTCAATGTGCTCGATCGACGGTGGTGTGTTTTGGGAGGCTGCTGGGTTGTAGGTGGTGGCATGGGGGTGGTCATCGGTTGACCAATCGAATTCTGTGCACCGGGTGAAGGAAGTGGACCTGAGATGTTGTATCCACCACGTGCCGGTTTGGACGGCTGTGTAACCCGCCCTTGTGCGTTGGTAGTAGCCACAGTCGGTGCCACTGGTTGGCCATATGAACCACGAGAAGGCAGTCGAAGGTCAGATCTTGTGTTGTTGGGTCCACTGGCAGAAGTCATTGAACCTTGAGTGCTAGGTCTCGTGACATATTGACCACTTTGTGCACCTGCAGTTGCATTTCCAAAAGCACTGGTGGAATCAGATACCGATCGTGGAATATCACGAGCTGGACGGGTCGGAGGTTGCATGTTCTGTGGCTTCTGTCGAGGAGAATCCTTGGGCGGATCTTGCGGCAAAGGCTTGGACAATGGAGAAGGTTGAGCAGCGCCAGTTACGTGAGTGAGATCTTCCGTCCGAGATCGACCCGCTGATGGACTTCCAGTAGCTGGTGCCTTACCCCGAGCGGTATGAGTTTGAGGAGCAACATATTCTGGTTGCAGGGTATGCCGAGTGACTCGTTCTCGTCGTGAGCTCGAAGAGGTGTCTTCGGGATCCTGAACAAGTCCTTCATGAGCACGAGTGAGGGTACCAGGAGATGCAGCAGCAACTCTCGAGGGGCCTTCACGAACAGAAGCACTGCGATTGAGCGCCGGCGACTCATCTTCGGCAGGTACTGTGGTGTTGGCAATGTCTGCAACGTTAGTGGTGCTGCTGGTGATATGGGACACTACATGATGATATTCGCTCAGCCAACTGTGCCGGGCAACCTCGAATAGATCAGCACGTTTGCGTGGGTCCGGAACCAGGATACGGCGAAGGAGATCGCGTGCATGAGGTGTGACATATTCGGGGAATGTCAGTGGGGTGGTGGTGATGTATTTGTAAAGAAGGTTGATGTTGTCTCCCTCTGGATTGGCAGGATCGTCGTCAAAGGGTAGGTAACCCGCGAGCATAGCATACTGAAGAATGATTAGCAAAGCACTGAAACCTGGAATAGCTTATTTCGACTTACCAGAATGACACCGCAGCTCCACACATCGACTTTCTTACCGGTATAGAGCGAGTCACTCACGACCAATTCCGGAGCAGCATAGCAAGGGCTTCCACAGCTGGTCTGCATCAGATCACCTCTCCTCATGCCACGTGCATCCAACCGATCAAGTTTGAACTTTCTCACGAATTCCTTATTGCCGAGGTTGTACTCGATCTCATCTGTCAACTCATCTTTGGGGTCAAAGTTGTTGGCGAATCCAAAATCCGTGATGATGATATTTCGATTCTGGTCCAGAAGCAGATTTTCGAGCTTCAAATCTCGGTGGACGATACCTTTCTTGTGAAGGTAACCAACTCCGGAGACCAATTGAGCAAATAGTCTTCGGGCAGCTGGATCTTTCAGATATCGATGATTCAGGATGTAGTCAAAGAGTTCACCACCCGATGCATACTCCAAAATAATGCCAATGTGTCGCTCCGTTTCGACCATCTCATGCAATCGAACAATATTCGGATGCGCTAGATCTCGCAAAATGGATATTTCACGATAGATTTTCGGTAGGCGTGAGGGGTTTGTGGCGACGGATTCTCTTCGGATAAGTTTAATTGCGACTTGAGAACTTCCATCTTTCTTCCAGCCGAGCTTCACCTTGCCAAATTCGCCTTCGCCCAAAGTCTGGCCTAGCATGTAGTCACCAAATTGGACATCCTTTCTTCGCGATTTGGAATAGTCTTGTCGTCGAGCCGGGCCCGGAGCAGGTAAAAGGTCATCGATAGAGGGATCTTCGGTGGCAATGGGGGCAGGTTGTGCTTCTGCTACTCGTTCCTGCATTCGTTCGGCGTCGACTTGAGGGTCCGAGACAACGACTCGATTGATAACCTCGCTGTATTCACGGACCAGAGGACCAGGTGCAGCGCCTGGTGAATGTATGGCGGCTTCAGATCTACTGTGGCCTGGAGAAGTGTGTTGACCTCGTTCTCGTGTGCTTGTGGCACGGTGAGGACCGTCGGGACTGGAAGGACCCTTTCTACGGCTACGTGCAGCAGGTGCAGCAGCCGTGGCTGTGTCGTCCCGTGATCGATCTCTCGAATCATCTCTGTAGTCTGTCACATTATTCTGAACTCGACCAGAAGGTGAATCTTGAACATTTTGTCTGGCTTGTCTCGAAGCTGCAACTCTGGCATCCAAGGGGGCAGTGGATGGTGCTACAGGTGCACGGGAAGAAGCTGGCTGTTGCGAAGACGTCCGTGGCGGCGGAATTGGAGCACCGTCGTACTGATCATATGTCGTAGATTGGTTGCGTGTATGGTAGGGAAGAGTAGTTGTTTGACCGGCAAAAGAGGAAGAAGTTATAGGAACCGAGTCGGCATGGGATGTGTATCTTGAGGGATTGCTGGGATCTTGAGTGGCATAGTACTGTGTCACGTTAGTAGCTTGCAGGGCTATAGGTTTGACTGCGTTTGCGCTTGAGGAACTCACGTTCTCGAGAGAGTAATAGCCATCTGCGTCTAGTTCACCTTGGTCATGATGCGTACCATAGGCGGCGGTGGTGGGAACCTGTCGGTGTTGACGAGAAGATTGCATTGCTTCTGCAGACATGACTGCTTCCACCTCGACAGTCACGCACCTTCCCCAAACCCAGGTTGAACGTGGTGTGATCGAATAGTTGGCAACAGGATTATGGTGATGGTACGTGTAGAAGAGGATGGACAGGTGTTGAGAACACTTTGCGTCGAATTCTAGATAACCGTTGGCAAGGCTCTTGTTATCATCTGGCGGAACAAGGTGAGTTGTAACAAACAAAAGTGCTCAGGTTGAGTATGCAGCCTCCGAGGCAGTGTTAATCAAGTCAACAAATGTAAACAGAGGACGCGATACGCGATAGAATTTGCTGCCTAGGATATGATGTGGTGTCGGAAAGTGCGGTGAAGTCGAGGGAAAAGCGACGGTCGCGCGAAGGCTGATGTTGAGGGAGAGATTATTGTTGTTGGGATAATTGCTCACAGCAAACAAAGTCGCGCAGACAAAAAGACGCACAGCGACGTCGAACCTGCGACGAGTGTGTTTTATGGAAAAGGAGATATTTTCCCTCTAGATGAGGCCGTGAAAGAGTGTGAAAGGTTGAGGACCAATCATCAACAAACACGGATCGAAGTCAGGTGAAGATAGGAGGATAGGAGGATCGCGGTCATGGCGGGAAGGCTGAGACGGGAAAGGGCGAGTCGACAAAGGTAGAGGACGCAGGAGAGGGTGAGAGGTCGTAGCCAGAGCCGGCGAGAAGGTCGGTGTAGTGGTAGGTGGGAAGGTGGGAGGTGGTGAGGTGAGAAGGAGATCGACGTGGAGATCAGGTATCAGATGGAGGTGTGAGGCGTGAGGTGCGGCGGTGGGATGGTGTTGATTGAGATGCCAACTTGGTCGCAGGCAGTCGTCGTAGCAGTACGGACAGTAGCAATTCACTAGTACGACTACCTCGATAGCCCCCAAGACAGGCTGGAATTTAGTGGGAGTCTGTCGACGGAGAACCAAAGTCGTTGTTGCTGGTGTCTCTTTGGCGGTGAGCATGGAGCACCCACGGCAAGCAGAAAGAATTTCAATTTCTCGACCAAGAACTGTAGGCAGCGGCTGTGCAAGAAGTCATGCCAGGGCAGGGCAGTAACAGGCTCAACAGGCATACGAGTATAGCCTAGTTAGTTAAAGACGATGCCTAAAACCCTCCCAAAGTCCACTCGACTACCACGTCGTCCTACTCTAATCCTTACCCGCCGTGTCTTGCACTGGGGATTATCAACTTTAGACTCGTCGGCGAGCCAAGTGTGGTCGACGCTAGCCAGGGTTCTCAAATGAACTACAGCTGGCTATCTCGCTACTAGTGGAAGCCACCTAGTGTGGATAGATCGCGACCAGCGTCAACCGGCCATTGTTATTTCATTTCTGCCGGGGTTCAGCTTGGAACAATTTGACTTTGACGAACAGGTTCATTCCATCGTTTTTTACCGATGCGATGGTTGAATGTATCCGTACCGAGTATTCCTTCACATGTTCCTTCCAAGGTCCCCCCCCTCTTATGCTGCTGTTCAGTGACATCCTGGGTACAGGACTATGGAGTCGGTCGGGTCACGGTCTCCTCGTAACGTGTTCAAGTCCCAGTTCTTGATATGGTCCATGTGCTGTCAAATGCCATTCCACTGGTTGACCGTATGACCCGCCGACCCAGTCTCGACGTGCCATTCAAGTTCACGCTATCCAAAGCTCTCCACAGGGGAAGAGGGGTTTTTCTGCGCGCTTTGTCCATGGAACGCGTCCCGCCAGCAAACTCTCGTCAACAACATAATGCACAAGGAAACAACCATGAGTCTTACTCTGTGACATGAGAGACAGGCTCACTCTCCTACTCGTACACCAATTATAGCATCAATCACTCGCCTCTGCTTCCGAATAGGCTCTTCACACAAGAAAGAGACGCGAGGTGGCACACACACCTGTTTGGCGTCTCCCTTCGTTAGCGAAATTTCCCACCTTGAAACGCGACTGACGGCCACTCATTCAAAGCGGAGACATGCCACCTGCCACTTTAAAAAGAACTCCGTGCCACACTCCCTTTAACAAACTCCAAACTACAATTGAACCACCAAACTTCCAAAGTTCCTGGGCATTGGCACGGAGTGACCGTACTCTTCTTCTCTTGGTTCCAATTTGAAGGTCTATTTCCCTTGACGAGACTTTAGCCGTCACCCGAACACGATCGACAGCAATCGGAACTTTAAATCGTGCCTAGGCAGCAACCTAGGTTCACATTCGCACAGGTACGAGTAGACATCTCAAGTTCTATTCATGTGATACGAGTACTCGACGGCGCACCGCCATGTCCACTGGGTTTCTCGTACCTGGGCAACGACTATCGAACTCCTAACACGACCATGTGATCCAGATACGAGCTACCCAAGATTCACTTCCTCCCGTCCTCATTCATCCACTATATAGTATGATCAGTTAGTACTGACAGTAAAATTCCGTAGATAGGTGCATCCTCGGGTAGACCTCAAGATGTCACTCCTTGACGGACTCTACTCGAGTCGCAAGGCACAATCATATTTTTGAGTTTCAGCCACACCAAGCCAGCGAATGTCATGCAGACACGCCTGCGGGCTTGCACACGAATTAATGATCCACTACTCAATGATTCCAGCACTGGTGATGGTGGCAGCAGCCTTTTTTTAATCCGCTACGGCGGGAGCCTTGTTCAGTGAGATTGCGCTTGCCTTTGCCTGGTGATGATTCAGCACTATCAAGTATGCATGGCCCATCTATCAAAAACTCCCTGACAGTTTCATGTTGAGTACAACACCCGTGTGTGCGACGCCTGCATCCTCTCCGCTTGCACTGCACGGCGCTACACTGCACTGCACTATATTTCCAGAAGGCTGCGTGATCCTCGTCGTCATAAACTCATGATCCATTCATATCCGTGCCCCCGTCCCGTCGTAAGCCGTACATAAGAACAGTCTTAAGATCTTGGGCGGAAATCTTCTCATCGCTTCTCCCGCACATTCTGTCCCTGTAACGTCGATCCTAGCGGCTCGCCAATTGCTCCTGAAGAATACGCGGGTGGTAAAGTAGCCGCATTTCCATAGCCTTCGACTCCATACCCTGGTCGATTGACGCCCGGTTGGGAAGCACCTCCATATAAATCGGAAGAATAGCTGTCATTTCGTTTCTCTCCCAATGCTGGACGTGCTTCCGCTGGCACTACCCCGCCATCACCTCCTCCCACTATCAGCTGTTGTCCATTTGGCATGCGACCCACCACCATGCCCTTGGCCACTGATTTGATCACCGCTCGTCTCGACACCCCCATGGCATCGATGTACACCAAGCCGACATTTTTGACACCACCCGCCAATCCTGATGCGACATTTCCGGCTTCGGCCCCGTACTTGTGTCCAACCACATTGGTTGCAGCTGCCGAACTTGATGCCAGTAGTTGTCGTCCAGCGTGGTCAATGCCATCCGCAATCGTCGAGAACGCGATCATGGATTTATTGAGCACTCCGGGCTTATAATCCTTGCCAGGCTCCTTTTTGCTCCGCTCTCCTTTGCGCGCAAGCGACGCTCCAAAGTTTTGGGCGTACTTTCCCAACTGACCCACAGTCTTAGCACTGATCCCGACGGCTCCCTGTGTGAAGGAATGTATTTGTCGAATTCGATCGTGGGTGGCTGGTGAAAATGTCATTGGTTTGGGATTCGGCTGTGTCTTTTTCTGAAAAGAATCCGCTCCCGAAGTCATGGCCTTTGCAATGTAGGTCGATCCTGTCACTAGCAATCGAGAGGCTGTTGCCGAAGACTGCACAATTGTGGATTTGGCATATGCTGGATGTTTGGCCATTTCCAGATAATGCTCTGATACGTTGTCGACTCGTATTTGGTTGCCGGATCCTTCCTCGGGGAGTTGAATCTGAACGGGCGCTGGGAAACATATCAGTTTCTGACCATACATATATGGGGCAATGGCATCAGACTTACTCTTTGAACCGGGCTTGATAGCATTGGATTCGACAACGTTGTAACTGTCTGTGAGTTCACCAATCACGCTTCCGTTTTCTTCATCAATGAGAACAATCTGTCCGTGGTTTTGCTGGACCAGGGCTTGTTGTTCCTTGCCTGGTTTGGATGAACCAATGTATCCCTCACCAGGTTGATACTCTTGAGGATCGTATTGCTTATAGCCTTTCGGAGGGGCACTGGCACGCTCGAGAAATGCTGTACATTGTGCAAGAATGGTTTCGAAAGTATCAACCTCTTCTTGGGTCACTTTCCCGGGCCCGTGGCCAACAGAAGGGAATTGGATGCGAATGAAAGCGCCTGCATCAGGACCCAAATCCCATCGGGGAATCAGATAGCTGCTAGGTGGTTTGTGATAGACCTGGGTGCTTGCAGGCAAGGACAGATCAAGCTCTGGGGGAAGATGAAGATGGAGGTAGAAGTCTTCTTCAGGCGCTGAACTGGATGGATCGGTGGATGATAAGTCGGCAAAGGGTGATGCAGTAGGGACCATCAGCAGAGACATTGTTTGGGGGCCACTGGTGGTGACCAGATGTTCCTCGCCATTCTGAACAGCGTAGGCGGTTATATTGTTCACACTGAAGAGCACCTGAGGCTCAGAGTGGCCTGCAGACATGACCGGCGATGATGCAAGGAAATGGGGGTGGGAAGTGTAAGACTCAGAGGGATTTGACTGCAAAGGGCAATGTTCTAAGTGCAACTTGAAGGGAAGAGAAGAGGGAACAAAGCGCAGCAAAAGACAAGTGAGCTCATGACCAGGTGGCCGCAGAGGAGAGAGATCCTTATTATATCATTCAAACCCGTTGGTTGTTGGCTACATTAAACGCCAGATGGAGGGGATAGCGACGCCTGGGCACCACTCAATGCCGTTGAAGAAGTGGGCAGTTGGGAAGCAAGCAGCACAAGCAACTTGACCTTTGACGCCAAGTGGTCGGCGACGTCACAGTCTGTGGCGCAATACGCCACAATTCAGGCATCAGCCACAGAATCAGAGATTCAAGCTGATCTTCAATGTAGGGGGGATGAGAGTCTGGACCCTGGCCGGGCCTTGGTGCAGAAGTCGAACCTTTTTAAGGACATGTGCATCTTGGGTACTGATACCATTAATCGGAGCGATCAATCTCAAGCCGAAGATACCCACTGACTCGTACGGGTAAGCAAGGATCGATGACGAGAAGAAGCTCGTCGGAAGTCGGGGTCAATTCGCTATCAATAAGGTCACCGTATCCGTATGGGGGAAAAGACCGGGCCCGGGCCCGCCTGGAAAACAACAATAATAGGTGCAGGCGTTCGGGCTACTTGGTTGAATTTTGGGCGTCTCCGAGCAAGGGCCGCAATGTCTGGGGAACCTCCCGTGCTTAACCGTTACCGAGGCTGAGACTGCTGTTGATCAATCAATGCCAGAGTTCTTCAAATCTAAAAACACATACCCTTCGTACATTTTCAGCATTGTGCCCCCGATTTAACTCACTGCTCCCTCCTGCACTGCTGGACAATCGATTTCTTATTCCACCCCATCGACAACCCTTCTGTCCAACCGCCTCACAACACTCCCCACAATGGCATCGATATGCAGGTCACTGCGACCCCTCGCTAAGACCACCAGACCCCTTTCCACCTTCAACTCTACAGCTAGATTCACGCCCAGAAGGACTCATATACGGTGTGTTCATTGCTCGTCTTGAGAGAAGCAGTCATACTCATCTACCCGCAGGCAACAAGCCCTCTTCTCGACTTCCAGACGACACTACAACGACGATGTAGACCTTGCCTCTCTAACCCCAACACCCATTACACACTTCTCGGAGACCGAGGTTATGCTCGCAGAATCCGTATCAAAATGGGCAAACGAAGAAGTCGCTCCTAAAGTTCGAGAAATGGATGAGGCAGAAAAGATGGACCCCGAAATTGTCGAACGAATGTTCGAGCAAGGTCTGATGGCATTTGAAATTCCTGAAGAATATGGAGGTGCCGGGATGAACTTCACTTCTGCAATTGTCGGAATCGAGGAGCTCGCTCGTGTGGACCCTTCGGTCTCGGTCATGTGCGATGTTCACAATACTTTGGTCGTGACCGCCATCCTGAAATATGGTAGCGAGTCCTTCAAGAAAGAGTGGTTACCCAAGCTCGCCACCAACACCGTCGGATCCTTCTGTCTGTCTGAACCGGTCTCTGGTTCAGATGCGTTTGCACTCAAGACCAAGGCTGAAAAGACAGAAAGCGGCTACAAGGTATGCATATCGTTATCTGTGGAGAAACAATCACTGACTCGCCTTAGATCAATGGCTCTAAAATGTGGATCACCAACTCTATGGAAGCAGAATTTTTCCTGGTATTTGCGAACCTCAACCCCGAAGCCGGCTACAAGGGCATCACTGCTTTCGTCGTCACCAAGGACACCAAGGGTTTCAGCATAGCAAAGAAGGAGAAGAAACTCGGCATCAAGGCTTCCAGCACATGCGTTATCAACTTTGATGATGTCGAAATCCCAAAGGAAAACCTACTCGGCAAAGAAGGTGAAGGCTACAAATATGCCATTGGACTTCTCAATGAAGGCCGCATTGGTATTGGCGCTCAAATGACCGGACTAGCACTTGGTGCGTGGGAGAACGCGGCCAAGTATGTCTGGAACGATCGAAAGCAATTCGGTAAGCTCGTGGGAGAGTTCCAGGGCATGCAGCATCAACTTGCACAAGCATACGTGGAGATCTGTGCGGCTCGCGCTCTGGTTTACAACGCGGCACGAAAGAAGGAAGCAGGTGAAGACTTTGTAACAGATGCTGCGATGGCCAAGTTATACGCTTCTCAGGTCGCTGGGAAGGTCAGCGGGTTGGCCGTTGAATGGATGGGTGGTATGGGCTTTGTCCGAGAAGGTATCGCTGAGAAGATGTTCCGTGACAGCAAGATCGGTGCCATCTATGAGGGAACCAGCAATATCCAGTTGACCACGATAGCTAAAGCGCTCCAGAAGAAATATACGACGTAAATGGGGTGGAGAATTCAGGCAGTCTGAGCTATTAGCCTTTATAGATAATGTACTCTATGGAATTGTAAAACGTTTAAAATTCTGCGAGCGATGATCTGAAGCCTTGTCACCTTAAATGCCAGATTGTTGCTGGCGTGAGCCCTTCCCAGCCGTTCTTGGCTCTGACATGAACTTGCATTAAGCCAGAAAAATATTCGCTTACAAGTCGACAACCCACTTGGTACTCACCCAGCACTCGCACTTTTGACCTCTGACTAAGTGCCCAGATATTGGTGGTCAGGGTCCAAGTATATAAGAGGTGCTCCGCCTTTGACTGACATCTGCCGCCACCCACATTTCACCGATACACACTCAGGCACCTTTACTAGCGCCCAGTTAAATGGAATATGCTTCTGCAGGTATGGAAGTCGATTCTATTGAGCATAGAGCACCGCAGGCTTGTTTAGCTTGTCGCAAGTAAGTCTATTTCTCTTTCATGATTGATTTATCTTGTTATCCTGTCAGGTGAAGCCTCTGCTGTGGTTGAAGCACTTGGGATACACCAGTTCGATACTCAGATTGTCGCGAACCATGATATCTTGACCTCACTGCTCTTCAGAAGCAATACCTCCCCAACGGGCCCAATAGATTTGATTGTTGGCACGGATAACCCAGATATTTGTTCTAACTACAGACATCATCATTCAGACAGAAGCGAAAATGTGATAAGGCCCTCCCGAGCTGCTCACTATGTGTGCGGATGGCGCGATCATGTGATTACTCTGAGATCAGCCACCAGCCAAATGCCGATGACTTTGGGGCGTTGAAGCAAAAAATCACAGACCTCGAGGCTCGAATAGAAGGAAGGAGGTCTGATCTAGGGTGGCACGACCCTATCCGTTCTGTCAGCACGAGCAAAAGTCCAACATCGACCACCGACTTGACACTCTCCCAAGATGGTTCAACTTTCCCACCCATGTTCTTCCTAGACGCCGAGGTCTTCCAGGAAAGTAGCACAAAAATCATAAAGCCAGTTATTCCGGTTCCGACTGAAGTTGCCAATACCTTAGGGACGTCGATACTGGATATTCAAGATGTGGTGGATCGATATTTCGCAAATATCCACACTTGGCTACCCGTTGTGTCTAAGAAGCGAATGGAACTAAACTTGTCAAATCCAAGCCTTGAATTATCTCTGGAATTGTCCTTGCTATTGCTCGCCATGAAGCTCATCATTCAAATCCCTTCAGGCGACTCACAAAGTGTCCGATCTCCCTTGTATGCTCTCACCAAGCGATATTTCGCAATGGTGGAATCTGCCGGTATCATATCAAATCAGACATTGCAAGCCAATATCTTGATTAGTGCTTATGAAATTGGGCATGCAATCTATCCAGCAGCATATTTGACAACAGGCCATTCTGCGAGACTGGGACATGCTTTAGGTCTCAATGATCGTCAAAACGCCCCTCAAATCCACAAGAAGAAAGCAGCCGCGTGGGCTGAAGTGGAGGAGGTCAGACGCACATGGTGGGCAGTTATGCTTCTTGACAGATATGTCAACCTTGGTAGCCAGGGTCATCCATTGGCAACAGATGACCCAGCGAGAAAGGATATGTTACCAGCCGATGACGCTATGTGGGATGCAGGAGAGATGACCACCAGCGAACCACTATATGTGTCATCCCCTACGAATGTTCGAGCTGGTGCTTTTGCGCGCACTTGTCAGGCGACGCACCTTCTGGGTCGCCTAATTCGCCTATTGAACGACAATCTACTTGAAGCACCAGCACGTTTTACCGAAGCCATTCAACTACACCGTACCATCCAAGCATTAGCAAACCTGGTCCCGGCCGATGTCCAGCGATCTCCAGAGCAATTCGGAACCTCGATAGCGTTGTGCTACAGTAGCCTTATTCATCTATCAGATCCTTTTGCTTGTACCGAATCGAACCGAGGCGATCACACTGTTGAAGAAACAGAAATGCAAGGCATTGCTATCGCCGGTATGCGAAACGCCGCCGACGATGTATTCTCATTCAGTCAATTGTTGAGACGAAGCATGACTCAGAATCCAAGTTCCATTAGCCCTCTCGTCGGCGACTGTCTCTACATGGCAGCCGCAACCTATGCATGGATTGTGCACGAGACTGGTTCTCGCGAGGTTGCGGAGTCATATCACTCTCTGAAAAACGTCCTTGAAATCATGAGCTGTCGTTGGGCAGTGGGTGCTCAATATTTGGTAATTTTGAAAAAGGCCCAAGAAACGCTGTATCCTCAAACTCCACTCTTGCTGCGATCATTTGAAAATTGAGTATCGACTACTTAGGTTCGTGATCCACTGTGGACTCATCCTGACTGATAGCACAAGGCCGCCCTTTTCCTAGCCATCGCCCAGGGTGCCAGTAAATCAACACATACACGGCTACCACGATTGGCAAGAACTCTAAGCAGCCGAAGAAGACCTCATGAGTCGACAGATATTCCAATAAGCCCTCAGCAGTTTCGGCAAGACGAAATATTGTTCTCAAGTATACCGCTAAGGAGGCGACTAAGATTGCAGTGGAGAACACTTTCAGATCCCTGCCAAGCACCCTTCTTGCTTTAAAGGTGAACAAGACGAAGCAAAGAATGAATACTGCAAACGAGAACACCTGGAAAGCCAACCCAGCGAGTAGGATATTGTTCGCCGTGGTTGGATCCTTCTGATCAGAATAGGCTGTTCCTACAAGCGCAGCACCCGTGATCTGGATGGCCGTGGCGACAACATCACAAATGATGAAGATCCACAAGAGCACTTTCGGAGAGAGAGGCGCGTACTTGCGACCAACGATATTGATCATGACCGAGATGATGGTGTAGATTGCGGCGGAGAAGAACACCGGCGCGACGACGATGCAGAAGTACTGGGCGACAAAATACGAAACGGCGTATGGGTTCTTCTTGGAGGCGAGGATTCTGAACAAGTACCCAATGATCTCCATTACGAGTCCCACGACGACGGTGCTGAAATACCATGTTCGATAACGGAGGAGGTAGAAGAGATGAATCCCAAGCGCCACGACGAACAGGATGACACCCAGTAACCCGACAGCCAGAGATGGGACATATCTATGGAGCGATCAAGTCAGCCCAACGTCCACGGCGCCCAGACAAACCCTGCGGCGTTCAATACTCACCCATAAATGATTATACAGGCCGAGTCGTCGGTGTCAGGTCGAGGAAAATTGGGGTCAACATAGCCATATGTGATCCGGCTACAATCATCCGCCATGATGCGTCTTAGTGCAAAGAGGACTTTATCTTCAAGGAACAGCGATTCAAAAAACAAAAAGATGAACGATGTCGTGTATTGGAGCAAGACAAGAAGCATTAATCAACATTTAATAATAAACAAAACCTACTTCCTTTGACCGTTGAGAACGACACCTAGACACGCCTGACTCGAGTCAAGCATTTTTAGATTTCCGAAATTTTGTATGCAATGCTTCGATCATGCGCTGCGAGTCTTGACGTATGCCCAGTCACTAGAATATTTCATATTCGCTTAATTGGGAACTCTAAACACGAGGCTCCAGGAATTTTGCCTCGTATGGGTCACGGTCTAACCACGTGGGCGCGGAAAAGGGTTTCCTGTTTGATTTGCGCCTCTGGACATCGAACTCGTTTCAGTATTGATCGTGCTACTTAATGCATTACATTGACAAGAATTTGTCGCACATGAGAGTAGTGCGAAGGAAAAGAAGAATGAGGGAGTGGCGCTTTTTAAAGGCAAAACCATGGCGGTTTGTGCCGGAAAAACTGCCCCAATTTCGGATAAACTATACTAAACGGACGCCTTCTCCACACGTCGATTTTTGTCGCAACGTCTCCTGTTCGCAATGCGGGCATGGTGAGAAAGGAAGATATTATCGAATCTGACGACAAACGCGTTTCAAGAGATGAATTGATCATGATATGGCTATCCTGAGAGCCATCATGTAAATTGAACGTCCGGTCCACAATGAGTACCCCCAAAGCCACGAGCTACAAGGCTCGTAAGGAAGCTTTCGTCTCCAATCTCTCGGGAAGTTCGTTGACAGATATCAATCTGGTCACACTTGTTGCTGCTGTGAGTTCTACAGACTAAACCAAATTCATCCGGCTCTGACGTTCTGCTCCAGTCGGCGATACTCCTTTGGACGATCCTGCAGAAGAGACAATCATTTTTTACACCATACACCCCGGTGGCAGCCGTCGCCGATTTTCTGCTCAATGTCTCTGCCATTCTCTTCGCCATCACACTATATTCATCAGTACCGTTGTTCTTGAACATCTTTCTCATCACTCCAGCGGTTCTACTACTTGTTCTTAACAGTCCGACCAATGATCAACAGACCCAATCCTCGGCTTCGAAATCAAAGCAGCAGAAGAAAGCGACCAAATCGTCCAACACCTCGTCGTCTTCTGCACCCAACGATGCCAATAATGATGCATCATCTAAACCCGCCAGACTCCCGGTGAGGCCGTTCGTGACCCACTACCGCGGATCCATGCTAGTGGTGACCTGTCTCGCCATTCTAGCAGTCGACTTCCCCGTCTTCCCACGTCGATTTGCCAAAGTAGAGACATGGGGCACCTCATTGATGGACATCGGAGTCGGTTCTTTCGTCTTCTCAGCAGGTGTTGTATCAGCTCGTGGCCTCATCAAGTCTGAGCAGCAATCTGGTTCTGCCAGAAGCACCTTCTCAACCCGCTTCATCCAAGCACTCCGGCATTCACTTCCTTCGCTCGTCCTAGGCTTCATCCGACTCTGGAGCGTCAAGGGCCTGGATTACGCCGAGCACGTGACCGAGTATGGCGTGCACTGGAACTTCTTCTTCACACTGGGTTTTCTGCCTCCGTTCGTCGAACTCTCAGACACCATTACGCGAAAGCTCGTGAGGCGGTATGAGATCTTGGCTCTTCTACTGGCCGTGACATACGAGCTGGTCCTCAACAACACCGACCTACTTGCATACATCCTTGTCTCACCACGCGGACCAGACCTCCTGTCTAAAAACCGTGAGGGCGTTTTCTCCTTCATTGGCTACCTTTCGATCTTCCTCGCAGGGAGAGGCACTGGTGTCTTCGTCATGCAATATCAAGACTCACCAACCACAACCACGAAGCCTCAAAACAACACCAACACCAAGATCAATATCAACGGCCCCGCCACGACCGCCACAAACCACGAGCGCACCACCGTCCTCAAAAACCTGCTCATCCAATCCCTCATCGCCAGCCTCCTCTTCCTCCTAACCACCACCGTGTACGGCCTCAATCTCAACGTCTCCCGACGCCTCGCCAACCTGCCCTACACGCTGTGGATTGTGGCGTTCAACAACGCGCAACTCCTACTCTTCGGGCTCGTCGAGTCCACGGGGCCCTCCTTCACATATCTCCCGCAAGACGCCGCACGAGTCCAACACGCCACGAGCTTCCTGCTGCGCGTCTTCAACAGCAACGGCCTGGCCGTCTTCCTGGTCGCGAACCTCTTGACCGGCCTCGTCAACCTCACCCTCAACACCCTCGACATGCCTGATGTCGCGGCCATGGCCGTGCTCGTCGCTTACGCCGCGGCCGTCACGGGCGTCGCGGTCGCGTTGCATCTCTCCGGTTGGAAGATCAGACTTTGATTTGATCCCGGTGGATTTCTCTAACCCTTTCCGACTGGGTTGGACGATTGAGGATGAGGATTGCTGTGCATGGGACATGGGATCTGTTGTGCGTGCTTGATGCTTATCTGCACTCGTGGCGCGTTCGAGGGATAGATAGACCATGCATGCATGCATGCACGGTACCGGCTTCACCGGCCCCTCGCCGACCTTTCTTCACGTCCCATTTTGGAATATCCCTCAGGAGGGCGAAGGCACCTCGTTGTATTTGGAGAGAGAGAGAGAAATATATA